TAAATATAGCGATTTTTACATGTATTGATCCTGTAGCCAATCTCCCTACACCCACTATACCTAGGCGGAGCCCTGGCTACTGGCCTAGTTGGCTGACTAGGTAATTCGACCTCTGCATACGATTGTACTATACCTTCTTCTACTGGTAAATCTAGCTGCGTAGCTAGCAGTAGGCCCTCTTCTATAGTTAAACCCTCTTTGCAGGGTATATGCTTAGTTGACCGACCGCGCCTTTTTGACGATCTTCTTATTCGCTATGCGTAGATTCGTATTCTCCTGCGCAAGTAATGCGAGGTTGTGTAGCGAAATATAGTGGCCCTTAAGAATCCGATCTACCACTAATTTTAACGGGCTTAGAGGGCTTTTTGGCCGTTGATCTAGTAGATCCTTTATTATACTAGCTTGGTTATGTAGCTGAGCTACGGTCCTAGGCGTTTTTGGAGTGAATTGGCTAGATCTGCTGCTTGGCCGGCTGCTTAGTAGTGACGGAGTTCGTAGAGAGATATTAAGCTTATTAAGTACTCTCTCTGTATTAACTAGTACTAGGCTAGTAGCCACGAAGCTATTTTAGATAGTGGCTGATTAGAAGGCTTCCTGCCGCGCGCGGTAGTAGTCTTCTAAGAAATCGAATTTATCGATATAGTTATATCCTCGGCGCGCAAGATCGCTCACGAAACGGCTATACGCCCTCTTTAATAGAGTAAAGCAGCTAATATCTAGCGGTTATAGTAGGTATGATAAATACAAAGGTATATAAAGTGGTATAATATCGTTTTCTACGTATATTCGGTCGAACAGGGGTATAAGGTAGCTACTATAGCCGTTAAGAATCAGTAGCCGAAAGCGACCGCGGACGCGCGAATTAGAATATAGGATAAAGTGCTTTTCTAGCTAGCGTAGGCTAATATTATCGGTAGTCTAGCCGTTCGTAGAGACCTTGATTCGCTAATCTCTCGGTAGGTTATCGTTAAACTACTCTATAATAGCTACTTTATCCTTAAAGATTACGTATAGCGGTAGTATATAGCCGTCTACGTATATAGCTTCGATCGTAGTGACCTATTCGCGATTGCCTGGCTATAGAATCGATCTCCGACCGTAGTAATCAGCCCTAGTAACTACTTTCTGCGAAGATATAAGGCCTATTGTAAAGCCTATCTTATCAAAGTTATAGATATTGTGAGCAAGCGATACTGCGCAGGTTGGTAAAGAGGAAGATAAATTAAAGATGATTAAATAAGATCGATTGATATTTCTTCCTCTTGATTGAATAGGAAGGATAAGTTCAATTCGGCTTAGGATTATAAAGGTAAGATGAGAGAAGAGTGAGGTAGGACTGAAGCTTGGTTGATTGTATTGAATCTTTTCTTGTCTGTATGTGTTATGATTTTTTTATTTTTATTATTTTGGTAGAGAAGGCAGGGCATATTTATAATCAACTTGTCTCTTGCATGTGATCGTTCTAGATGATGCATGATGATCTCATGCAGACAGATCTAGATGCATAGTGATCTCATGCAGTAGCTGTTTAATCGGTGGTTGCTTGATTGTACGATGTCATTGACCGCAGTGATGATGTAGATCGTATACTGTTGTATACGTCTTACTTGATGTCATTAACCGCAGTGATGATGTAGATCATATACTGTTGTATACGTCTTACTTGATGTTATTAACCGTAGTGATGATGGTATAGCATAAAGCTTATAGAGATTAACCGCAGTGATGATGTAGATCGTATACTGTTGTATACGTCTTACTTGATGTCATTAACCGTAGTGATGATGGTATAGCATAAAGCTTATAGAGATTCAGCCATCCTGTATAGGCCTTATGAATCTGGCTTGATATGCTGCATGACGGTTTAGGCATCTTGCCCTATATCTCACAGATATCCTCCGCTTGGATACCGTTCTCGTTAATCACGCTTTATACGGTAGTAAACCACGCTCGTAGGGTCTTTGGGTCTTTATTTAATACGCGCTGGTAGTCGTATCGCCTAGAAAAGCGTGATCGAAGCTTATCGCGCCGTTGAACAAATTTTGATAGCTAGTTCTTGCTAACAGTAGGCGGAGGTTAGCTACCACGAGCAGCTAGTAGGATATTAGCTATCTCTCCTATAGTAGCCGGTCTAGGCGCTGCTCCACGCGTATCCATAGAGAGAATCTATTTAGTAAGCGAATCCTTTTCTAACTAATTGGGTCAGTTTATGGCCATTTGGGCGTGTATCGACGCGTGAGGGTAGGCTATTCGCGCGTCGAGACAAGGTAACATGAGATACACCAAATTGCTTCGCAGCTGCGCGAATCGATCTGAATTGACCCTTTTGAACCCCTTGTAGAGCTAATAGAACCCGCCCTCTTGCTCGGTCGCTTTTTGCCAGGATTCAGTGCGTTTTGGTGGCATAGTAGATGGTTGAAGTAGGTAAGGAGGTAAGAACGCGCGATTTCTGGTGGGGTGTTTCACTCGGGCGGGAACTACGTTATTTATACAGGACCTTAACATACGACGGAAGGATGTCATTTTCTCCACTAACTAAGGAGGGTGACGTATTAATTATAGACTAGGGCATATTTTAGGGTTCGTAGGTCAAGATGAGGTTAAGAAGGTAATAGTATTATGTGTTGTTGTTACTATCTACAAGTTATAAATACCAGCGGGCGCTAATACTATTCTAGGTTAGCTCCGGGTAAGTAGGGTTTGTGAACACCGCTAGTGTTCAACGTGGACTAAATACAGTGTTAGGATGATGAATAGAAGCGAAGAACCCTAAAGTATCGCCGGGGCTTCTCGTTCGACCTCTACGAGGAAAACTGAAGAGACTATGTTCACTAAGGATAGCTACTCGGGAAAACTGGCACCTACAGTAAAGCCATACGCATGAGCGAAACGGAGCTGCAAAGCTACTAAAATAAAAGATTCCACCATTCTTAGTCTTTATTATGCTAAATGAAGTTTATTATACTAAGGCACTAGATAATTCTGGCTGTCTCTGCTACGCTGCTGTTAGAAATCCTCTTCTTGAATACTATAAGCTCCCGAGTATTAGTATCCCCACAGAAACACTCGATTGTGTGATGGAAAATCAGGGTCTGTCTGTGTACCTGCGTAGATAGTACGAAATAGTATAGGCCAAGAATACATACTTATATATACATTTAAGAAAAGCCTGTTCCACCCGCCATTTACCCCTTCCTACTGCTCTTCATATTTCCTACGACGGGAATCGTCCTTATCCGTCTTTTACCGGTTCTGTATGCTCACTCTACCACCGATATTTGGGCCAAACTTGACGCCTCCGTATTGCGGGTACTTCATGAACACATTCCGTCTTTCAGGCTCCAAATGCGGCTTCTCTTAGTATAACAGGCAGATCGGCAGAGTACTTCTTTAACACAGGAGAAGCGCTCTGGTGATCAAATTAGCCTTAAGAACCGACTGAGAACCAGCTAGAATTACCCTTCCTCGCTTGCTGTTGGTTTTTTGTTTCGTCTCTTCTTGTTGTCCGACCGGATTGTAGATACGTCTATCTTGCTCGCAGCCGCTTCTCCCATGACATTGGTATCAATCGCCGACTTGGGTTCAGGTGGTTCAGCGCGCCCTTGAATTGGACCAGTTTGGTGAATTTCTCGGTTTCCTGGGCTGAAATAGACTGCTCATATTTGGCAAGGCGAATGGGGAGATCCCCCGATATGATATCAGGAAAATTGGTGGCACTATAATTGGAGATCGGAAGAGAAGTGGACGGTGGTGGAAGAAGATAGAGAGGGATATGGAGGAAGAGAGAGGCCAAGCAAGGAAAGAAAATATTAGAAAGAGACATTCACTTCTTCATTCTGTCAAAGTCTGCAACCAACTCACTGCCTAGAATTTTCATTCATCTAATCGGTTCCTTCATCTTTCCTAGTGGTAACTGGTTCGAGGGAGTAAAGTAGTGATGGTACGTCGGCGTGTGCGTCTCGTTCCCGTACACATCTCCGCCGTAAAAGAGATATCCCTAGCTTTCTTCACGTGGGATAGCGCAAATTTGGTCTGCAGTCCCAATAGCCTACACTATTTGCATCCCTTCAGGGGACACAATTAGCAAGATTTCGGCAGCCTATATAAAGATAACTTACCCATCATCTTATGCTGCGCTCTATGGCAGTGAATCATCCAGACTCCCGGGTCTGTGACACGAAGTCGCTAAGCGCGCCACCGCATGGAAAGGATGAACATACTCAGCTCCATCATTGTTCACTATAGAACCGTGTATTTGAAACACGATCTCTAATACTTCCCCTGGCATCGCTGCAAAGGCACGGACATCCGGGTCCCAGCTGCTATGTGCAACGGCGGCATCGTAGTTTGGCACAGCGGCTTCACCGTACTTGTAAATATCCACTAGAAGGGGGCTGTAGTAGTCCTTTTCAATCCACGTGAAATTGTTGAAAGTCCATGATGACTCGACCTCGACCTTGGCCGTTTAGTCGTGCATGCGCTCGTCCTCTTTTGCCCTGCAGGTTTGCTGATTGCAGGCCCAGGCCTTTGTTCCTTGTTTGATTGTAGGCCTATTTAGGCCTTTTCCTTCTTATTTTCCTTCTTCGTTTTCTTGCTCTCCTAGATAGACCAATTTGACTTCGTTCTCCCCTGCTTCCTGTGTGCTTAGTGTCTATGACACCATCAGTCCAGATTACCTGACCCGTCGCGGGGTTAGTGTCTTGTATAGTATTGAGGATCACACGGCGCGTGACCTCCTCCAGCGAGGGGAAGTTATGCTGTTCTGGGTATAATGGCTCCAGGGTATATTCAAGCTAGTTATAGGGAGGAGTGTTGGTGAAGTTAAATAGTGGCGTCACCGGAGCTACTAGAGGAGGCGATGATTGCTTCGAGTATCGAATAACACCGTATCCGATGTAGGTGGACGGTCGGTCAAGGGTCTGGAACTGAATGATATAGTCTGTTTTTCCATCGGCCAGAAGCTCTTCGTTCGTTTTTGCCTGGAAGAGAACGTCGAATGTCTAGCCAGAGGCGATCTGCATACGGTCGATCGGGGCGGGCTTAGTATACCGCGAATCAGCTCCGATAACGGCCATCTTATGGTGACCTTCAAAACCGATCATAAGGAACGAAAGCGCAGTCGAACTAATGAAGCGAAAACGGTACTTCTTACCAGGATCTACCTCAATAATAGGCAGTGCGCAGGTACCGGAGTTCTTGGGCTCGTGACTAATTACAACTCCAACGCCGTTGAGCAAGACGGAGTTCACTTCGCCGGGCCACGTAAATAGTACCGCTTGCAGACCAACCGTCATGTTGTAGTCTGCCTTATTAAAATAGTCACTCCAGATAAGCAAACGGTCCTCATCATAGTCATACGGCGGCTTTCCGAAATCATCCACAATAAGTGCTCCTAAGGCCGACACCTCGTCCATCCCCACATATATGTGGTAAAAGTATGTACCAGCATCGTCGCGAGTAGTCTGGATTTCGTAGTCGAAGAAGTGACCCGGAGGGATGGGCCATTGCGATGCTTGTGGAGTGCCATCCGAGAAAGGCGCCATTCGCTGGGAAAGGCCATGCCAATGCTATATTTAAATGTTAGGATAGGCGCTTATTTTCTTTAGACTGCCTTAGACATACTATAGTCAATTTGAAAACTTCTAGATCATTGTATACCCTGATCCAGGTAATCTTCCCCGGAGACAGGTGGATTGCGGGCCCTGGTGAAGTGCCGTTGACAAGCACGCTTAGTCGAGACTCGCAAGCGACAGGGACGTTTTCTGCGGTGACACGTAAAACATTATCCGGGTAAAAGTTCTTGTCATGGGCCACCAGCTTGCCAAAGGACGTAGCGGCTTCGCATACGAGGGCAGCTGCCCAAAACAGTGTGGGCCGCATTTTGTGTCTCGCTCTGGGAGCTCTCGTTGACGTGAGATGGCTTTTAACGCTGCCCAGTGTCTAATGTTCATATTCTATAGATATATCTCCAACACGTGCTTGGGCTCTGATTTCTCGCCCGATAGGAACAGTAATTAGTTCGTTAGATAGGTTCTACTCATGGGGCACTTAAAAGCACAATGACTGGTTGTCGAGCTCAGCTTTCTGTCTTCGCTCTAGGTTCAGGGAAGAAGCCGAATCTCCACACGCAAGCCAGTGGAGACGCGACGGGTGCCAAGCAACGTGGATCTGTGTGATGATCAGAGTGGTTCATGCAGTGTTACAAGATCTTTACGGTCGGTTAGAATAGGCAGCACTTACCCGATTCTAAATCGGCTGGATAAGCCATTCAGCAGGAGTAATAAATCGGGAACTATCCGATTTTCTGGGCCCCACACGAATGGCAATATCGCCAGAGGGCTGCACGGGCTGCACGGACCTTGTACACACTACGGCGCGCTCCGCATGTATGAATTTGGCCATACCTTGCAATCAACGTATAACAGTCAGGCGGAGTATACGCTGGGCCTTTTTTTGTTCCGTTAAGAACGTCCTCCGCTCATTCTGTGATTGGATAGATCCTGATGCTCAAATCACCGCGTTTTTCTGACAGCTTCAATAGCTACCAGAAGCTTACTTTCAATACAGCTGTCTCTTATGCGGCACGAGTAATCGTGTGCTAGCCAAAAATTTCTCGCAATCCCAGCTACGAAATTTCGTCCAATAGTCTCATGACCGCAGAGCGGTTGACATAACGGCCCTTCTAAGCCGCAACGACGCTCGGGAGAGTCTTTAACCCACTTGTCAATAAGCACTTGTCAATAAGCGCACTGGGGAATTAGGTTCGGGTGGGGGAAAGCGTCGTCAACGCACGTAAGTTTGGCTTGACCGCCCCTGTGCATTCGGCCGGATCTTGTCGGAGGTGTGGTCCTGAGGTTTCTGTCAGGTGTCTCGTCAACGCACCAGCAAATTAGAGAAAATATACGACACATGTGCTTCCATAACAGTGGATTGATATGTCTTACCTTGATGGAAATAATATTTCAGAAAAGCGCATCCCATTGCAACACGTGCCAGCAGGAGTAACTGTCTTGTTGGGCGCAACAAGTACTGATGGAGAGCGTAGTCTTGGCAAACTTGTAGCTTCCCCATCGTTCATCTGCCAAATTTCATATCGCGTACCTAACAAACCTCACTGTCTGTTGTACGAGTGAAAATGAAGCTTTCCACTGGCCTGGTTCTGGCTGGCCTGTCCTTGGCGACGGCAGCCACGAGTGATGAGAACCTCCACGACGCTAAGAAGGTCACTCCTCCCAAGGGAAAGTGGTTTGACCGTAAGTTGAACAATTCATTGGCGTACGACAAAAGCGAAACTGAAATATTGATAATTGTACTAGGATACGTGGTGATAGTCTTGGAGAACACCAACAAGGATGTTACTTTCGGCAACCCTTACTTTCTCAACCTCACCAACATGGGCATGACGCTTGGCAACTACCACGCTAATTTGTATTCTCTTTAGATCACCACTAATGAACTACGTCTCCCTAACGTCTTGCTTAATTTCTAGGCACTACTCATCCGTCTCAGGTAAATAATATGTTTCCTATCCGGTTGATAGCTAAGCTTAGATGATCCTAATACTTAGCCCTACAGCCGAACTATATTACCATGATTTCAAACACAATTGCTGCTGGTGTTTACGATGATGCCGACCACAACAGCACCGAGATGAGTCTGATTGACTTGTTCGAGCCCGCTGGTACGATCGTTTAACCTAACTTCTAATCAATTCCTCCCGCTAAGAAGTAGAGGCTAATTGAAATAGGTATTTTCTGGAAGGCCTATATGGAGGGCTACACCCCCTGGAGAACAGTGAGAGCAATCCGATCTCCGAGGACGACTCCACTCTCTATGTCCGGTAAGAAACCTATTCGTGACTAGAATCAACATTACGAGACCACTTATTTTGGATAGAAAGCATAACCCTTTTATGTCCTTCGACAACATCCGTAACAACACTTCTCGCTGCCAGAAAATTGTCAACGCTGAGCAGAATTTTGCTAACGACGTTGCTCTGGGTGCCGATGCTCCTATGTATATGTTCTACACCCCGAATCTTGCCAACGACGCCCACAACACCAACATTTCTTTCACCGCAGAGGACGTACAGTATCTGATGGACACTATGCTAAGCAACAAGGAGTTTATGAAGAAAACTTTGATTGTCATTACTTTCGATGAGAACAGTAAGTAGCCCAACCCTTCCGCGGCAAGCATCGTTCGGTAAAGGGTTTACTCACAAACCCAAAGATATCTACATTAACGACAACTTCGGTCTGCCTAACTCGATTTATACCGTCCTCCTGGGTAACGACACTATTAAGTGCTATGATTGCGTTGACCAGCAATACTACGACCGTGGGTATTCCCAGAGTTATTGCTCTTCTTATACTGTAATTCTGATTTCTTTCTAGATTTCTCTCAGGTCGTGACCCTCGAGAGGAACTGGAATCTCGGCACAATTCCCCAGCCTGATGGTAGCGGAGAGGGCATGGACATGTGGTGGCGCCCCTTTGGTATGCTTCATTCCTCCTCGGATAAGATTTGCGCGTACGCTCCTTGTTCTTAGTACTACAATGATGAAAGCCCGGCCCCGTCCGATGGTAACTGGGGTGATCAAGACTATTAGTGTCGGGCTACTATTAGGGTCGGGTTAGCTTAAGAGGAAAGGTGGCATGTCTTTGGATTTCTCTCTCCTCGCCAGTCAAGTGTATAGCTCCCTTTGTTAATAGTACATCTATCTAACCGGCCCTTTCACAAACCACCATTAATTACAGACCGTCGCATACCAAGGGTCCTACATTTGTATATTAAATACCACCCATACGATAATGTAACTTTTTACGAGGAAGACCGTACAAAGGAACATATATGAGCGTTATATTTTCTCTAACACCAGTTAAAAAATATTTATTTTAGGTCTAGTTCTAAGTAGTGTTTGAATCCTCTGTTAATTCTTGTATTAAGTTTTGAGAGAAAGTCTTTTGGGACCCCTCGAGTGCTGATATTTATTTACTCCGTTGGTTAGTAGGTTCGAAATTATCCAAAAATCATGCTATTACAAGAGAGGTCCCTAAACTCAAGGTCAAATTTTAGTATGTATAATGTCTTCAATTATAGGACTTTATAGAGCGTTAAGGTTGAGAAAACTGAGGATCTATTTTGTGCCTTTTGCATGGTGTGCCTAGTAAAAGCATATTATCAAATCGGTGATATTCATTCATCCTGTGTGGGAGACCCTTGCTATTCGAGGGTCTGTAATAAATGGGAATTATGACGGGGCCGGTTACTACACTCTCTTATAGCATACAATGAAGCAATCGGGTGAGCCAGGGAGCGTGGTGAAGTTTTCGCAGGAAACGGATATCGGGACTTGTTGCTTTCTTTCCGGTGCCTCCACATAGGCGGGGATTCGGCCTCGGCGATAACCGCACTAGCGGGTATTGGTGGTTTACTTTCGGGAAAAGAATGCTTGGTAAAGCTTGACACGGCGGGTGGGCTGCCTTATCCCAGGTACAAATCTTAACTGGGGAATTTAATATACCCGGACACCAATCATATTCCAACCTGGCCTATGCATCCAGAAAATACTCTCCAAAGTTGTTAAACGGAAATAGATTTGGGGTAAGAGTGCTCTGAACCACGTGCCGAGAGTTGGAGTCTAACGTCAGCAATCGGTCAATCTCCGACACCACCAAATGTGGCTTGCTATGTCGGAGCTATTATGAAAGATACTTCTCAGACAATACCGACCGAGACCGAAACTGCAAGATCATAGAGCCGTGATGATAATCAGCATAAATTTTGGCGGTATATGAGTATGCTCCGTTAACATTGTAGACAAAAACATGGCGTATTAAGGCTGTCCGTGTGTGTCTAGCAAACCATTGAAGTACATTATTCTTACAACTATTGCAAGATCGCATCTATAGACCTTCTAGCTTGGGCCTAGTGCTTCTGTGCAGCCCCCACTTACGTGAAAGAAAGTATTTCCACTCAATAGCTGCAAGTGTGCAGCAACAGCTTAACGCTATTTTCATTTCAGCCAACCGGAGTTCTTGCCAAGAGAACGTGTATATTTTCAAGATCGTACAAAAATCTGCACTATAAGTCAGCTCATTGATGGAGATTCCATATAAAAAACCCTGCATATGCTGCGACGAGGCGGATTTTGAGTCCATCAACAACAACCAAACTAGTTTTCTCTCGTACATCCAAGAAGATGAAGTCCGGTTTCGGATTGATGGCCGTTTGTGCCGTGGCCAACATGGGTGCAGTTCTCGCTGCCCCAGGCGGCAGTGGTTCTAGGTAAAGTGCCCATATTTTGCCATTATCAATATCTCCTCTAATTCCAAGTCCGGCCTGAGCAGCGATGTGTGGCAGCGTTTGAGAGGCAATGTAAGAAGCCAACCTGTGCTGACAAAGGGCCGATGACATTGACCTCCTACTGCAGGTCAAACACGTTATCTACCTCATGATGGAGAACCACTCCTTCGACAACATTGCTGGGTACTGGGATTTTCATCCTGATATCGATAACCTGGTTCATCTCACGGAGCCCTTCTGCAACCCATACAGTAACCCTAACTGGACAGTCTATGGCGAGCCTTACTCGATCTGTGCTGCGCCTAACGAGGGCGAGGTTCCCTTCGACGATCCTGACCACGACTTCGCTGGTACCAACTATGAGATTTTCCAGACCTACTACCCTAACAACGACTCTGTTCCTACTATGCAGGGTTTCGTTGACCGCGAGTCTGCCAGGTACAATCTCACTCCTGGTCAGTCTGCTTTCGTCATCAAAGCCTTCGACGAGAAGAGCACCTCCACGCTGGCCGAGATCGCCGAGAACTTTGCTTTCTTCGATCGCTACGTTCGTACTATTTCCCTTACTATTCAAGACAGAAATCCATTGACGTATTTGGAAATTAGTTCGCTGAGCACCCTGGTCCAACCAACCCAAACCGCCAGTTTGCAACCTCGGGTTCCACCTGTGGTTTTGTCGATGACACCACCCAGGCTGCTGGCTTCTTCAACAATGTGACTGGAACCACCTGTGCCATGTCTATCTTCGAATCCCTCTCGAATTCCGGAATTTCCTGGAAGAATGTGAGTGTGTTTGGCTTTGCCGCAGGAACCAGGAATTGACGATGTGCTGCAGTACTATGAATCCGACATCGTCGACGCCTGGAACTACGAGTGGGTTCAGAAGAATGCCATGGACAAGCTCGATACCGCCAACAACTTATACAAGGATCTCCAGGAAGGAACCTTGCCACAGTTCTCGTACATCAACCCGGAATGCTGCACCGTCACCTCTATGCACCCGACTTCCAACATTGCTGCTGGTTCTGCAATGATCAAGCACTTGTACGACGCTGTCCGTAACTCCCAGTATTGGGACAACGTGTAAGTCATTAGGAAGGATCATGGTAGATATCAGCATCAACGACTGATTGCTGATACATTTCACATACAGCCTGATTATCCTGAACTTCGACGAGCACGGTGGATTTGCGGACCACGTCGCACCTCCCATGAACGTCCCTATCCCCGAAGACAGAATCTCCTTCGATGGTGAGTCCGAGGGCTTCAACGTTACCTTCAACTTTGACCGCCTTGGTGTTCGGTGAGTGATATGTCTACCTGGTATATAAAGAGAGACTAATTCTATCCGTAGCGTTCCTGCCTTTTTGATCTCTCCTTGGGTCCCCGCCAACACGTTGATCCACGAGGAGGGTACCATGTATGAATCCAACTCCGAGTACACTCACACGTCCTTCCTTCACTTTCTCCAGAATCTCTGGGGACTTGAAGGTCTGAACAACCGTGTGCAGTGGGCGAAAACCTTTGAACAGGTCTTCACAGAGAAGCCCCGTACGGATACCCCCCAAAACCTCACTCGTCCTGTCTGGTATGGTGGTAGCACTGGTCCTCAGCCTGATAAGTTCTATCTGCTGAACCAGCCGTACTCCTACTACGCCGACCTCCCTTAGAGCAATCTGAGTGACATACCCTGTGTCTTTGATCGTTCTCGTACAATGGTCTTGCTAGTGGAGCGATGGCTGAGGCGTGCAACGAAAGTTAACCGATTCCGCGGCCAGAGAACTTCTGTGGCGCGTGTTTCTATTCAATAGCATTGCCAAGATTCTGCTCTCTCCATCTCCCTTTCTAAATCTTGTAGGCCTGTTTCCATCATTTCTTCTGAGCTTTGTGCAACTCATGGTATCATATTCGGTGGAGCTTGGGATTTGACAAGATAACTTCCTTAACGTCCATGTCTAGAAATAAAAGAAGCAAAGCGAGGTAACAGAAATGACGTAGGATTCGCTAAAAATGGAAGACAAAGCTAACCTCAAGATCGCTACGTAAAATAAATTAAGCATAATCGCTAACAGATGACTGTGCACTAGGTTCAACACCATGCTAGTCGTGGCCAATTCTCAATACTGAATAATTGTATTAGTGGAAGGGGGCTCTCGAATCTTATGGTTGATGATGAAAAGGTCGTGGTTCTGACTAGTAATTTAAACATTTCGAATAACTTGACTCCGGGACTATCAGGAACCCTTTACCCAAATAGACAGGCTCGCATTGCTGAATATATAACTGCAAATCACGCAACTCGGTGTAGCTTGCATTAAGAGGAGGAAATAATATGCTGCTGAGTGAGGGAAAAGACAGGTCTAGCTACGTGAGCCTATCTTCATAAACGGTGGCTTAAGGCTCCTTCAATACTTCACCTTCTCCTTTAGTTCTCCTCATGAGAAGGCTTTTCTCCCACTGCACATCCGAGGAAAACTACGAGCCTCAAAGAATACGTTGAAAGAGTATTCCTATCAAAATATTAATGTCACTTACAGATCATCTCTCGCCCGAAAATGTTCTTTGTCTTTTAGTTTGCTACACTCGACTTCTACAGCCTTCGACCGCGAAAGAAAACATTTGCCATTACTGACAGAAAACGTAGGCTGCCGATTCCACATCGGCTCGAACGTGATCTCCTAGACGATTTTTCTTAACATGCTTGCATTCTTCCCCAGAATTACGACAGGTTTATATGCTTTGCTCTAAGCCAGCGGGGCTACGCATACCAACACGAGAAATTATATTAGTCCACCATCAGACCGAATAACTAGTTGCACCTCGTAAAAGTCCTAAATACCGACCAAGCCCTCTACTAATTTTCGGAACTGGTAAGCATATATCTTTCTCGGACTACCGAGGTTGACCTCACATTTTATCGATAGCTATTATTCCGCTGGCAAAGTGATATTTTCTCCGACGAAGATCTGTGACCAATGCAACACTCATTCCGAACTTAACTCCGTAAATTTAGCGGGGACAGTCTTGCTTTCGTTATAACAAAGAGAATCAACTTTGTTCCTGGCCTTAATTCTACAATCTAACATACGAATACTAAACATTACCTGTGTAACACTTTGCTTGTCTAACACTTTGTCTTTTTTTATTAGGATTTATTAACGGCACGTCATTTAAATTTATTGCACGACAAGCTAAACCTAATTCGGAACACTTTAACCCACCCATCAAAAGTAATATTCGACACCTACATAAACACTGCTAAGTCCTTATATATATATATTCCTATACATAAGCGCTTCTTGCGGTTACCCTCGATACTAGCCGCAAGTTAAGCACGTGACCTTCATATACTAAGGTTTAATAATCTTTGTTTTTAAAACAAACTATATACTAAACCCCCTACGCTATCACTATAGCCAAACCCTAAAAACCCTAAATAAAAAACCTTAATGATAGGCAATGTCCACGAGATCGTTGAAGATCAAATTGATAGATCAAAGAGGGGTAAACAAGATAGGGTTTTCTCCGCGGTAAAACCAGGAAGATTGCTTAGTAGGCAGGCAGGATTCAAAATGGCAATCTGGGCCCTCGGCCCACATATGCTGATAGTAGTTTATCTATAAAGGCTCGTTAAAAAGACCTCCGAATACGCTACTTGATATATCGAATCTACTAAAAAGTAACTATAAGATATACGGATCGAAGATAAATAAGTACCTAGATAATATGGAAAGAAAATTCCTACGGTTAGCGCTAAAATATACTAGGATTAAGTACTTAGAAGACCTATCATTAGTATCTGAGAGGGTACGTTAGACTACGAGGGAAGTCTACTTCCTATCTAGGTTATAGTAGACAATCATCATAATTATCGTATATCTTCTTAGTTTATAGGCTATTAGTTTGGTAAATAAGGAGAATAGGTATTTATTAGAGAAGGCAGAGGGAGTAAGGACCTAAAGAGAAGTAAGGGTGAACTATAGCCTAATCGTATCCGGGAATAAAGTAGTCAAGGATGTATAGGCTCGAGATTCCCTCGACAAAGCATTTAGCGGGCACTTACTATACGTGGAGATAGAGGCAGCTAGGATTATAAATGACTTCCTATATATCATTATCCGAGGCATCTGTGACTATGCGGACTCGGGAAAAGTGAAAACCTGGCAAGAATATGCTGCAGCGGTAGCCGCTATATACGTAAAGGAACATTTAGGATGTGTGTACCCTAGTATTGTTAATGCCGAGTACTCAGCAAAAGCTATATTGGAAAAGGGTTAGCACCTACCTACCTAAATAAATCGGCTGCAGGTGTCTAAAGTATCAGCATATGCATATACCCGAGACCGAATATCTGAACTTGGAATACGTCCTGACTGCGAGTAGTTCAACAAAAAGATCGATAGCGTGCAGCAGACGACAGTTGCAACAGAAGCTGTAACTAATTCCATTAGGTAAGGAAAATATAATGGGAACTGAGTTTTATGCTAGCAGCACTGAATAGATATAGCTAGGAAGTTTTCGCTATGCACACGGAAGGATTGGAGCAGTGGGCGGCAGAGATCAATGTAATCAGAGAGTCCCATAGCCTCCATTAGAGAGTCCTGTAGACGTCTGGCTCTTATATAATGTCCCCTGTGTTCCATACGACGTGACCTGGCCGATAACAAAGCTATCTAACTCATCTCGGGGCAAAGCGCCCGCATTCAGCAAGACGTACGTGACAGCCTCTGCAGCCGAAAGAGTAGCGAGACTCGAGGAGTCCGACGCCCAGGGTTCAGAAAGCATAGTCGCAGAGCCAACGGTATTGTAGGAGCTTCCATTTAGCTCCCCATCCTCGTTGTCATCGAGATAGTTCCCTGAAGCGTATACGCTTTGCTCAGAATCCATCTGGTAGAATGCATCCTTCGCAGTCGAAGTACTTGGTCCCGTAATAAAATAATTGCCGATGATGTCGTGGGAGAAGTAGCCGCCTGTGTTCCCTGAGGTATAAGCTGCTTGAAAATTGTATACCACATTGTTGATATACTGGGTATCATCTTTGGAAAGTGGCTGGCGGTTATGAGCGCTAACCCAGAGGTTACGATAGAAGGTGGAAGGGCCCGTCTCAACATGAGCTCCGAATTGCTGCCCAATCGGTAACGCGATAATCGAGTTGGAGACGGTGATGTTTACTGCTCCGACCGCATCGATGGAATCCCACTGGCCGTATTCAACCGAGCAATGGTCGAGAATTATGTTAGATGCATCTCCCATGTTGAATGCGCTATGACCTGTGTCGGAATCTAGAGTTCCTTGTCGCATGCGCAAGTTGCGAATGATGATATTACTTTTGCCACTAACCGAAACTTCGGCTCCCATGATTCCAATTCCATTGCCCGGAGCCGTCTGCCCGTTGATGGTCAAGTCGCTTGATAGTGATAGGGCCGACTCAAGCTCGATATAGCCGCTCACGGAGAACTCGATGATCCGGTTTGGCTCGCTGACAGCGTCCCGTAGGGAGCCTGTTCCTGAATCTGCCAAAGTCGTAACCGTGACGGTGGTACCTCCAGTGCCTCCTGTGGCTACAGAGCCGAAGCCAACAGCGCCGTCAAATGCTAGTGCAGAGACAGTCGGGAGCACTGCCACAACAAGAACGGCCACGGAAAAATGCATGGTGAAAAGAAAGGGTTCACGGCCATGAACAGTTTCAGAGAAATGTGATAAAGTCACTGTATAATCTTTAAACCATTCCCCGTAAACGAATTGTCTTTGTCGTCGCTTTACATTTAATTGCCTCGGAATCAAAGGGGCGATGGTGACGGTTAGGGACTACTGCGGAGAAATGCATGTTTCTTCGAATGCGACGGCGCCGTTTTCCACCAACCCCGGAAAAATGGGGACGAAAACATAGCCTTAAAGGGATACCAGCACTCGTTCATCGTACCAATCATTGAATGGGCTAGCCAGATTGGTGGTAGTTCGGGGTTTATTCACCCAAAATGCCGGGAGATCTTACCGCTGCCCAGGACATTACTCCGCCTTCGGAACATTCTCTAAATGGGTAAAGAGAGTTATTGTCAAAGATCGAGCATTGAATCTCTGAATCTGATTGGCTGATGGGCATATCATGCCTTCCTTTTACCTCCAACCGTACAACCAACCCCTCATGCCTGATCACTCGGTAAAGTGCGGAGACCTTGCTCCGTGCCCAAACTAGCCGGTCTTGTTCCGCCTTGATTAAGCTTCAAATCCAATAACTAAGTGCCTGGGATTCGCCGATGTGATGTTGTTGCAGCCGCAGGGTGTGGGGGTTACCTGGAAGGAATATCACAGTCCTATCAGACAAGGCACCCATTTATGTGTCATGTACAGTATGAGTGCAAGCCAGTTCTCCCTTACCCTACGTATGAACCACCTCGGTTTATTTTCGGTTGCGATCGGGCATGGCAATGCACTTGGCTAAAATTCAACTTTTGTACAGACTTTCAAGTTTCTACAAGGCGCATCTACTGTTGACATGTTTACAGGATTTCTCGAAATTGCCTTGAGCAGTACACACTGAGACTCTTTCTTGGTCCCACTGCCAAGACCTTAACGCACATCATTCATTTGGCCTGACGTTTACACTACGTAATCTGACCTTCGGCGTTTTAAAGTATCCAAGTACTAAACCTTTTGGTAACAATCTTGTGTTTTCTTGCTTCCTGTTATAACTCACGCAATCATGCCTAACTCTTCGTCAACACAACTCCAGCGCATCATTAATAAGCTTTCGGAGTATGTTCTCTCCGACATGTGCAGATCCTTACTAAATAACGGAAGATGTCGTGAAAGAGGCGATTTTACCGATCTCAAAATTGTTTGCGAAGGAGTCGATCTCGACGTTCATAAAGTCATACTATGTTCACAATCTCCTGTCTTTCGAGCTGCTTTCAAGGGAGATTTCAAGGCAGGTTTTCTCTTAAGCCGGTCTTGCTCTTCTCATATCCCATGAGGTTCCTACACAGGAAGCAGCAGACTCTACGTACCAGATGATTGACGAAGCGCTTCCCGTCGTTAGAAAAATGCTGGACTACTTATATACCGGAGATTATTCAGAGCTTATTTATGATAGCCCGACAGATGTCTTACCCAATGTGCAGCCGTTATCAATATCTGCTCTTCAATTACAAGCGCAATTGTTTGCTGTGGGCGATAAATACTGCATCCCGGAGCTTTGCGACGCGGCCGCGGGAAAATATTCGAACAGAATTGTGGGTCACTTTGACCCCTTTGAATATCTAGATTCGATACCCGATGTCTTCTTCTCGCCATTAAGCCACGATGCGGCGCTCAAAGAGCTCGTCGTTCGCTTATCGAGAGACAATCTCGAGTTTCATTTAAGAGACACATCCGTCCGCGCGAAGTACAGTCATTCTCGAAATCGCCTTGACCAATTTACACTGAGAAACTCTTTCCTGACCCCACCGCCAAGGCCTTAGCGCAGATCAATTATTGAGCGGGCCGCATTACATTGAGGGACTGGGTAAAACAGCTATGTATGTTACAGCACCTAACAACGTAAATTACATGATGCGAATGAGACCGTAGAATTCCATAGAACCTTGTAGTGGATCTCTGCAAATCATGCGCTCAAGGTCGAGTTCCCGGCCGAACCATCTGCCAGGTGGCTTCTACTTTCCTTGCCAAGCTGCGCACAAGTGCCGATCTTTCGCATACATGCTAGAGCCTTTGCACATGATTCTGAATACAACGGGCGGCGAAAAGCCCTGTTTAACTCTGTACATGGCCTAATTTGTCTCCAATTGACGATATCCTCGTGTTCTGTACTACATACATCATTCTATCGATCACTTGTCAACATAAAGTCGACCTCCGATATCAAAATCAATTAGGTATATACTCATGTCATGTTTATACATTAAACTCTCAGATTGTTCTGTTTTTCTCTCAGTTCAACCTTATACCGTACCTCATACAGCCAGCCCATCGGATCCTTCGGTTTCTTGCCCGTCTTCCTACGATGAATTAGCCGCGACCTCAACGCATTTGCCACTGAGATCAGATTGACTTACGCTTTCGAATCGCTTCCAAGGGGCATATACGTGGTCGCAAAATCTCTTAAACTCCGCCACCACCAGCGAGCTCCCAGCCCTAGCTGACCTGTCCAATAACTCTGCTTGGTCATGCTCTTCGACCTTGGAACCCTAGCTTGGGCATACGCCTCAATCGCTCTAGAGAAATCTAAGCTGCCATTCTCTAACGAGGGCGGGTTATTCAGTAGTTCATTAGCCAAAACGGTGGCGTCTTCGATGGCGAATCCCGCTCCTTTGAATGTGTCAATCACTGCCACTCTCCTCTTCAAAGACGAAACTGGGTGAAAGCAAAAATGAGGTAAGACTAACCTTGGCCGCTGGTCGGCAGCATCAATCGTGAAGCGTCTCCGATCACAACGATGTTCTTCCCACCAATCTCACTCTCCTCCCAAGCATGATACCACAGAGGGGCTCTAACAATCCTCTCGCTCCTCTTATACAACTCCTCAAAGTTCCCCGCAATAGGATGAAAGGCATTCTCGTACCTCTTCAGAATCCCCCGCGTTTCTTGCAGGTCATATCCACCTAGTATTAAGTCCGCACCATAGAGCTTATCCACTTTCTGTTTCTGCAGGTGCTCAGCAGCGGTCATCCTCTTGGGAGGAAGGTTGGAAGGGAAAGAAATAGTCCAGAACTGCCTGCCGCCAGGCAGAGCCCATGTTGATGCGGTGCCTGAGTCGAGGAGAACCCAATGCGTGTCTCCATCTTGCACATCTTCTTCACATTCGGTTGCGCGGGCCCTGCCCATGGGTTTGGAAACACCGTAAATCCCATCCGCGTATGCAAACTCGGGCTTCCATCTATCAGCACCGTGCCTGCCGTCTGCTGCTGCTGCTGTCGCCATAATATGCCTTCTCACAACCGACCAGCCCCCATCCGCACCAACAGCAAGATTCGCTTCGACCTCCTCCCCTCCTTCAAAGCACACCTTAACACCCCCTCCAGTGGCACTCTTCACATCAGTAACCTTCCTCTCCCAGATCACTTCCCCGCCTAACTCCTGCACCCTATCAAGAACCACGCGCTGCAGCCCCGCCCTCTCTACAACCCGGAGGTTCGTCCCCAAGTCCTCGTGCCAGTTCGGATTGTTCAACTGCTGGCAGTACTTATGCTTCCCGGTGTCCCAGGCGCGCCAGATCTTGATTCGTGCCGTCTCAGAGCTAATAGAGTCCAGCGAGTCCCGCAGCCCCAGGACATACAGAGGGTAGAGGGCGTTGGAGGTCAGGGCAACAGCGGCACCAGCTGCATACGTTGCAGTGCTATGAGCGTCGGTGGATTTGTTTTCTCCGTGGCTCTTTGAGTCAGGGAATGCGCTTGGTTTGGGACGCGCAAGGCGCTCGTATATCACGGGTTTATAGCGCTCCTTGAGGACGGGGTTAGAGAGTATTGTCAGGGCGAGGACGGGACCCGCGACGCCACCGCCGATGATGGCTATGGTATACGGAGCTGGTCTGTCGGCCATTGATTAATACTGAGAAATTCAAAAAAATCACATCAATTTAGATCGAAGAATTATTTGACCCCGTGTAAACACTCCCAAGGTTGAGGTACGTAATTTGCTGCATTTAATAAGGTATGGGACGGCACAGAACGTTGGTTGCCTAGGATAGTCACGTGATGATCCCCGAAACGCCGAACCCCATGCCTGCCGAACCAACTCGATGCTTCCACAAGAACAATTATACCAAGATACAGTACCATACACGGTGCATATTACGGTGTCCCTCAATTTAATGCCAGCCGCTCAATGATTGATCTGCGCTAAGGCCCTGGCAGTGGCGCTAGAAAAGAGTGATTAAGTATATGTTAGTCAAGGCGATTTCGAGCATGACTGTACGATTCAATCGCCGCCCATGTGCCAGAATTCGTGAAAGAAGTGCTCGACACATATTTTGACTCTCTATTATTGGGAGACTGTGAAAATTGTGGGCGCGGAGGATCAATGTTAGCTTTACAAGTAAGTTGCCGGAAGTGTGGTCGAGGAAAGGATATATCTCATGGCTATTGGGGGTTCAAAGCTGGCTAGTCTATCGCTATACAACATGAAGCCTTAAGTAAATCAACATTTGAAGGTTGCTTCCTTTCGATGCGTGCTTTGTGATGTATATATGGTTTGATTTACCTACAGGCGATTAGTTTTAGACAGAGCATAGCATGACCCTAAATATAGTCGGGTCATGCGGGAGGGCATATAGTTAAGAAAGTCTTGGCGGGGGCCGGGGCATGAATTTAAGGTTTAAATCCCCCCGCCCCTAACTCTACTAAATAATGGAATTTTCCGATCGGGTCTTTAGATCTTTTAATAAGATCGCTTAAATTATCTTCCTATTAAAAAATATTAGTAGATTTCTAGCTAGAAGGGGGTTACCCTATAAGGGCTAGGTTACGTGAATTATTTTTTGATAGGGGATGCCAAGGCCAGTGCCTACGGGTAAGCTATACCGCTTTCAGCTAGCATTCCTAAGCCTATTAGTAGCCTTAGCAATCTAGCTGTATACCTCTATCCTCTTACGACTTCTTTCCCGGAATTATTTTCCGGGAAACGCTAATCTGCTTTAGGATACAGTTTTGTAATTCCGGCAGAATGACAACCGTAATATGTTTACCAAACGGATGAGTTATAGTTATAAAACCGTAATACCGTAGGTGATCTTGTAAAATCGATTGGCAGTTCTAGCAACCTGGCATGATCGCCGTAGCCTCCGTGCTGATAAGGGGTTAGCCTATATGATTAAGTCCAATTAGAATTCCCAGAAATATCCACCCTCACGTGCTACCAACGAATCGCTCTTTTCTAATAAGTGACTTTTCTGATCCTCTTAGATTCTCAGGCTCTATTTCGAACTTGATATCCCGCCTTCTCAGAATGAACATTCCTATAGCAGAAAACATCTTAGGCACCCTTGGCGCGATTGGTTCACCTGCTCGGCCTATTAAATCTCTCCCACTAATAACTCTCACAGGTGTGTTGGTCTATCCAGGTAGGCCATCATAGTGTGTGAGGCTGTACTCCTTCATGCTAACATTTTCTAGCTTCTACCCCAAATCATTATCAATTACAGGAGACACGATACTGAAGGTCTACAAGGGTCAATGATGCTTCTATGGACTGCGGCAGAGGTCCCTCTCGGGATGTATAACATCGTGGAAGAGTTTAATGTGGCGTTAAGAATACAGCCCCAGATTCTTACAGCCTTGAGTCTTGTTACTTGAGCACAGTATCTTTACTACGGAAAGGTCGGCTTTGTTCGCCTCCTGATATCGTTGTTTATATAGTACTGACTTCTAAATAGAAATATTCTGTCACAAAGTGCATTACCGCCGTCGCTCCCCTTCTTCTTACTTTCGGTGGCATCGAAACTGGGCTGATATTTGCGTTGAAAGCAGCTAAATCTCATGGCTCAGAGTTGCCTCTCATATTACTGGCTGTTTTAAGCGCATGTCTGCTTGTAGCAGGAGTACCGACGCATTACTGGGACATCTATGTTCATCGAACTGTATGAGGAATCAGTTTCTTTTTCGTTGGCATTGACGCCGCTGGGGATTTATTTTCGCTCGTATCCGTCTGTAAGTTACTTAAAATGAGCGGGTGAGTAGTGATGGCTATAGATAGGAGCAAAAGTAGCTTCACCACTACCCATTCATTGATTGTTTTCGGATCCTATTGCCAAGCCACTAGCCCCGAAACTGGGTGTAGAGTAATGAACATTGCAGGGGAATAAAATCACCTGCCGTAATATTAAGAATATAAATCATCTAGCCACGGTCCAATATCGAATGTATTTCGGGCAGATCAGTGCATGAAAAGACAACAGAACAATTGTATATCAAGATATGATGTCAGGTTTGTGGCCACAATAACGGAAAGATCAAACTGAGGCTGTGATGAATACGTTCGGGCACATTTCATCAGAATGAATGCAAATTCGCGGACTGTTCACGTGTGGCAAATGTGGACGAGTTCATACTTTTAATCAGGAAGAATTACTAGTATTAACTAGGTATCTTCAAAGTTCTGGACTACCAAGTGAGTACGAGGCTACGAATTTTTTCTGTAGCTTGATTTTGATTTAGAAAACTAATACTGTATTGCTCCTCCCGGTATTAAGGCCGCTTGCCCCTAAATTTGCCCGTGTCTCTCTGTCTTTCGTTATCCCTCAACTTCGTCAAGTACCACCTCGTCATATTCGTGGTGAAATTGTCGATGCACCTCTCGAATTATATACTGCATAATCGATCTCTGGACGGCCGCAGATGTTTCTCCCTTCGCCGTGGTATAATGTGTCATAAGCTCTCCATGACAGATATCCCCGCCATGAGTTGCGCCGGGGTAGCCCATTGCATGTGTGCAAGGAATAGCTATCACTTCTTCTGACCGATTAAAGTCATACCGAACCCAGTTTGAGAAAGTGTACTGCTCTTTTGGCCAATCATCCTTATATTTGGCGCACCCATGGTATCGTGTCTCCTGAGGGCAGGTGGCCCATGCATCGAGTAGTTCGTGGGTGCGAGCGGATTGTTGTACCACTATAAATCCGGAATTGAGAATCAAGCCACCGCGAGAGTCGTAGCTCCACGCTTCGTTGACATCCTCCGGCATAGCAATCAAAGTCTCATTAGTGATACCCCATAGGTTCATAAGCCATTCGAAAGGAATATGAGGGTATGGGAATAGTGTATCTCCGTCCAAAAAAACGACAAATTTGTAATCTCGCAAGAGCTTTTGCATCGCGGGGACCTTGGTGTAGCTTCCTTTTAGATCGACTTCGCAGGCCTTGACGAGCTTATAGTCATACCCATGTGTGCGTGCTAGAAGATTCAGTGATTTTCACTTGATAGGAAAGAGACGAACGTTCTTACCGTACATATAATGATCCAGTCGACTCATTGTATCGAATGTTGCGTCGTCGAGATTTAAGGGGCGCCCGTTCAGAATCTGGCCATTACCATGAAGAGGACGCGTCTCGACGTCAAGTATCAACAGATCCTTTCCAAGAGATTCGGTAAATCTCGGTTGGTCCTTGAGTGAATAGACCTTTCCTGTAGGACTAACAAAACGTTCGGCAGTAATAGGAAGACTGTCACGAAACATGCTGCGAAGAGCTACTTGGATAAAATTATCTTTTCCCCCCTGGTCGGTAGAATGGGTATTGTGGCCCCGACCAGTGCTAGGTTGACCATCAAGTAGTGCCGTTCTTGAGTGGTCAGAATATACTTCAAAGAAAATGTTGAGCGATGGTACATACCTCAAGGTTCCAATCAAGGCGGCATTTTGGCCAAAGCTTGAATAAATCAAGAGATGGATAAAGAGTGTTGCTGTAGCAAATAAGGCTAATTTCAAGTTCCATCTCACCAGATGCACCCGATGGAGGCTATTGAGCAGGGTCATCTTATCGACATGTAGAGTGAGAGCTCAAAAACCAAAGATGGACAAGAATACAAAAGTAGAGCCGTCAGAGGAAGCCTGGATAATTTCCTTTTTAAAAGGAGTCTAGAAACAGAACTAATTCCTTATCCTTAAATTGTTGCCGCTTCCGGATGCTACTTGCAGATACTGTATGCTGCTTTCGGATAGTGTCAAAACGCTCGTCATTAACAGATCCGTCAAGCAAACTTACATTCGCATTGTATATTACAAAAACTAGACAAGCACCTTCTCTCAGTCAATATGTCATTAGTAGTGAATCTCCTCAATAGCTACAGTATCAGCATTCTTTGGTGACGACAACAATTTACAGGCCGGATGTGGAGGGATGTTTCGTCACGTGAAAAATACGAGAACCGTAATATACCAAGAGTCCATTGAAATGTACCCGTTTTCGAGCTAGCGCCTTGGCTGTTGCGCCTATGATGAGGACAAGTATGAGAAAATGGTGAAGCTGGTTTTGCACTAAATATAGTCTCGCCCAACGGGGGCCGGGGGGGGGGGGATTTAAGGTTTAAACCCAATCCCCCCCCCTTAAGTACCTCAAATATTGGTATTTTCCGATCGGATCATTTAGATCTTTTAATAAGATAGCCTGAATTATCTTCCTATCAAAGAATATTAGTAGTTTTATAGCTAGAAGGGGCTTACCCTATAGGACCTGGGTTATATGAATTATTTTTTGATGGGGGATGCCAGGGTCAGTGCCTCCGGTTAAGCATAAGGCTATTCACACTTTCCGGCCTAAGGCCACCAAGGGGTTTAGCTATAACGTACCGATTCGATGGCTTATAGCTACTCTTCTGTCTCCGTCTTGCCGGAGGAGAGTTATCCTATAATCTGCATATTTTGTGTGACCTGTTATATCTGGCTACTTACCCCTCCTTCCCTTCAGAAAAGCAAGACTGTATATAAAAACCAAGAAGGAGAGAGATAGGGCGCTTCAAGAAACAGTCTCTATGATTTTTGGACTTAGTGCTTTGCTCTCCTACCTAGTTGGCAGGCTTTCTACCCTACAAGTAGTTAAGCCCATAACACCTAGAGAGTATTTTGCAGGATGTGCCAGAAGTGTGTGCCAACTAAGTCACTAAGTGGGATCAATATGTGGGCTCCCCTACTTGTAGGATGGGTTGTCTTGAAGGTGAACTGTGAAGTGCAAAGCACCCAAGGTGGTTTCCAAGTAACAATATGAGATTGATAGCGAATAGATAAATACATGTGTGCTAAATGAGTGTCCTTATATATCCAGTCGATCCGACCCTGGCTATGATGCCTTGTCACGTGACTCTATAGTCTTTCATAGCGTGGCAGAATCCCTTTTGCCCAATCTAATTCTTGCTGACTGTTCCAAGTTGGTTGGTTGTCAGTAGTCCTTCCCCAAATTAGGGCGTATGGTAGTTCGGTGACAAGTTGCTGCTTAGAAGGTAGTCAAGACTGCAATGTCATACTCCTTCAGCTCGAATGAGAACACTCCACCCTTCTTTGCCACTAGCTCGGTAACGGTTTCCTTGACTACATTCTGTCCTCCAGCAACATTGTAGGAAAGTCCACTTGGTGCATTGAGGACGGTAAGTTTGGACTTGGCGCCCTGTTTCAGACCCTCAAAATCGATGTTGAATGGTATAGGGGCAGTGGTATTATAAACGGCGGCCTTAAAGGTATATTCGGTTGTCCCGGAGTTGACACCTGCCACATAGAAAGCGGGTCCAAATCCTGAATCGGAAGTCATTGGTGCGGTATGGGTATAGCGGTGGGAAGAGAGCAGCTGGTTATATAGTTAGTGGTCCATCTTCTATTTGATGTTGACTTGGCATTTCAAGACTCTACATACTTGGATAGCGTAGTAGCTAGTCGAGAAAGCAACTTGATCTGGATCTGCGTTGAAGGAGACAAGATCAGGCTACAAAGCAGGTTAGCGTTGCGTGTAAATCATGTGAACTGTAATCGAGATATCAGATAAACTTACACTCCACTGGAAGTCATTCAAATTCTGAAAGCCTGGCGCATAACTTGCACCGATGACGATATCACCGTTCCTCTCGGCACCTAGGGTATAAATCGCTTCACTCACGGCGCCAACCCAGATTGGATATTGCAACCTTGGCTCAGCACCACTCCAGTCAACTGGTGTGGATGGGTCGGCCTTATTACCCTGTATAGTTGCATATTCACCCAGTAAGATAGGATGCGAACGGTTTGCGTTATCCCAGAGACCGAACTGGGTGGCATAGATGTTGGGTCTGGCGTACTCATGGTAATCCGTTCCGCTGTGGCCAGAAACAGCAGTAAGGTCACCGGTGGATGAGATGAGTTTCATATCTGGGTAAGCAGCATGAATTGCGTCGTAGAAAGCCATAAAGCGGTAGCTTGTATAAGAGGCGGGATCCGAAAGATTATCCTCGTTGCCAATCTGTGCCGTGAACTATTAGTTTATTTGTTCCCTTGCCTTGATTATAGCTAGAAATGGAATCAGAAGAAACCTACTTCGACATAATTGATCTTCCATGGCTTGGGATACCCAAGAGATGCTCTCAAGGCTCCGTACTCTGTTGATACGTCACCCATTATGAACTCCAATTCGTTCAAAGCATCTTGAACATAGATGCCAATATCTGCCTCGGGGATCACATCAGGATTGGCGTTGTTATACCCGTTTAGGTACACTCCTGACCAGACAGCAAGAACTGGCTCGACTTCAAGGTCTTCACACCACTATCAACGTGTAAGCTAGTTTCCACGTTGGGCAAGGGAAATGCGTACTTGGAGATATTCAACAAGACCAAGTCCATCGGTATTCTCATAGCCCCATGTTCCTGGTCGTCCAGGTCGTTGGGTCAAGGGACCGATGGTCTCATTCCATTTCCAACGATAGTTAAAGGTATCTCCTTCTCTAATGGATAATTAGCCAAAATCTTTTTTGCCGGAATGTCCAAAGGATGTGACGCACATATTGTTTCCGCCTGGGATTCTAAAATAGCTTGGCTTGAGTCCCTTCAGGCCTTTCATCAGATCGGGACGGTTTCCGTTTGGTCTGTCGTTATATGTTGGGGGGAACAGACTAATCAAATTGAAATTGACTGAGCCATGTCCTGTGTTGAACTCGAGGACGAAAGTGTTATTCGTATCAGGAGCAGCAACCGGGGGCTTGAATTGAAACTTGTGCTCCACCCATTTACTCTGTTCGCATTCTGACTTGATCTGTACGCTTGCCCAGACATGGGATGTGGTAGCTGACTGCAGCTTCGCAGTGAATTGACCCTTATATGAGCCCAGGGCCCAGAAGCTACCCGTGTAGGTCTGCGGCTTAACGCTTAATCCCCACCAGCCGGGATTTTGCAGACCGATTACTCCTCCCGCTCTAGAGCCAGCTCCTTGGGCCACGTTCACGGATGTTGGAAGAGCCGAGGAGAGTGGTACAGTATTATTCTGGAGGGACAATTTTGCATTTCCGACTGCTTCCCATGGTGCAAGAGTGGAGGGGAATTCGATACTACCTTGGAATGCGCGATTTTGGATCAGCTCTGCGTAGATACCACCGTCGCCTGAGTGATTGATGTCCTCGAACATAATTCCGTACATGAGCGGAGATGAAGCATTTCCTCCATCTCTGGCAACCGAGAGATTTACAGCGTGACCAACTCCGGCAAGAAGGGGAAGTATCTTGAGGAGACTGCTGCCCAACATGCTGATGGCTCTTCAGAGGTATTTCAACCACAGTAAGCTGCTTACTGAAAGCTTCCTTACCATGTGCACCGACCTTACCTTTATAGCTTTTATTAATAATTTTGTACGGAGTAGCTTGCGACGAATATTTACCCTTGACCCAATTCGTAGAAGACAGGGATGTCATTTATCCGATATTAAACTTCTAACATTAAAAGAGCAATTGAATGGTGCTTACGGTTAAATGCACAGACGCTAAATCGTCCTCCCAGGACTAGCGGTTATCCGTGCCCTTTGGCCCATCCACCACTTTCGCTTGTGGGTACGCCACATTCCCCGTCTCTTTCTGAAAATTAGGCTACATCTAGCTATTTTAACCACCAACATACCTAAATATGCTAGTTTTGACGAATCTCGCTTGGGGGAGGCCTGTAAAGCGGCTATGACCAAAAGAAGGCAAATACCGAGAGGATTGCGCTTGAATTCGGCGTCTCGCACTACCCCGAAGGATTGCGACAAAAAGACTAAATCGCCTACTACACCACCGAAGTCGCTACACAAGGCCCTTATGACATACCAGGAGAAAGCCTTGACTTATTGGATAGTTAAAATGCACAGCTGGAATCTTCCAACTGCTGCAGGGGTTACCCAGCCGCAAGATGCGGGTGTCGCTTTGAAGCATTTCTCCCAGAGCATCTAAATCTAACCCCAGTGAAGTAGAAGACCAAAGAACTAAAGCGAAGCTAAGCGGAAGATGCGGGGTTCCTTCAGCATTAGTACGACCAGCTTAAATTTTCTTCTCCATGGTATCCCTGCCCGTCTAGTATACACTGAATGTGGCTTCTAACTGAGTCAACGGCGATGAAGAAGGGTGCTTTGTTAGGACCGGCTTACTGGTAGAAAGAGGAACTAGAGTAGAGAAATCCTAAGGAGGTGCATGCATATTCAGACTTATCGCTAAGGAGCCTCAGTCCCACGGGTAGGTTCAGGGGTAAACACTCTAGTCAGGTGACTTAACCACCAGGTTGTGTCGGAACAGCAGGATGGGTGGATCCCCAGGGAAAAGGAAATACTAAACACCCGCCTAGCTTAGTCATGTTTTTGCCCATACAAATTGTTAGCAAAGGGGCATCGTAGCAATTCAGACCTGTTGAGATCCAATTGGTGCGCGGTATGATTGACTAAGCAGTATTCGCGACTGTTATGAGCCCGATTCGCCAGTAAGAAGGCTATATTCGTCAAATCAAGCTATACGCAAGGTGTATCCGCGGTAGCGACCCGGCCAGACGTCTCCTTCTTACCCCTGACCTTCCTATCGATCGAATTGACTGCTAAAGAAGAACGCGATCAATATGGATTCAGCAGTAGTCTCCGCCCTAAAAGGCGAGAAACTGAAAGATCCACCGTAGTAGAGGAATTGGTTCGCACGAATCAAGATATATGCACGCCAGAAGAGGGTATGGGACCTAGTCAACCCTCAGCTTGAAGAAGATTACCTTGAACAACCAATTCGCAAGCCAAAAAGGCCGTAATACCCTGAAGATGGCAGCGAGTCAACGAAGCGAGAGTGGAGGGATCGCATGGATATCTATAAGCTAGATCTAGCCGAATAGGAGCAGCAGAGCAAGAGCCTAGATGCTGTTAACGAATGGATTATCGCCAACTTAGATCCTATCCACTATACCTCCATGCTGAACTACTAAACCCCGTACGAACGGCTTGTGTATCTCTATACTCGATTTAGCCGATCGATAGTAGCGGAAGAAGATATACGTGCGTAGTAGAAGAGGGTATTAGTATTACCACCGAAGAAAGGTGCTGATATCGACTAGTAGATCAATAAATAGGATTCACTAAGAGAATAGGCGGTTAGCCTAGATCTGCTAGAGATTAAAAGCGCTAATAAGGATTTCCTCCGTGCAGTAAAAGAGATACTCCTAGTATAGTGGCAGCTCAAGTTTGAAGCGATCGTTTTGTATCAGGAAGAATAGGATACGCGCGATTTGATCGAGAATTTCAGAGGAACCTATCGCGAGCTACACCCGCAGAGATCGAGCGTAGTTAGTACGATCTCAAAAGCATCATTTTCAACACTACAGGGCTTTAAGGAAGCTAGATCAGAGCCTTAGCAGCCGCAGTCACAGCCGTAAGCATAGCAACAACTACCACGAGAGAGGTCCTTACCTCCGATTCCTAGGCGCTAGTGCCCCTATAGTAACAAAAGCTATAAACCCTAGGACTGCTAGACGATTAACAGAGAGGCTTTTCCTGATAAACCTCTCTTGAAATAGAAGGCTAAGCGAGTAGAAGATCGTCTTGCAAAGGATAAAGCGTAGAAAGCCTAGATAGATAAATCTGTCAAGGAACATAATAAGAAGAACGGAATCAACACGAAAACAGCCAACATCACTCAACTATATAGCTCCTACTTCACCACAGGATTTCCAATCGAACAGGTATATCAAAGCGTGAAGACCACAGGAGACGCTAATAATGATATTCGAAAGCGTTGGTTTCTCGATACTGCTTTATCGGTACACGTTTACAACCAAAAAGATCTCTTCACCACCTTTATACCGGAGAAGGCAGGCTTAAGGACAGGTGATTCGATCACTGCTGTTGAAGGTATTAGAAGCGCCGTTATAACCGGTGTAGGCCCTAATAGATCAACCCGGCCGATTCGCTTAAGCAACGTTGTGTACTCGCCAAATTTCTATGCCAACCTAATGTTATATGCTGCGTTGAAGGAGAAAGGTATACGATAGAACGAGGATACCGATTATATCAAGGATTCTAGTAGTAAACCAATTATTAGTATACGTCTTATGAAACCACTAAAGATATAGGCATTCGACCAGCCGAAGAAGGAAGAGGAGAAGCACTAATCCTTACTAGAAACTACTATACACGCATATACAGTTCGCAGATTAGAGAAACCGCTCGTTTCGGAGGCCTCGGCAGATCGATAGCACCGAAGGCTTACTCACGTATCCGCACGCGTGATAAAGAAAACTATAGAGATAGTAGATAGTGTCAAAATCAGCAAAGACTACCAGAAATACTATCAGAAGAAGGAGGAGAGCTTTGTCAGGTCTGCATCCTCTCAAGCGCACTAAAGCAGATCTCACGAAGACCGATCGGCTAAACCTTTAGGAGATACGGCCGAATTCACTTCGATCTAGTCTAATTTCCACCTGGCTACAACAGACACTAATAGATAACGCATTTCTACGTCGAGGGTATTCGATTCCACTAGCTATACACTCATGAAAACAAGTAGGAGTGTAGAACCGGTATAAGGCAGTTCATTGCTCTCGTCAAGAATTAGTAGAACCTACCGATTAGGGCATTTCACTATAATAATAAGACATCCGTAGGCTAGGAGATCGAAGGCTTCCTAAGCAATATCGGCATCGTGGTATCGCATAGTATCCCCTACCACCCTAAGCAAAACGGCCCTGCGGAACGATCAGGCGGTGTTATTTTGACGATAGTAAGGTATCTACAGATCGAGAGCAAGATACCGAAACAACTCTAGCTAGAGATAGTTAGTACTGTAGTATAGATTTTGAACAGGATTCCTACCTACCTAAAAGATAAGAACCAGTAGATTATACTATAGGATAAAGCACGACGAGATTTCGGCGGCGACAGGATAAAGAAGGCTAATCTAGCCAACCTGCGCGTGTATAGCTCTCTATCGTACTACTATATCCGCAATATCCTACGCTTACAAAAGACCTCTCCCCGCGCAGAAATTAGTTTCCTCGTCGGCTATATTGCATCAAATGTGTGGAAGATATAGTTCCCCGCGAGAGAGAAGATAGAGATCGTGAGAGATACACACTTCGACGAATCGAGGAAGTAGAAGCCTGATATATAGTATTAGGAAGAGAGAACCCTTTCTATACCTAAACCGACGATTTTGACCGAAGAAGAATAGATAGAAGTGCTTCGCGAAGATATCGGTATCCCTGTCGATGCGTTAGTCAATCGAAATACCTAGGAAGATCTCTAGGAAGATCTCTAGGAAGGCTAGTAAGCAGGCGATCAGGAAGCTATCTAGCAAGAAGAGGAAGATAATATATACTAGGAAGATCGCGATTAGGAAGAATACGATATACCTCAGGGGGTAGTTGTACCGATTACCCCGACCCCGGAACCTAACGAGAGAGGCCACCTACCGGTAGACTAGGATCCTCCGAATAATACCCTACCTAGCTTATTCCCGATAGAAGAGCTACCGGAATTACCACCAAGTCCACCGGAGGAGCAGAATACTACTGAATTTGGCCCTACCGCTGCTCAGAGGGTAGACTAGCCGATAACAGCCCCGACTAAAGATCAGAACGTCTACAAGAAGGAAGACTATCCGACAGAGCCAAATCCTCCGCTCGAAGACCTTATAGAAGAAGATTCTAAAGAAGATCAACCTAATCCGCTCTCTAATAGCGAACAGCAGCTACACGCAGAGCTTCATACGCGAAGGAATAATAGGATCGATATAGCGAATATCATCGAGGGAAGCAGGAAGCGAAAGGCTAGAGCAGATCCTGACTACTAAGCGTACGCAACGATCTTACCAGCCGAAGACGATCTACTAGAGCTACTACGCATATTCGCCGTAGCCCTATACACAGAGAAGCCGATACAGCGCTATAGAGACGATCTGCCCCCTGCGCCTGATAGGTAGAAGAATATAATAAAGCACTCGATAGCCGAAGGCTTCCTAGCCGCCTGCGTAAAGGAAATACGCTCTCTCTAGGAGAAATCAACGTTTACCGTGATAAAGCGACCGAATAATATATCGAAACAGATCCTACCACTCCGATAGGTCTTTACATATAAATTTAATCAAGACAGCTATTTGCAGAAGCTCAAAGCCCGTATCTGCGTACGAGGAGACCTTGAGACGATATTAAATAAGGATAAAAGGGCTATCACGCTTGCAGCAAGAGCCGTAAGGATAATCTTTATCCTCGTTACTATATTCAACCTTGATCTACGCTAGCGAGATATAGTTACTACGTTCCTAAACAGCAAGCTACCTACAGAGACCTATACGAAGATGCCTAAAGGATTTGAACAACTAGGAATGTATTAGAAGCTGAATCGAGCGTTATATAGCCTACGCATCTCACCGAGACTATAGCAACAGGAAGCGTCAAGAGTTCTCATAAAGCTAGGGCTTAAACCTATCCCTGAAGACCTATACGTTTTTACTATACACGGTATTATCGTCTTCTTTTACGTTGACGATATCCTAATTGCGAGCTACCCGTTAGTACGAGAGAATGCTCGCCAGCTTAAGAAGGATCTAGAGATACACTAGGAGCTTACGGATTATAGAGAAGTAGAATGGTTCTTGAACATTCGAATTATACGCGATCGGAAGCAGCAGAAGCTCTAGCTTTACCAGGACGCCTATATCAGTAGTATAGCTACTAAATACCACTTGACCGATCGCCCGCCTGTCTATACACCTCTCCCTGTAGAAGAAATAAAGCCATTCGATAGCACAGCAACACCAGCTAAGATCAAGATATACTAGGGAAAGGTAGATTCGGTCTAATATCCAACAACGATAACCAGACCAGATATAGCAAAAGCGGCCGCGAAACTATCACAATTTCTCCGAAATCCCGGCCTACAGCACCAACGCGCGGTTGATAGAGTGATCTGCTACCTGTATACTACACGATATCTAGCACTACAATTTAGAGACAAAGGAGATATAGAATCAATCGAACTAGTAAGTGACGCATCCTTCGCTAATAATCAAGATCGGCGAAGCTCTATAGGGTATATCTGCCAGGTTTATAGTGGCCTAGTCGATTAGAAGGCTACGAAACAGCCCACCGTTACCACATCCACCACCGAAGCTAAGCTACTTAGTATATTAGACGCAGGGCGCTCGCTGTAGTAGTGGAAGCGATTTCTTGACCGAATCTTATTCAAACCGAGCCATATCATCACCCTGCGATACGATAATTAGCAGACCGTCACGCTGTTGACCTCTAAGCATGCCAAAATCGATACGAAGCTTCGTCACGTCGATATACACGGGCACTAGTTGAAACAAGAGGTTAGCGCAGGAAGAATCGCTGTCAAATGGGTTCCAACTGCCAAGATGGTAGCAGATGGCCTCACGAAGATCCTACCGCGCCAGAAGCACGAGGATTTCGTTAAGTTGATGCGTATAGAGGATATATAGCACCTAATCGAGGTGTAGAGAAGGAAGAAGAGAGAGGGCCTGCTGCAGGAGATCAGCGCTTATCTCGATTGAATTCAACACTAGCGAAGATATTCAACACTCGCTAATCGCTAAGGGGGTGTGTCGGAACAGCAGGATAGGTGGATCCCCAGGGAAAAGGAAATACTAAACACCCGCCTAGCTTAGTCATGTTTTTGCCCATACAAATTGTTAGTAAAGGGGCATCGTAGCAATTCAGACCTGTTAAGATCCAATTGGTGCGCGGTATGATTGACTAAGCAGTATTCGCGACTGGTTGGCAGCTATCACGTGACCTAACTGAGCTGGCAGCTCCCAAGTCTTACTGTGAGGCTCTCTGGAAGGGGCCGTAACATGCTTGGTTCTAAATCATCTGATGGTGTCATAGACACCAAAGCACAAAGGAAGCAGGGGAGAACGAAGTCAGATTGGTCTATCTAGGAGAGCAAGAAGACGAAGAAGGAAAAGAAGAAGGGAAAGGCCTATATAGGCCTACAAGAAGAAAGAAACAAAGGCCTGGGCCTGCAATCAGCAAACCTGCAGGGCAAAGAAGACGAGCGCATGCACTGCCAAACGGGCAAGGTCGAGGTCGAGTCATCATCATCTTGCCCTGATTTTGCTGAAGCTGAGCGAGGCGAGAATATTACACTGCCCTCGAGTGTATTAGAGCAGATGGCTGGCAGACGCAGCCGCTCTTTGTATTCAAAGGCAGCAGGAATCCAATGAAGTTATGGTATTATGGTAGCGAATCCCGATCACTATATACAGTGGCAGTTCAAAAGTCTGAAACCAGGGACCAAGAAAACAGGCCGTCAAAATATGCCTCGATTTTATGTTTTTAACAGATCTTTCTGAATGTCTTTTGAACCCTCTTTCTAGATGTTCCCGGCATCTGTGTTTCAACTTGTCTTTCAAAGTATAGCTGATGAGATGGGTTTGAACTTTTTCGGGTGTTGCAAACTTATGGAACACCACTGTACTATCATGTAATAGGAGGAGTTCCAGCGCAGTGCTTCAGAATTCAAAATTCTGTACCCGGAACATTGTGGCCCGAGGGTAAATGCATGAGAAAGTTTGAACATGGCTAAATAGAGCCACAGGAAATGCGGAGAACGCTCAAACGAGGAATTGAAAGCTGGGGTAATCCCGTACCCTTTGTCCCCATATAATTGAACTCAGAACATACAGTGGCGCCGCAAAAGTCTGTGACCCCTCGCTTGACCGCCACAACATTGCCTTCCTACTGTAGCCTACCCAGCCTCCTAAACGCGTAGACGTGTATCGCGTTGTATGCAATACCTTGATTTTCGGTTACTCTAAACCTAGAAGAAGAGCTTTGCCAGTACCTAGCCTTCCTTAAGTAGTATTTTTGGATGATTCTGTATGGCAAAATAGGCAGACAAAGGTGGTCAGCCAGTGCGTCACAGACTTTTGCGGCGCCACTGTAAAGCTTAGCCTACTCCGTACAAGGGGGCCTTTATTGGGCCGTATTAAAAACGGTGCCTGAAACTTTCAGAGTAGATGTATCATTACGGGTTTATTACAATACGTCATTTGATGAGGTAGAATCTTTACCACCACAGTTCTGCCCTGCTGTTTGTGATACTTTCGGACGTAATGGCGACTATTCGAGGGAATAACTCGGTTGTCAGGCCAACATATCATGTCAAGTTAGGGGTATCTGTCTGCTTCCCTTTCACTGGAGTCACACAGATTAACCCGAACACGATTGCCCCTTCGCTACGTGCAGTCTTTTCGGTTCGCATTGCCGAAAACATGACCCGGGAACAGCTGGACAGATTCGTCACTTGGATTGAGGCCCTCCCGCCTGGGTTCGCCTTGGAACTCGACGGGATCTACACCACAACCTCGACTCTCCTCATATTCCAGAGCGCATATGCGCTGTTCACGAATCTTGCTGGGTATCCCGGTGTCACCTTTATCTCGGATGTGAGAAGCCCGAGCCGCCGCAAATATTTCGGCCAAGAGCAGCGACAAGAAGCTCCTTCATCTACTTTGAAGGAGAACGTCCCATTCTGCAGACGCTCTAAGCCATGAGAAACATCATGAGGAATTACGACCTATCTTGGGGGAGGGGCATGGTACGCTCCATTTCGGAGATCGCATTCACCCAGGAAGTACTTGCTGTTCACACTACCATATCTTTATCCTCCTGTTTAGCTTCGCTGATACGAGGGCCAGTCTTGGCAGTTTTTTTTCTTCTGCAAGCCTTTCCAATTTAATAACTAGCATTAATTCAATCAATATCCCGATCAGGCCGACTCTGGATTACAGCTCTAGTCGATGCTTCGTATTCTCGGATTGTGACAAGTCCCGCGTCAAGGTATGTATTCGCTTGCGAGAAGACCAATAGTGGATCTTGCTTGGCAATTATGATATCTCTCCACTTCAAAGCTTCGTCATCCACGCAAGAAAGGTCTTCATAGAACTTGCGGCAATTTATAACGTCTGCAGTGCAGCGATAGGTGTGTAATCTTAGTAGCATGCGACCGAGGGAAGGCGTTCCATGTCGGATGATACGGGCACGATTAACCTTCACTGTCAGTTTGACTTGCTGCGAGTCGCAAAGAATTGCGTAGAGACCATTCGCATCTTTCAAAAGATATCTCAGTATGGCGTAGTGCGCCTGAGCCGTGTGTAAACTATGGAATGGTAAAATAGTGTATTTTGCTTACGCGGCTGTGGGGTTGAACCCATCCCTTTCTTTTTGTCATCCTAACAGGTACAAGAAAAAAAAGCTTAGCAACAACTTATTTATCGTATTGTATCAAACCAAACCCATATCCAGCAGGCGATTTCCGAGCTATAGAAAGTAGTAGTCCGCATAAACCAGACCATGATCCCACTCTCGATCGGGATGGTTCCCGTTGAAGTTTGCAGTTGATCTTTCCAAAATCGCATCAAATCGACGACCATCGGTTCCCTCTGAAGGGACAGCTCCGATTTTTCCACTCTCGTCATCAAATTTCAATCGCATTTCACCGCGATTATAGGCCAGTATGACCGTATCCTTTGCAATAGCCATTGCAAGGTCCAGATAACGAACAGCAGACTTATATTCCCCGATCCCTATGAGCTGTCCATACAGAACAACCATTCTGTTTGCAGCAATCATCCTAGTGGACACATCTCTCAATGGAGTTTGTGCCCCATTCACCGTATTATACGTGATCGGTGCGTTAAAGTCCTACAGAGGCAAGTATTGCCCATAACCTCCTGCCCCAACAACCTTGGCAGAGGATTCCATACGGTAAATAAAATAATCTGATAGGCCCATCGCAGCATCTAGGAATTTCCGCTCCTTCGTCCAGGAATATATTTGGGAGTAGCCCAGAATTGCCCACGCTTATCCCCGTGCCCATGTTGAGCTGAGTAACCCTGAGCGGTGAGCTTTCTTTTAATAGCTCCGTTTTTGGTTAGGGAGAAATTCGCTACGTGGTAGGTTGAATAGCATGGTCCTTTATTTAGTACGATTTCCTTGCGAAGATATGTAGAAAGAAGAGTGGTTGCGTGTGTGGAAGCGATAGAAATAAGACGGGATGATCGCGTGTAGTTGCCGGCATAAAAGAGGATATCAAGGTCTGATATCACAAATTAGTCCGGATATTGGTAATATATCGCCATATAGAGCTATCGCTTACTACACAAACTTTCGATGATCACAAGAAAGTCATCCTCCATGCTTATAATGTTATGGTGCGTATTTGCGAAGCTGTCCCAGCTACGGATAGCTCCAACTCGCTCATCATACCTGCTAGCAAGACTTTCAGCCGTAGCAAGTAGGGAGTTCAAACTATCTTGCTGGCTGAAAAGCTCCCAGTCTCTTCGAAGGGCAGGCTGAATAATGAATCCAAGATCATAGGTGTCCTTCCGAGCGGACATAGGGTGCAAGGGTGCCGACAATTTGTGACAAAGATCCGTAAGATTGGAAATTAAACGCTCATGAAAGTTCTAGGGCACTTGCGAGTCCGAAGAGATCCCAAGTAGGCTTGATCTGGGGTACTTTCTCAGTCTTTCGAGAAGGCAGTAAAGACCTCCTGGGAAGAACACACACGTCCAGAACTCAGCATCCCTGCATTTATATATTCCCTGATTTAGACCAGACTGGGGTACTGTTTCAGGAAAATGAGTGGGAGGGTTCTGAGAAAATACACGTCAGATGGCCCTATAAAAGCGATACAGGGCTACATACATTGTTCTCCAGATACGCTTCAGCAGCACCTAGAAGCTCTGCAAGGGTATTTCCCTGGAATAATAGCGCAAGATTCGATCGTATTAGTGTCGTATTGCTTGCGCCAAGCGAAGCTAGCGTTTCGATAACTTCTTTAACAAGCTTCTTGTCGATCGGAGGCGACTCGCCTAGGATTTCAGGCGCCATGATAGCGAGCGAAACCGGTATAGAAGCGAGTGTCGCGGATAAAGAACTGAAAGCAGTACATTAAACTTGAATGCCCCTCTGGAAAATGGGGTTTTAAACACAAGAAAGCTTTAGTCCAGACGGAAGGCGGGCAATAGTGCCTCTGTCGGATCTCGGGTGGATCTTTCGCCCGACGTCCGAACAGGCAACAATACACACCACGAGAAAATGACTGCGCCTAGAGTCAATCTCATCAGAATTGCGTATCAGGACCATAATCAGAGTTAGAGATTTAAAATATTTTTACATGTCTATAGGGTGGTCCTACATTGGCATAGCTAAAAAGGGACTGCTGGTGACCATGCGCAGAAACGTTGATTTAGTAGAATATTTATCATCGCATGAAAGAGTCCTGGAAACTGATAATCCGGTCTATATCCATATACTGTGGATCCAATAGAAAATTAGACAATTGGGCAAAGATATCCAGATTATCTGCTAGGCGTGGAGTAGGATAGCTGGCTGGGAATACGTCGTTGAGTACGATATCCGCTTCTGTGTGTGTATGACGGGCGGATATGCCGCCTGGAGATGGTGTTGAGGGATGACGTTCGCCTCGTATTCTAGCATTCTACAGGGATTCTGAGGACGATGTGTGTGGCCTATATATATCAAGGTTAGCTGGCGAAGGCGCCGAGGGATTGACTGCCTTACGTAGGGCTGATGGGACAGCTGTTTGGATTCACGTCTCAGTCTCCTAAGCACGCAACACCGGAGTCATGGGGTATGTGTGTTGTATGTAACGGGATTCAAATCAATTAAACATGGAACAATTCTCTGGTCTCTCTGGCACTTGTTCAATGGATCCGCCAGCTGATGGCCCCGAAAGAAGCCTCTATTCTCCGGACCCTATTGTCGAATGGACGAATCAACACTCTGAAAGAAATCTATGTCCGTCGAGTCGCAACTCATCGTAATCTTAATTACACCATTTTGCAGCGAGCAACTACTAGTGCATCGGAGGGTCCGTGTAATCTAATGGAAAAGAAAGACTGTCGGAACCCCCGCGTTTCACTCTATCAAAGCACCCGTGGATTCGTCAAACGGAACCTCCGACCACAAAGCTAATCGCTCCACATTCAGCTTATGCGAGGGTGTAGAATAATCACGAAAGTGCGGTTGTCTGCGGCGACGCAGAATAACGTGTCCGATGCGCCGGAAGATTTCCGGGAAGTTGTCTAATGGCCGTCCCAGAAATTTTCCTCGGGAGACCTTTGCCTGCGATGGCATGAGTAATAAATGCGCAGGGACCGCAGCGGATGATTTGGAAAGAACCACAATATCTGGCAGATATATATTGATAATTTGTCCCTGGAGCACCAGTCCTAGAAATTGTGCGCTTCAAATACATTGAACCCCAGTCTTTACTTCATTCATTTTCCACCAACATGTCTATTGGAACTGGACCCCAGGCGTGGAAGACGGAAGATGTCAAGCGCGACAATTCGTGGATTCTGCGCTTGACACCCGAGGAGGTCGAGGGTTTCCGTATTGCACTGGTCTACGCAAAAGCGCACCCTAAGGAACTTCTTGACATGACACAAGCCGACTATCCGTTGCCAGAGGCTTCCAAGAAGGCACTCGAGCGCGCCATCGCCACCACCCAAGACCGATGGGGTATATGTCTCGTGAAGGGTTTCCCGGTGGATGAATGGTCTGAAACTGACATGCGTGTTGCCTACTGGGGCATGGGTCTTTACATGGGCGTTGGTCGCACTCAGAACCGCGCGAGCGAGGTGATTAATGACGTGCGGGATGCGGGTGGCAGTTACAAGGTCAAGGGCGGCCGTGGATACAACACCAATGCTGGCCTTGACTTTCACCAGGACTCGGCAGATGTGGTGGCTCTTTTGTGCCGTCGCACCGCAAAGTCAGGAGGTACTTCAAAGGTCATGAGCAGCATTGCGTTACGCGATCGCGTTGCTGAGCTGCGCCCCGATCTTCTCCCTGTGCTCGAGTCCAACACCTGGTTCCATAGCTACCAGAACACCCAGGATCCCTCTCAACCTCCATACTATCGCTGCCCTCTCATGGGCCAGAGCGGTGCCTACTTCTGCGGCCGTACAAACCGCAAGAATACTGTTGCCGCCCAGCGCGACTTCCCAGAGGTGCCGCGCCTTACTGGGGAGCAGGAGGAAGCCCTCGATCTGCTGGACACAATCATGCCGGCCGACGAGTATTGCTACTCCATGGAGCTTGAGCGTGGTGATATGCAGCTGTTGAACAGCTTTGTGACGCTGCACTCGCGTACACCTTTTGAGGACTACGAGGAACCCGATGAGAAACGTCATCTCATGCGACTGTGGCTCTCCATCCCCTCCTCACAACCTTTGCCGCCTCAATGGGCTGAATACTGGGGTGATGCTCGGGCGGGAGCCGTACGTGGTGGTGTCCGGGGAAGTGCTATCACGGAGGATTTTCTCAAGTATGAAAGGCGTCAGGCTGAGGCCATGGGTATGTCTTTCACTAGCTTCAAGCCGGTTGTGACAAAAGAAGAGATGAGTAAGATTGTGGTGGTGAATTAGAAGTCCATGCTACTGTCGATTGAACGGGAAGTTACAGGTATAACATATGAATTTCAGTTAAGGATGAAGTCCGTTTTCATATTTTACCGTCCATTGTATGATGGGATTGAATGTAGTCTGCTAGAACGTATGGGAAGCTCATCGTATACGAAAATATTTGTCTTGCATGTTCTACCAGGCCAATATGGTAACCTGCAACGGAATGGATTGGGCATGTATGCCACGAGCGCGACTTTCATTTATAGAAGGTGATTCGTGCAAAACCATAGAGTTTTCGAGAGATATGCAACCTCATATAGGAAAAAGCAAGGTAGAACAAATGTACAGCTCTCTGACGCATATAGATAGAGGATAACTTGATTTTTTCAAATTGTGGACTTTATGCCCCCTCTGCGAAGGATAAACCTCCCGCAAGTCGATCAATTTCCATCTCCCTCTGCAGCCCCATAACATCGAAGAATCCTTTTGGATCAAGTCCCTGTGCCTCTGCATCATCTTGGCCAGTCTCCATGAGATACTTATAAGCCCGTCGAATGGTATGCAATACTGACTTTCCCGCAGCACCTGGGTAGATTGCCAGCTATTTCTGCATTAGAACTGAAGTCCGACAATGGAGATGAATTATCCAAACACTAACCTTGACTCCCCACTCACCCAGCTGTGCGGGTGAAATCCATGGTGTTTTACCATGAGAAACCAAGTTCACCATCAGCTACATCAGGTCAGTATGGCGGCACTACTACAAGAAAACCGGAATAGGTGGAGATCTCACTGGCATCGGCGAAAGGATGTTAACAGCATTCTTGATCTGTTCTTCTGTCTCAATGGCTTCTAAAAAGGCCATGTCTGCACCGCACTCGCGTGCCACGAGAAGCTGTGATAAAATGTTAGCTCAGGTACACTACAAATTATTAGAGACTCTAACATACTCTCTCTAGGGCGCCATCGTATCCCTCAACTGCAAGTGCGTCCGTCCTTGCGATAATGACAATGTCACTGCCCCCGTAGATAGAATCCCGCCCAATAACACATGCGCGGATCCTTGACTTCCAGGTCCTTTAGTGCGTTAGAACTAGAGCCTCACGATTCCAGCTGAGCACTTACTCCATGTCCACGACTTCCTTGCCCTTCAAGTGACCACATCGTTTGTTGGCCACTTGGTCCTCAATATGGAAGCCCGCCACTCCACACGAGTCATACATTTGCACCATGCGGGCGATATTGGGCGGCGAACCGAATCCGACATCTGCATCGGCAATGAGCGGAATCCGAGGATCAATGTTGGCGATCATCTGGGCGTTCTGCGCAAAGTCGTTCAGCGATGCGAACGCGAGATCTGCTCTCCCCAGGCGTGTGGCTGTGGTCATTGAACCACCTTGGTACTGTTGGCGATTAGTTCCGCATGATAATATTCCGAACACGAATCGAGACATACCATGACCTTGAATCCTTGCTCGATGGCCAGGCGTGCGCAGAGGCCATCGTATACCCCCGGAGCCTGAATACAGACACCCGGTTGACAGAGTAACTTTCGCAAGCGCGTTGCGGGCTTCATGTACTGCTCTGGGTCCGCCATACTTGTTTTTTCCAGCATATCTGGTGTATCTTGGAGCACAAGAGGCGTTATTCAAATCGTGATAGCTTAAGAAAACGATTCCGAACGGCCATGAAATTAATACTACTTAGCTACAACCGTAACTGTACCGTACATCGGCGATTCCGGCCGCCATAGTAGAAAATGCGGGGAAACGGTGATCAATTGAAGGGGTTTCAGCCCGCAGAGTACAGAATTCTCAAGATTTCGCTTTGCGTTCACTGCTATGGAGACATGTTCCGCTTTCTGTTAACTCATTTTCTCGGAGGCTCCGACACTATGAAATATGGAGAAGTGCATATTAACCCCACCCTTAACTAACTAGTTAACTAATCGTGAAGCGGCAAAGCTTACTAATTACTCTACGGAAAAGGATCTCCACATACCTGGATGAGACGCCCAGTATCTGTATCTCAAAGATAACTGCCTCCGCAATCTTTATCGTGTTTGATTTATTCGCCCAAATCAAACCAAGGGAACTTGGCACATGGGCACATCGTGAGCGACCTTATCGTTTATTTTACCCGAACTTAAATACCAGTTACGCCAATCGGACATTGCGGTGACTGGGGTAGTGTATTTTTTTACATATATTATCTCGGACTTTAAGCTGATTCAACCCCCCCCCCCCTTCCGGGAAAACTTCCTTGAGCACAAGTTCAAGTTGCTGCCGCTACTCTCTTCACGTGCAGAAAGTCGTCCAATTACGTTCAACACAATGACCTGGATTACACAGGCCATGGAAGCCTGCTCCTCTAGACATGCTTTTCTGAAGGCCATCGAGACGAAAAAAGTGGACGGAGAGAATAAGGGCGATTACAACGAGGATCTGCTCCCAACAGAACCGGGTAAGAGCGCCGCATAATAATTGTTCACACCGAGGATTTTACTAATTCAGAACAGAACGACGGTCGTGGGGATGGATTCACTTTTTCACATACTACCTGACGACATCCTTCTCGCCTACTAGCTACAACCTTGGTGCGTCACTGGCTACCATTGGCCTGGTGAGTGTCGACAAAACATTGTCAACAAGGGGTCATACATGTGTTCTAATGTGTTCCCTAGCAATGGTGGCATACGCTCATTGCTTCAGCAATCGCCTCCATCTTCTTGTCCGTCGTCGTTTTTCTCAACTCTCGCGCTGCGACGCGATATCACGTCGGATTCCCCGTCCTTGGCCGTTCGGCTGGTGGTCCACGCGGAGCCAAATTCTTTATCTTCGTCCGAGGAGCTGTGGCAACAATCTTCTTCTCAACCAACCTATACTATGGTGGAAGGTTAATGGCCGTCTTGCTAAGGTGTATCTTCGGCACGGCATGGGATAACATTCCAAACCGTCTTCCAACTGACTCTGGGATCACCAGCGCGAATCTATTAGCATTCTTTATCTATTGGTTCTTTCAGATGGGACTAATGTTCGTGCATCCTATTGTGCTGAGACACATTTTTGTCATCAAGGCATTTTACTGTACAATCGCCCTGTTTGTTGTGCTGGGCTGGGCCATCCACCAGAATGACGGCTCGCTAGGTAGCTTTCACTTTGATGGACAGGTCATTCTCTCCGGCTCCCGGCTTGTCTGGCCCATGATTTCTGCTATCAACTCCATCTGCGCTGCTCTATGCCCCATCCTGATTAACCAGCCCGATATAGCGCGTTATGCGCAAAAGCCGTCTCAGGCCACTTGGTCTCAAACCCTCGGGATCTTCATTAGTAAGATTCTGATCATGTTCATTAGTGCCGGCACAACCAGTGCTGCGAAGGGATTTTTGGGTACTTCCTATTGGAATGTGTGGGATCTCTACGACGCGATTCTAACGAAGTACTGGGGCCCAGGGGTTCGTGCTGGTGTTTTCTTTGCATGCGTCGTGAGTCGCTCTCGATATTCCTACCTATCTCTATTTTTATATGTTCAAACGACTGACATGCTCCAGGGAATGGTTCTTGCTATCCTCGCCACTAACGCGGGCACTAATTCCCTCCCTGCAGGTGCCGATATGAGCGGTCTCCTGCCGCGCTATATAAATATTGTCCGCGGCCAGATCATATGTGGTCTCCTTGGTCCGTTGTTCTTCCCTTGGAAGATCATCGCCAACGCAGCTAGTTTTTTGACTTTCCTATCGTCCTATACTGTCTTCCTGATGCCCATCTGTGGTATCATGGTGGTTGACTACTGGGTTATTCGGCGCGGCAACGTGCACGTTCCGTCACTCTACAGCCGTGAGCCAGGTACTCCTTATACATACCATAAGGGCTGGAACCTCCGAGCAATCGCAGCGTGGTTGGCCGGCACTGCATTCGTCATTCACGGCGTGGCCGGAGCGTTAAATGCCGACCTAACGGATCAGGCCAGTAAGAATATGTACAAGATCGGATTCTTGTTGAGTTTCCTCATGGGCTCGGCAGTCTATTATGCTGGCTGCCTGATCTTCCCGATGCCAATCTACCCCGACGGCAAGCAGGATACGCCCAGCACCTGGGAATACATGGCCGAGTCTGAGGGCTTCTTTGAAGGAGAAAGCGTCGACATCATCAGGCTGGGTAACGGTGTTGTCGTGGGTGTGGAGCTTGATGGCGATGTTGCGAAAGATTTTGCCCGTCACTCACAGAAAGAGATGGTTTAGCCTCCTGAGATGTCACACAATGTCTAAATTTGATAATTATTTATTCTGGGCTATGTGCGTAACATTCTGAATCAGGCGTTATTTTAACCTGGCCTCCACTAGAATCGACCGTAATTCATTAATCATCATTTATATTCCGGGGTTCCCCAGACCACTTCCCCAGAGAGTGTGGGGAATTTCTTTGTAAATCATACAGAAATTATTATGCCGACCCGCCTTGACGGAGCAGTGTAATTACATACGGTGTACATTCGGACCCCCAGTTGGCTTGACTTGGTCGGCTATCTGCTCCGAACTCGGAGTATCCGAGAACTTCCGTGGGGGGCGGGTTTAGTAATTGTGGATATCCATTCGCATCTTCCGAGCGGATCCTCCGTTTACCCTCCAACACCTCGAACATCTTCGCCTCTTCTCCGCTAGGTATGGAGATTTCTGGGGTAGTGCCACGTGGAGATGGTCCCGCATTGCCTCCCAGTCAGAGCCGCAAGCGCGGCATGGGAAGGACGGCCTGCTCGCGTTGCAAGGCCAGAAAACAGAGGGTATGCATACGCCGCTAGAAATAATCCCAAAGACGATGTGAACAATATTCGGTATTAATAATAGTCTGTCTAGTGCGATGGACAGCTTCCCGTCTGCTCTAACTGTACAAAGTCAGGGGCCACATGTGATTTGCAGAATATTCGAGGTGAGGACTTAGCTGTCGCAAAGTACGGTCATTCATATGGGTTGCATTATGACAACGAAAGACTGATGAGGATCTAGGTACATCCAAAGCCTGGAAAACAAAATTGCCGAACTAGAGATTCAACGCCTACGATATCAGCCCTCGCGGCCTGAACAGCCGGATAATCCCAGGTTTCCTCTCCCGGGCCGTATCAGCGTTGGCGATGTAGTCAACTCCCTTTGTTGCGATTTGCATGAGGCATCGTCAACCTCCGAGCCCTCGCAGTTTGGGCTTCATCTTGCACTCAATCTCGGTGATGTAGCGCGGAATGGTTCCCCAAAATCAACGGGAAATCTCTATTCTCAGGATGAACGTCCGGAGAACTCTCCTGACGGTACAGGCAACTATCCATTCACTGGGTTCATCAAGCATCGCGCAGAGGGTGCCGGTCCGCCCTCAGAACAGCTGGGTGCGAAGTTCATCGACGCGTATTCGGAAAGATTGGACTGGAGATATCCATTTCTGGATTTGAACGAGATTATGGAACTTCATCAAGGCCGAGAATGCCTCTCGCAGACCGACCTACAGTCCCCGGGGGCTACCCAAACATTTGGGCCATTCAAATTGTATCTCGTGTATGCTATAGGATCTGGACTGCTAGACTTAACAGAGAAACGGACATCTTCACCAATGCCAGAGGTCAGTGCGTCCCCCGAGTAGACCGTTTTCGAGCAGTGGACTAACTCACCAACCAGGCTTTTTACGCAACAGCTATGCAGCATATTCCAGCGGCACGAGACCCTCGATCGCTCGAGAACATTGAGGCAATGGTGCTATTGGCGCTCTTTCACCTTCGTAGCTTCATCAGCCATGAGTTATGGTACCTAATCGGGTTTGCCATGCGTACCTGCATCCACCTAGGCATGCACCTTTCACGGCAGGAGGTCGGTCTTCCTGCCGCGATTATCCAAAGGCGTCGGAAGCTGTTTTGGACGGTCTACTCTCTCGATCGGAACATTTCTATCGCACTCGGATACCCCGTGAGCCTGCCGGATCGATTGATTGACGTGGAGCTGCCGACTATAACGGGAGAGGAAGACCACAGATTGCGGCAGGCGATATTTATATTCCAGCTCAGGAGAATTGAATCTCGCATTCATCATTCTATCTACCGTAATGATCGCACCCTTCAAGAGCTACTACCCAAGACCAGCTGGCACTATCAGCAACTGCAAGACTGGAAAAACAGTATACTGTTGTCCATAGGTCAGGACAGTGGCTGTCGGCTCGACTACCTCCTTCTTCACTTCCACCGAGCCATCCGGCTGCTCATCCAGCCTTTTCTCTCAATATTACCCAGCTCAGATCCTTACTATAAGGCCTGTTTAGATTCGGCGGGGCAGATCTGCCAGATCCACAAGAGATTACATCAGAACTCTGATTATGGTCACAGTTTTATTGCCGTCCAGACCGTCTTTGTCTCCGGCATCATGTTGCTCTACTGTTTATGGACGCATGCCAATGACGTGTGGAGCATCCGATTGAGCAATAATCTTCGCGCATGCTCAAGTGTACTGTTCGTCATGGGCGAACGAACCCCTTGGGTACGCCGATACCGCGACGCATTTGAGGCCCTGGTGGCCGTGACCATGGAGAGGCTGGAGGCACAGCAGGAAGGCAATGGTGCGGGATCCACGGACGATATTTCTATGCAAGATACTGCAGGTCCGCCGCTGCAAGACCCGCAAATGAATGACATTCCTGTCGCCCCGTCCGCAGACTTTCCTGTCATGAATGAAAGTACCCCTGGACAGCCGATGCCGCCGCCGCTGCAAGCATTACAGGACCGATGGATAGAATTCGATACTATGGCCGTTGTAAATGAGCTCGTAACCTGGGCGGACCCCGAGACATCTTCTGGGCAAACACCTTGCGAGGTAGACTACGGCAATTTTGGAGGTAGCATTTGGGAGGAGTGGCAACTGCCTTAGCATGATCAATTTAAGTGCTTGAAGGTCAAATAATGTTGTTTCTACAGGTTGTGAATCAAACACTCAAATATCAACTTCATTTCTCCACAAATGGACTATATATACATATGGGGTGTGCTCTATTCCTGCTTCCTAGCCTCCTCCACCCACTTTCTCTCTGGCTGGTAAGGAAATGTAGTCCGGAAATGCTTAGCGATGTCCCTCCTTGTCGTCACCCAGACATCTGGCTTGTCGGCAACGTATTTCATAAAGTTGCGGAGTGCTTCGCATCGACCAGGTTTACCGATAATACGCGTGTGCAAAGGAATGTTCATCATCTTGCCGCCTTCGCGGTACAACATATCGAAGGTGTTCTTGAGATAGTTCTCGTAACTCTCGCCCACACTGGAGCCAAATCCCGGGGACATATGGAATTTGCCATCATTACAGTCGTACTGGCTTAGTCCGTCAGTACTGCTGGCTCTCCAACAGGTCAACTCCCATTCAATAGAATGTCTGAACTTACGTTATAAGGGATTAGGAGCATGCCCTCCCTTTCTTTCACCGGCCGGTGGCTCTCCCAGGGCAAGTCCAGCCAGTAAGGCACATCGTCATTGTAGCACTCCGAGGACCAGAGAAACTCAGCGCCCAACTCCTTCCACACTTCGGGGAATAGATGATGGGTCTGCGGTGTTCCGCGGCCAAAGTAGGCGCCGACGGGCATCTCACCACTGACCTCCTTCAGCAGCAGCAAACTCTGCTTCACGTACTCCTTGTCCTCTTCGAGACTGTAGTCCCAGGTATCTCTCCATCGTAGACCATGCGTAGCTATCTCGTGGCCATCGCGCACTAAGGCTTTAGCAAAGGTAGGGTTCTTCTTCAAGGCCATCGCGACCGCATAAGTCGTGAAGTTCCAGCCAAATTCCTTGAATAGGCGCATCAATCGCCACGAGGCCACTCGACTCCCATACTCGAAGTCATGCTCAGCGTTAAGGTACCGTGCATTCTCACGGTGTCCACCCGATGCGCCTTTCTCCCACAGGTATGGCTCTGATATATTGTCGCCATCCAGAACGCACCTCTCACCACCCTCCCTGGTCTCATTAGTCGCCGGGGACCTGAAACAATATTGAGTTTGTCCAATCTCACTCACTCGTAATTCAGCACAAAAGATACCGCAATGCGGGCCCCATTGGGCCATTTGGCGTCGAACCCTTCCTCGCCATAACCCTCAAAGTCCCGCGGGACTTGGTACTTTGGCTCGATGTGCACCATTGCGAAGCGTTAGGATAGTCTCAGGTCGTGGGGGGTGAATCTCCAGCTGCAATGAATGGGCGCATTATTCCCGCGCTATATACCCGGCTGTACGGAGTATACCCGGTATAGTGGATATCGGTGCGGGGTCGGCCCCTGCGTCGGGGCCTCCGACGCCTGTGGAGATTGCAGATTGCGATGCCGCGACTTATCTTGTGGTCCCGGTAAGGATTTGGGGCCAATGGGTTTATCAGTGCCAGCAGGGCACAAGTGAAAGAGTCTTCAGATCTCTCGCAGACCCAGAACAGGACCAAACACCATGGCTCTAACTCGAGGAGAGTTGCTCTCTATGGCAAAACGGGTATCCTTCGAGATCCCGGAGCATGAGATTGAAGACTATGAAATGTTGCTTGCGCGCACGAAAAAGACGTTGGAAACCGTGGCGACGATGGATGGTAAGTAGAGGAATACCGTATTATTGCACGTTACTACGAGCATTGAGTCGCCAACAATCATGCAGATTACCAGCCTGAACCGGACCAGACCACCAGCCCTAGACAAAATATCCGCTTCCCACAGCCAGCAGAGAATCCTCTTGGAGCATGGGCCTGGCGCTTCGAGCTATCTTCGAGCGCGCCAAACGCCAACATGCTAAAAGGAAAGAGCGTCTGTCTGAAAGACAACATCTGCGTGGCCGGCGTGCCCTGTCTCCTTGGCACGGAAACCTTCCGCAACTGGATCCCGCACACAGACGCCACCGTTGTATCGCGCATCATTGATTCCGGAGGCATCATCACCGGTAAGGCTGTATGCGAGAACTTGTCCCGTGGCGCGGTCAGTTCAACGGCTGCGACGGGTCCAGTGCACAACCCGTATGCGCGTGGCTATTCAGTGGGCGGCAGTAGCTCAGGCACGGCGGCCCTGGTGGCCAGCGGCGCCGCGGACATGGGAATCGGATGCGACCAAGGAGGTAGCATCCGCATCCCGGCTGCCCTGACGGGTCTGTATGGGTTCAAGCCGACGACCGGATTAGTACCATACAGTGGCATCGCGAGCAATGATGCGAGCTTGGATTATGTTGGGCCTATGACGACTACGTGTCATGACAATGCTGTGTTGCTGGAGGCAATTGCTGGCGCGGATGGTCTGGATGATCGCTCCGGGTCGGGGATCCCATTTACTAGAGATGTACCACATTATTCTCAGTTGATGAACGAGGGAATTGAAGGACTTAGGATAGGCGTGTTGAAGGAAGGCCTTCCGGATGAAATCGATCCAAATATTGAGAAGAAGTTCAGGGATGCAGTCAGCGTTTTCGAAAAACTGGGGGCTATCGTACGAGAGGTCAGCGTCCCGCTTCACTCTCAGGCAAGAGGGGTCTATTCGGTGCTCAGCAAAATGGGGAATCATATGGGCATGTTAGGGCACGTAACAGGTCGGCGGCAAGTAATGCTGACAGATTTATTTGAGAAGAAGAGCCTTCCCTACACGCCTGAAGTGGTGAGCATGGTGAGTTCATGGCCCTCTCGTCCTCTACTTTCAAGACCTGCTGACAGCCGCCGACATAGATGAGCGTTATGAGCAAAGAAGGGCTTCTTAGCGGCGAATTTGCCTGGCAACACTACGCCACCGTCTATCCGAAGGCTGTGAACATCATGCGGAAAATGAGAGATCTATATGATGACATTTTCTCTTCCGTGGACGTGATAGTGATGCCCACGACCCTTTCACCAGCGAACCGTCTCCCGGCGGCAGACGCAAAGCCGTTGGCCCAAATAGAAGCGGCGAAAGGAATGACGGAGAACACATGTTCGTTCAATGCTACAGGACATCCCGCACTGGCAATGCCAATTGGGTTTGTGCCGTCAAAGACGGATGAGAGCATCAGACTACCGGCTAGTATGCAAATCGTGGGTAGATGGCATGATGAGTTGACGATCTTACGAAGCGCATACGCGTGGGAGCAAGCTATCCAGTGGAAAACCTTTTAAAGGCAGCAAGATTCTTCCCTCAGACGAAGTTCATATTAACCCTACGCATCTACAAGCTCGTTGGTAGCTACTTTACCTGTCATGCTAGTATCTATCATAAGTAGTACATCAAGAAAAAATAAGTTCTTAACGAGATAAAACGCTCTATATATCTTGGAACACGAAGCTTCATTTGCTTCGATAGGTTAATAAGATCATCGAAAGATATTCGGTATTTTAAATTCATGAATTTGTAGCTTCAAGTTATTAACTCCCGCTAGACCTCGTGAACAAAGAAGCCTAGAAGTAGTATTACGTAGCCTTAGAATGATGTGTAGTGATAGCGCCTGCCTCGGCCACGAACTGCCGAAGCACCGCGTGGGTGTAGTTAGCGGGACTCGCAAATCTCGGCCGTTTAGACAAACTAGAGACCCAACTCGTGGGCCTAACAACTATATCTAGAACTAGAGTAACCGTTCTATTAAACCATTAGGAATTATTTCAGAGAATGTCTATCAAGCTTAGATTAACATAGTAAGAAATAGTTTACCTATGTCTAAATAAAAGCACCCTATTTGAACTCCTATTATCTAGCACGACAATAACGGATTCCATATCATTTCAGACAGCAAAGGCCACAGAACCTGGACCAGGCAGGGACAGCAGTTCATCCATACTGCTTGATTTAAGCCAGGTCAGCATTGATTTCAGTAACAGTTTACAAAGAAAGCAGATGCGTCCCGTTCGTTCCAGCAGGACAGGGTTCCCCAAACCAAGCAGACGTCAAAAGGTAAGCAATTCGGCACGCTTCCAGTTGGCAATACCAGTCCTCTCAATTTTAATTGGTTGATTATTGTCGAAGTGTTTCCGGATGGCCTAGGTACAAGTCATTATTTGCCCATAATATTCCCCACCTCACGTCTGTGCATACGGGGCGACATCCACATCTCGTATCCCAAGCTCTGCCCATCGAAGCTAACGGACAGTTTCACCAGAACAGCGTCTGGTCCTACTAGTCGGAATTTAAGCGTGCGCGGTGTGCTCTTCACGGACTTAGACGTGAATTTTCTGCCATTTTCGCCCAGACTTTGATAAATTAAACCCACCAGCCCCAAAGTCCTCCAACCGTTCTGCTGGAGACTGTTGACCGTCGTTGATTTCGCTGATTCGGTTCAACATGCGTGCACCACTGCTGCTCCTTCTCTGGTCGGCTAATTTTGCATTTGCCAAATGGCATAAACCATTGCCAGGGCACCGCTCCCTTGCTGGGCATGATAGCTTGGCTGCGCGCCAGATCGTGGACGGGGGCGCCAACTGTACAGAAGAAAGCTCCTGCTCCCAATGCTACGGTGCTGGGAATGTGTTGTGCAGTAACGCAGGCTGTTTTGATCCCTCCCAAGGCCAGCAATGCTGTGCGGACGGATGTACGTTGCATTCTCCTCACTACCTGCCCTAGAGGAACAGTCCAAATACTAAGCTTGTCCCCGCTTCTCTACAGCGTACTGTGTTGGATCCAGTAGCTCTTGTTGTGGCTCGAGTGTAAGTGTTTTTCTTCCTCTGACTCTTCGGCCATAGAACGAGTCGGATTCGTGTTATCACGAGTCGCATTCGTGTTATCATTCGTGTGTCTGACATCCGCCCTCACCATCAGGGTGCCGGAACGACAGGTACAGACGGCGTTGTCCCCCAAACCGCCTATTCCGCATTCTATTCGGCAACAACCCAATGGCCTTGTTTTCCCACCGACACCAATGAAGACTGCTGTCACCGCGGGGGTACTCAATGGTGCAGTGGCGACTATCCGAGCCAGGTCTGCTACGACCCTTCGTCCGTGGTCTGCTGCAGCAACGGCGAAGTCTGCACGGGCAATGGCTGCTGTAGCAGCTTGGTAAGTTAGATGATGTGCCCTAACTCTTCGTATGACCTTTTTCTGTTTCTAGTTCTCTGACAATTGTCCTTTCTTGTAGGGTGCTGTCGCCACCACGCCGAACCCGACCCTTGCAACGAGAACTGGAACACCCACCCCGACTGGGACGTCGGGCTCTTCCACGTCGTACTCTACCACAGGAACGCCGACATCAGTGTCATCAGCTCCTGCAGCTACAACTACCGCCACCAAATCATCTAATGGTGGAAAGGACCTGGCGGATGTGAAGGGAGCCGTCGGGGTGTTAGGAGCGTTCCTAGTAGGATTGATCTTTCTGTAATATACAGTAGAACGGTACTGGGGCTCCGTACTTCAAAATGATTGACCACCAAGCAAGGATAGTTGGCTAGCCATATACAACATCTATACCAGATTTGGAACCCTTCCAAAAAATACTATGCTCTAAATCATGGTTGTTCATCGTATTAACGCACTGGGTAGAACTGGTTCTAACAGATGAGAGGTGATTTATGTTCCATTTCCGGCTGTGCTCGAAATAGACACGGATATCTCCTGCTTCTACTCCCCTTGAGTGACAAGCCCGTCTGTAGTGATATGAGGCCGTTTATTCAGCAAGTTCGGCTTGACATCATCCTCAAGTTGGTTCGAGTTATCCGACTCCTGGTTTTTGTCATCCGGCTTCTCCGATTCGTTGGCGGCATGCAGTTCCTCGGCGATAATTGCGGTTCCTGTGATCGTGACCTGCCGCTTTCCATACTCTTTGACAAAGATCCTCGTGCCCTGAGCCAGGACAGGGGGCCATAACAGTTGGGCGGTACTCCGACCCATGGAGGTTGCATCGAGGAAATTGCGCATTCGATTCGCGCCGGTCTTGCCTTGGATGGCGAGCACCAGAAGCGTGACGAGGGCTATAAGCGTGATGGCAAGTGCGACAATAGCAGGCACCGCAAACGGGAGTCGATATTGGATCCTTTGATGGTAAAGCACCACAGGAACCTGAGTCAACGGGGCGGGATTCAGGTCCGTAGAGGAGACGTTGGCGCTAGGAACGAACGCCGCGGAGTCGGTTGATGCAGCCGAAGTAAGTCCCCAGCCTCGCGTGCCAACGACTGCATTTGCGGCAACGTCAGTCCACACCAGATTTAGAATCTGGGAAACCGTGTCGGCCGAGCTGCTAAGATTTTGCCACTTGGCGTAGACACCGAGGCTGCTCCAGCCCGAGTAATCGGCGTACCCCTGGTATCCTGAATACTTTCTCACGGGCGGGCCGATGTTCATCGCGGTGTAGAGAGCTTGAGAGTAGAAATTCAGTGCGGGCAAATATTGCGAGCCTGGCAGCACCGGGACTGGTGCAGTACCGGACATGAAATCCCAGTCCATGAAGCCCGGTAGGTAGAGACTCTCGGCAGCGATGGTTGACATGTTCCATGCGGTTCCGAGGGGACTTTGACTCGAGTTCGCCGACCCGAGGATTCCCCACATGGGCATGGCGTCACTGAATTGCAGCCAGTTCAAATTTTGAACCGCCCAGCGCGGAAAACTGGAAGAACTAGTGTAGGCCTTGGGGATTATAGATGTCGCTTTGAGCGATCCGAGGCCCGTTCCATTGTATTGGAAAGAGACGGTCTGAACTCTGGCTCGAACGGCACTGGCACAGCTATATATTGGAGCGGTCCACTTGGACAAAGGGTCGACAATGAGATTAGAGCCACCGTCTGTGCGTTTCGCGGCACCGTACAGAACCGCACATCCGACAATGCTGCTGTCGATGTTGGGAGTGCTGCCGGACGATGTTCCACCACAGAGATTATCTGAGACGATGTGTTAGTAATACACGAGTCACACAGGAGAGGCACACGTACTGATGATCGCAAAGTTGGTCGAACTGATGTTGTATGGATTTGTTTTATTGAGATTCAGATAACCGCCAAAGTAGAGGGATGACTGGACGGCTGTCGCATAAACTGAGAAACTCGACTCCTCGACGGGAAACGTTTGACCAGGCGTCACATCCAATCGGGTGATGTTCGATGGATCGTCGCCAGTCGCGTTAAAGTATACCAATGTCAGGAAGTTGTTCAACCACGCGGCATTGTATGCCCGTTCTTTCAAATTGATTTTCCCTTGCTCGTTGCTTGGGAGGTTCATGCTCGGCCCTTGCCGACTTAAGGCAGAGAATCCACCATGATCAGTCAACACTGCCGTCCCGTTGGATGCAGTACTATCATACTGAAAGTCCATGGTGATGTTCAGGTTCACACACTGTGTTTCAGGTTGCACGAACAAGATGTCCTCCGCCCAAGTTGCACCAAGTGCTGGAACAGACTTGGGAACGGTGTGATTTCGAAACCCAATGCCTCCCGATTCCATGTCGACGATCAGTCCTTCGATGACCTGGGCTCCCTCATTCAGGATCAGTGTCGCTAGTTGCCGATACCCGCCGCTTATATAGTACTCGAGAGTGCTGTAGGCGTCCTGCAATCGGACATACGCGCGCCATTGGATATCGAAGATACTCGAGACGGAAGGGCTAAAGCTGGAGGAACCATCGCTGAACAGAGCCCCCAATGCCGCAGGAATCCTCGGGTCGTAGCTCACGGTGCAATTCTGCAGCAGCCCCTCGGTGATGCAACTCTGATTGAGAGTCGTGCCGGGGCATGGGATACCATTGCCGCAGACCTCCGTAAACGGCCAGCTGCTTCGTGGCGGAGTACCGTCACCAAAGGTCGAAGGGTCCTTGGTGTAGTGGAAAACGACCGTCGTGGGCGAATCGGCCGCTTCGATCGAGGTGTATAATCCGAGCGGCGTGACGATAGCCGCTACTGAAATCACAAACAAGGTGGCAGGTTGTATCCAGCCAGTCAGCCTCACATTGCGCTTCACCCCCGTCGAGGTCGCTGTATCTGTCTGTAAGATGGTCGGCCAGTGGGATGAATGGAGATAGCGCCCGAGAACCGCCCTTCGGATTTGTTCATCAGCAACCACGCGTTCGGATTATTGGCTGGACCATTCTCACCAGGTCGATACTGAATTTTTGTCTGACAAACAAGCGATGAGGATTGCGGGAAGCATAATCGGGAGAATCAGCTGTACTTCGGAGTTATCAGACAAGCCTTTCATCGAGCAATCTTGGGTGGCTTACACACGAACACTCCAGCGGCAATCGCACCGGAAACCTCGCCCACCGAAAGACCAGCCATTTCGATATGTTAGGTATACCGAAGAGGTTCGACTAACACATTCGTATACAGTGGGTGTCTTCCAACCGGATCATCGAGGCGGATGAAGCTGGATAAATTTCAGGATCATGAATTACGGCTCTCTTGGAGTCGACTTTGTGGGCTGGGTGCCTCGCTAAGGGGCTGCGAGGGCGCAAGAGCCGCCATTGAGACCATCGCGGGTGAATACGAGATGGATCATGCTTGCCCCCGGTCAGATACCAAATTAAATCCATCGGGTTCCTCCTTTGCAAGCGTCGCAAGGGACAAACCCCAAGCCATCTGCCAATAGCAGTCCGTCGTTCTACCGATGGATTGGCCCCCACGCTTCGTGTTTAGTTGATCACTCGACGCTCTCTGGGGTCTGAGCGGTCTATCTGCGGCGCCATTTCTTTCGCATCTGATCTTTCAGCATTTCTTATACTCGTCAACACCTGTTAAAGATATGTTTGACACCTCGCGGAGCGTATCAGCGCTTAATCGCGTTAGAACCATCCGCGCTGCTCAGCGCTCACGTGGTGTTTTCTGAAGGGTATCTCCGTAGGTCTGGTAGGGCTTTTCTCCCTTCATGCCTGCTACCGTGAGGTTGTTGAAAATGCAGGAAGCGTCATATAAAAGTATGGTACATCATAATTAGCTTGATCAACATCGTCTCAGCGTTAGTCAAACTGCCGGGGTAAAACCTGGAATCGGATACATCCGTGGATGAGGGAAGTTTAATATACAGAAATTACAAGTGACCGTCCGAAAACACCTCTGGTTTCTTAACCCGTTAGAAAAGCAGGCGGTGAGGAGGCATTTTGCGGCAAGCAGACCTCGGAGATTCACTCACGTTACTCAGCATTGTTCAACATCGGATCCTGTTAGATCGCCCCAGAAGCCTGGTAATTAAAATCTCCTAATATTGACATGGGATAAAGAAGTCCATTCACCCGTGGGACCAAGGTATCAGGCTGCTCAACTTCCCCTGCGACCATGTCCTATGACCAAGCAAAGCTTGCAAAAATTAATACTAGAAATGAGGCACCCTACGGGATATCCTACTGTAGTGCAGGATCGGTGCGTTCCGTCTCATAAGGGACTCATGATGCCTACTACGGCCCTTCTCAACGATATGCAGGAACGGTGTATGACTAAACTAACACCGTTAACTAACTAACTATAACTAACTAATAACTAGTTATGCCAGTCGTTAATAATAAGAAAGTTCGTTGTTCAATTAGCAAGGAGATCAGATGCCCCCCCCTCTTTCCTTTCTAACTACCATTTACAATTTAGACACATTGACCACTCCAGGCCGTCCACAATTAATCACCTCGGCCTTCTTTGACACACAACGGCTCTTCACAAGGTCAACTCGTCTAGGTCCAGGAAGTAGATGTCTGCATTGGCATCGCCGTAGCTATGCAGAGCCCACTGCACGTTTCCGTCTGTGTGCAAATTTGGCCCGTGGGACAAGCATTGAATGCACCGACAATGCAGGGAATACTCGGCAACCCTGTCGGTGTTGCGAGACAAAGGCCGCCGCAGGGTGATGAAGTAGGACAGGCCATAGTCGGGGTACAGCTTGAGCCTGTTGGACATGCGCTGCCGCCGACTGTACAAGGGACCAGTGGGGTTGAAGTAGCCACCGAAATACACGCTCCACCACAGAAAGCACCAGGGGTCGGAGGACAGCTCCCAGTTGGAGTGCAAGTTGAACCTGCCGAGCAACCAGTCGATGCACCCACAGTACATGGAACTACAGGAGGGGGGTAGCGATTGACAAGCAGAGCCCGTGGCAGGTCATTGTCTGCGTGCATATCGATCCGGTTGGGCAAGGCGATCCCCCAACGATGCATTGGATTGAAGGAGCATGGGTGGATACTGGTGGACAGTGGCCATGGCCATGGCCATGGTCATGATCCTCTCCATGGTCATAGTCCTGCGTGGCGAGTGTCACCGTAAGGGAAAGGCAAAGTGCCAAGAGAAGTCGTGCAAGATTCATTTTATCAAAAACAAATTTTCCAAATGGTCATTTCATGACTAGTTTTTTCTTCCCCCAAGAGACACCTTGGGGTCATATTTATAACATAAATTAAGCCATATCAATCACTGTGAACAAAGACTGAAACAAGATTTGAGCTTGGATCAATGGGTCCACTGTAAAGAAAAACATGACGAACCATACCATGGTAGGACTTTCGTGGATATTAATACATGCCCAGTAAAAGGTAGTTATCTAAACTCAAATATAACCTCACCATGAATCAAGGGCGTCAGACGACTACTCAATCAAACTTACGCTGGTCCAGAGCTTTGTTGCCAATAAGAAAACATTGATTCACACATGTCTGGGTGCGCATCTGCTGACGAAGATGATAACTTCGAGAGAGGAGAAGGAAAGTGAGACATACCCTACGTGGCTGGCAAGTTTCAAAACGCCATCTCGTATGGAGCTCGTATCTGTTGTACCCGCCGTAGCTATAGGGGTGATTTCAGGATGCGGGGTCGTCGTTGAACAGACTGATGGGAAAATGGCGGGAAAGAAATTTTTCGAAAACATCATGATATAGCAATATGAGGCTATGATAAAATATGGAAAGTTTCATTTCAAAGAACACTGTAGTTGTAACCGATAAGCAGATATCGCAAATCTCAATCTTACAAAATATCCCGGCATACGCTGGGTAGGCACTCCTGACCGGAAGTTAAACCGATGGTTAGTGCGCATTAGGCGCATTATATTCGCTACGTCACCGAATATAAAGTTTCCAGTCCGTCAGTCCGTGCCGCTAAATCACATGCATTGGTAGCAGTAAGATACACTGCTATCGACCAAGAGAAACTTTGAGTATGGCAAGTTCTCTCCCGTGATGGTTTGCCCCAGGCTCAACTGCAATTCATCAAATCGGTCGGATAGCAGTCGAATTACAAACGGAACAAAAGTGATAGCTAAACTCGATGTCAAACTAATCACAACACGCAATTGACTATCAATTTTTGGGGTAGAGAAGGATCTAGCCACGTCTAACACGTCAGCACACTCAGTCGCTCGAGGTTCCTTAGATCCTTGGGCGAACCATCGGCCGTTGATCTCCATGGGGACCTTGCAAACAGTTTGGACTATCTTCCGCGGGGGAAACTAGATCAAGTAGTGCAGTGAACTGGACAAGATTCGTGGTTCTGTCACCGCCAGAACCATTCAATCCTTCAATGACTGAATCATAATAGCCATGAAAAGCAGGTATCTACATCAAATCCCATATATGAAATGAAGGAAATAGGCAGCAGCAATGACTACATTCCCACGCACCATGGCAGTTTCATGCAGCTTGAGATATTCAACGTGTTCCCATGAAAATCACTAGGGAGGAATGCTCGGGATTACTATTCAAAAGATAATGTACTCCAAATTTTGCATCGTTCTGGATTATGTGGGAACATATGTTCTGTCAGAGCGATACATCAATAGGAGACTTTGATGTTGAGGCTAAATATACACCTACCAAGGCAGCCATATGTGGTGAATCCCGACGTGCGTCTAGGCTCCCGTTCTCAATTGTCTTACGAACGTTACATTCGCCTATATTGAAGTCTTGACTTGCAAATCATGTTCAATGCGTACAAGTGCTAGATTGGCATTTGCATCATTCTGCTCCTCCGCGATGATCTCGATTGCTCAAGGTCACTTCCGTGCAGTCGCTGCCCAACTACAATAAACGAACATCATATTCCTCCTCTTATCGATAGCAAGACTGGATTCTCTTTTCAATTAGCCGCAGTGTAGGATAGAGCTTTTCCGAACCGCGTCGTAATGGAATATGATAAATAGCGTTTGACCATCACTTGACGAGGTTGCGCGTCAGGAACGCTAGACCCCTCTTCATGGCTACATTAGACTACCTGCCTAAGGCTTATTAAACAGCATTTCTAGCTGTCCAATATGCATACCTACATTCGACGCAAAACTTGATGAGATGACTCAGCTTTAACGACGACAGCCGCGGTGCAATACTTACATCATGATGGAAGGTTATCCACTTGACACCATTATGAACATTTCCTGAGCGCTTTCATCAATGGCCAAGACGCAATGATATACGTTCTCATTTCATGCTAAAAATGCTACGAATCGTGGGACCACCACCACAGCCATTGTATAGTGAATTCATATCGGCAATCGGCTCTCATATGAGAGTTCTCTCGGGGAATACGAAACGTACGAGCGATATTTACCACTTTGATCAGTGTGATGTTGATGTCAGGAACAAGTTAATTGTAACGACAAGGAATGCTAGACGTCTGCAATCGATTTGGCTCACCAATTGTCGCAGTCGGGGGCTAAGGATACTGTAGAGTCCTCGTATTGGACAGCGTTGTTTGTTTCTCACAATTACGGTCTATGTCCTCGATATTCCAGAAAGGCCAGTGAAAGGATACTTGGCGGCGCAGAATCGGGGATCCCCTCTCAATGGATCCCTACAGTATTCAAAGGCCGACGTGACCGACGTTCAGGTAGTTGACGAGACGATCTCAAGCACTACAAACACACATTGCCGATTCAATGGTCTCATTGGTGCGGCTGGTATACAAAAGATTGGCCAAGCTATTGGACAACTACAGCAAGCGGTAGAACAAATCATGAGGACAAACTTCCTCGGTGCTTTTAGTTGTACCACTGCATACGGTAGGCAGATGCTTAAGATAAATTGTTCAGGCTCCATCGTGCTTGTGGCGAGCGCAAATGGCCTGATCGGTAATACAAAACGTATTGTTCAGCTTATAACTCCTCAAAAGCCGCGGCGATCCAGCTTGCGAGAAACTTGGCACAGGAATGGGGCCCTATTGCCGATGACTGCAGTGGTGGGTGGGGTTTGGGTCAATAGTCTATTCCCAGGTCATCTTATACTCCAATGGTCGATAAGACCCTGTCAGGAATCGCCCGAGGCAAAAGATACATCGGCTCATGAGAACATATTGCAAAAGATTCTCAGGTCATGGGAGGTTAGAGGGGCTCCGCTGTTCCTAATGAGCGATGCGAGTAGTGTCATGGCAATGCCTTGGTCACTGATGGAATCCATACTGCTTGGTGAGTAACTTTAATGACTAGTTATTCGATTGAGTTACTTGATTTACTGAGAACATAGATGAATATTTTATGGAATTGCATTTATTTTCGTCACACTCTGTAATAGCAGCAGATAATGATAGGAGGAAAGGAGAACACCTGGATTCAGGAAAAGAGGAAGCAGAATGATCGATGGATATTGGAACAGGAAAGGCATCCATGAGACTATCTATGCGCCAAATCAGCAAGTGACTCACAATCAACAATCACGATGTTAACACATGTGTGCATAGAACTGGAGAGAACAACGGACAGAGACGCGGGATAACAATGGTTCCGGCGTGGGGGTTCCTAAAAGCAAGGAAATCTTCTTTCCGTGGCGGTCTTCAACCGACTTGGTGAAAAACCGTGCTGTTCTGAGGGAAATTTTCTCGATATTTGACCTCCCCTTATTGAATGAAGCGACACTAGTGGTCAAACAGGAAGTCCAGTCTCTTATTGCCTTGATCCTTGGTTGTCTCTAGATAAGCCGCTTTGGCCTCGGGACTCAACTTCTCCCAACGATCTTTTTTCCATTGGTTCCTACGCAAGTAGTATGCGTTTGCGAGAGCATACATCACAATAGTAGCAATGTTGATGGCTATAAGCTGTTTATTGCCACGTCGATATAGGGGCTTGTCATCCTGGCGATATATATTCGATGATGCGATACCAGAAAGTTGAATGGTGATGTTGTACAACGCAGCACTGACTGTACGAGTCCGAACTGTATTGCTCAAACGAGAGCACCACCCAACGTGCGCAGCGTGTGGCGACGGCCAGCCAAGCAAGACAAAAGTCACGGCATAAAGACCCCAATGGGATAAACTCCCGGCAGAAGTATAGAGAATGATGAGTAGTGGAAGAGACCATAGTTGTGTTAACAGACCAATGAGTGAGATTTTGTGGAAACGCTCCGTTAGCTCTGTGACAAGGAGAAGGTTTATTGACGCAAAGACGGTAACGGGAATCGATAGTAAAGTGGTTTGGAAGGTACTGAATCCAATGGCCTTGAGTGACAGCGTTAGGTACGTCTTCGGGGGCGCGGTTGGGATTTCGAAAAGCAACCCAATTGCATAAATTGGCCAAAGGTCATAGTCTTTTAAACTTTGCCAAAGCATTTTAAGTGAAAGACCTTGGCGATTATGCATGTCCCCCTTCGATGGGTCATCTCTGAGCACGCGATTGACAATAATCTTCTCTTCTCTCTCGGAAAAGTACCCCTTGGGATTCCACCAGGTCTTGGTCTGTGTGGGACCAGGAACGAGGAAGAGAAAGCTCAAGAAGCCGATAACAATGCTGATAAGTGCCTCGATGAGAAAAAGCCATCTCCAACCTTCACGGCCTGCTACGCCTCTCATATGTAGAACACCGTATGCGATGAAGGAGGCAATCACGCCAGACATAGAATCCACGAACCAAAATAATGCAAGGCGGAATGGCATCTCGGACTTGGTATAGAAATAAGACAGATATAAGATGGAATCAGGAATGAACCCTCCCATAAATAGACCAATGAAAAAGCGGCAAGCAAAGAACCCAGCCCGGTTCTGCATGAAGAATTGGCCACCGGAAGCCAAGCTCCATAAAATTATCTGGATCGGAATCCACCGGTCGGGGCCAAGTCTTTTGCCGATCATCTGGGACGGGATTTCGGCGATGAGGAAACCAATGCGATACATGTTTTGCGCATTATTGTAGTCGTTGGTGGTGACTTGCAAGTCGTCAAGGAGATTATCCGCTGCAGCGTTTGCCAAGTTCCCCCGATCGAGATTCAATCCGAAGAACATCACCAAGATCCACATAAGAACCGTCCAATCTGTTTTGCGTCGAACTGCAGTTTCCTCACGGTAGGTCCACCTTGCACTGGGGTCGAACGAGGCAATGTTTTCATAGTCGGGGTGTGGTTGATAATATCTTGCAAGCAAAGGATCGTCAAAAACGCTTCGGACGGTTGCGATTGCATCGGGGCTGCCGTTTCTCTGTGAGGGAACAAGAAGCCGTCGTAGCAGTGACGCCTGCTCTTTTTGCTCAGACGGTTCCACTAGATGATTGTCGTTGCTCTTATCAGCTAGTGGCTCGCCAGCGATTGTGATCTTGGCCGATTTAGTTTCGGTACTCATCGTCGGAGATTGGGCGAAGTTGGAGAGACTGTTTGCCCTGTCTAAGCTGAGATCTGAGGTACTATTATATGTTCCAAAGGCTACCAGAAGGAATTCTACATGACAAGGAAATAAGATCAAAAATCAATTCGTGCTCTAGAGAGTCAATGATACCATCCATGCGAGAATTCTGTACGAAGCTCCGAAGCTCCCGCTAGAAGACCTATCAAATCGTCGCGAGATAGAGCAGTGGCGCAAGATCTGGAAGTCGCTTTCTCGTGATGCTATGTTGTTCTACTAGTCAGGTTTGCTACTTGATGGCAATGTTAGCAAGTCGCGGTCTCGCCATATAAGGGGGAATGACATCAGGTTCGATCAGCAAGCACTAAGCGAACGTCCGCCCTATCATTTCACTTGAACAGAGCAGCCGTTGGCTTATAGTATCCTCCGACTGGGATATATCGCCGCGATTGGTGGACAATTTCGTTCCTTCGCTCCTTCGCTGCTATAGCTGCCGCACATTTCTGCGCTCGGGTAATTGATGTTCAAGCTCCATTTTTGCTCCTGTGATACCACGTCCCGCAAGAACGAGAAGTATCAATTCGGATTTTTATGTAAGCTATTTATTACGTGACAATCTCAGTCTTTCCGCACACGGATATTTTACCCCATTCGTGAAATGTGATTCGGAAAGGTATGAAGGAGCAGTGATAGCACAATGAAGGTGAATAAGATAAGGCGAGAGCTAGTGAGAAATTCAGTTGCCGCTGTCTAATAATACTAGACTTGGCCTATCGGACCAGTCAAGACGCATTTTGTATAGGATTATTACATTCAATGATGGTCGAATATTGGGCAAAGGCAGGCCGAATACGACGACATGAAATTCAGCAGGAATAGGCTCGGCTCTAAGGAACGAGGAATATCCCGATTCCAATCAACTAAACTAAAATGAACCCCAATAATGTAGTTCATAGTCGACAGAGCCTGGACGCCAAAGTGGAGCAGGTTCGTAGACCGGAATGGGCGTCGAAGCTGCGGGGCCGTTAGGACTTTCTCATTGTGGGCCAGATTTCAAACTTACTACCATAGCCGGTGCTAGGCGCAGCCCACGTCGGAGTGCCTGGTACCTGCCAATTGCTTGGAGTTTCCGTAACAGTATAAGTGCTGGTATATGTGTATGGCGACTCAGTGTCATTAAGAGTTTGTATGCCGTCGTTCGCACCGTAGTTATCATCGCCAGATCCAAACACATTGTTGATTGTGTTCACAATTGCACTTCCAGTTTCAGTCCATATGGCGAAGTCTTCGATAGTGGTATTAATGACAAAGGTCAAATCATTTCCGATCAGGTTGAGTGGTCCTCTTTTTGTGCCATCGGCAACGGAGCCTGTCTTTTGAGTTAGTAATCCAACAGCTCCAAAAGATTTCAAGAGGGTATTAGGGTATTAGGAACCTGAAAAATTACGGAACACAAGGTTACTCAGTGACACAGAACCAGTGTCTGGGACAAAGGTATTCTGCCAGTACTGATTGATATTAAGGCCATAGAGACTAGACAGAGAGCGGAAGTTAGAGAATGTCACGTTTGTCACATATCCGGACCCTCCTGGGTAGGTCTTTATGAACGCGATGTTGTTGCCTTGAATAATGTTTATATTCCGTGCTTCCTGCTCGAACAGTGAGTACACAGGGAATTTCGTGAGAACCCGTGGTATGCATCGTACAATATTTGATATCTCTGCTGACACATTCAAACTGCCAATAGAGACGCCTGATCCAGCTTGATTGCAGACGAGATTCTCTATCAAGGCAAAGTGTGATGGGCTTTTGATCGAGACACATTCGTCTCTATTGGTGACCTAGGCGGCACAGTATTTGGTCAACACGGTAGGAAATTTCTAGTATTGCCCTCGGCTGATAGGCCGGTCTTTAAGTGGCAATAGTTGTATAGCTATGATTCGACGAACCTCATTATCATGAATGTAGTAATTGCTTCCAATCGCGTCTATGCCATCATAACTACCCAAATTTGCCCCGCGTATCGTCAGGTGATATACTTCGACATTCAAAACGAAATCTAGCACAAGGTGAAATTTCGGACTGTCAACCAGGATCAAGTCATGAATAGTGGCGTTGGTTGGCGAAATCAGTCTAACCAGGCGCGGACGCTCAGTACTATGCATTGTCAATGATATAAACCTCAATCGATGGACGAATGTTACCCACTTGTTTCCATTTCGATAGAGATACCCTTGTCCCTGGATAGCGCCCGATCCCGTCAACGAATAGAATTCGAAGTCGATGGCTACCAACCAAGCGATTTTAGATTAACAGTTTCATCACGGACAAAATCAAATAATTGAGCTTATATTTACCATTGACGATAACAAGGACATCCAGCAAGAACTTCCCGTCGCCTTCTCCATTGATCGTTGAATTGATCAAATCGGTACCAGCAGACCCTTCGAGGATCAAACTGCGGTCAACGGTCCAATTCCCTTCATACGCTGCGGTAATCAAGCCATCCAACTGAAATGCCCAATTGATCCCGTTACTGAGAACGACACTTCTGGTCAGAAGATAATTGCCCTTTGGTATAATTAACCGACTTCCGGGGCATTTGAGGACACATTCTGTGAATGTTTGCTCAATCGCGAAGGATATATCAGTAGAGTTGTCTGCAAATGCACCATAATTCAAAACATTGCACTCGACGGTCTTTTTCTTAAGTGGTGTGGTAGGTCCGACCGGTCCAATAAGTTGGCTAGCGGCCAGTCCAATGGTGATAAATTGCGCAAAGAGCCGCATAACTGTTGTATCGGTTGAATAGTCCACAGGTAACAGACGTCCAAGTATTCACCACTTGCTTCGATTTTGAGAAGGTCCAAAGTTCCTTTGCTTCAGACCATAAGTATTGATCTCAATAACTTATGCCAGGTCTTTATTCGTTTTATAATTTGTACACCTCAGAGTTGCTCATAAAGTACTCTTGAGTCGCCATCATTTTTCCGACTAGTGACATGCCGAAGCTAGCTGATCACAGATGAAGTGGATGGAAATATGATTAAAATGTATTGGTACTTCGACCGAACGGAACCCAATTTTGCCGAGATCGGTTATAGTATGAGGGTGGTTGGAGTAGGGATGTGTTAATCCCGCAATTTTTTCTTCCCGAGGAATATAGTCCCATCACAGCCGGTCCATTAGCAAATCACCTCATCCGATCCGTGAATGACGGACGCAAAGCCCATCAGACGGACAACGTACTAACGTATATTTTGGTATAAGACTACTTAATCTTTAGATTGCGCCATCCAGAAATCTCATCATCATTGGTGGGAATTTGCAGAAGTGTTAGAGCTGAGAATTGATACTGGATCAACTCATGTAGCCCGACGCGATCGTCCAACCGCATGTTGGTAGATAATGAGCGTTACTTGTCGAGATTTAACCTTCTCTTTCCCAGTCAGATCGATGGACACAGATAACCCCTACAATATGACGGAACACAAGAACGTTTTGTTAATGATCGCCGATGACCTGGGGAAGCAACTGAGCTGTTACGGTGCAAAAGGAATAAAAACACCTAACATCGACAGCCTGGCTGCCCAAGGGACTCGTTTTGAGTACGCTTTTGCGAGCACTGCATCCTGCAGTGGCAGCCGGTCTGTCATCTACACCGGTCTCCATACCCATCAAAACGGTCAATATGGGCTAGCAAGTCATCGGCATCATTTTGTTACCTTTGATCACGTTGAGACTGCACCTCTTCTCCTAAACCAGAGCGGATACAGAACTGGAATCATTGGCAAGATCCACGTGGGCCCAATGTTGCTGTATCCTTGGGCTGTTAAGGAAGAAAGTGACACGCGTGATGTTGCAGTTATTTCTGATCAAGCACAATCCTTCTTCCAAGAGTGCAAAGAAGATAACGTTCCATTCTTCTTAACTATTGGTTTCATTGATCCTCATCGCGACCGCACCAGGGGAGGATTTGGGAACCCCCAGCAATATGACCCTCGGATTAGCGAAGGGGCCTACGGTACGGAGGACGTGGAGATACCTCCGTTCATGAACGACTCGCCTGGTTCCAGATTGGAGTTGGCAGAGTATTATAACTCGATCCATCGTCTTGATCAGGGAGTTGGTTTTGTTCTAAAGGCCCTCGCCGATTGTGGTCTCGCACGTTCGACTCTCGTTATTTTCTTAAGTGACAATGGTCCCCCCTTCATGAATTCGAAGACCACACTGTATGACTCTGGAGTCCAGTTGCCTTTGATCATCAAAAGCCCGAGCAGGGAGCCCGGAGTGAGCTTGGCTTTGGTGTCTTATATTGATATCCTTCCCACGATTCTTGATTTCGTGGGCCATCCAGCTAAAAAGGATCCGTCACGGAAACGCATTGGTCGGTCCCTCCTTCAGATTTTAGGTTCCTCTTCGGATGATGCCAACTTTGAAAGGGTTTTTGGATCTCATACATTTCATGAAGTGACCAATTATTGGCCAACCCGCTTCATTCGTGATAGACGGTACAAATACCACAGGAATCTGGCGTGGCGACTTGATTTCCCCTTTGCGTCGGACATTTATGGGTCCTTGTCCTGGGAGGATATTCGTAACTCTCGCGACCGTGAAATCATGGTTGGAAAGCGAAAGTTGAAAGACTACTTCTTCCGTGGACCTGAAGAGTTATATGACCTCAAGATTGATCCGCTGGAAGTCAATAACCTTGCCGGAGATCCACAGCACCAAGTTTTACTAGAGAGAATGAGGGCGACGTTGGAGGAATGGCAACGGAGAACTGAGGATCCTTGGTTGTATCGAGACGGCGTCTCAGTTTGGTTCAACAGGTATCATTTTCCAGCAGGATTGGCAATTCCTGACCGGCTAGACTTTGACGTGGATAGACCGGGTAATGCAGATCTGAAGGCATTCGATGGAAGCGTAACGTGGGGCACTAATGTGCAGTCAGATTGACCCCGAGCATGCCTCCACTCCAAGTGTTATATTTCCCCTCGCGAACCTTGTTAGATAGAATAGGGGGAGTTATGATGTTTGATAGTCGGGTTGAATCAATTTCACTTGCTTTTCAACGTACCTGTTATTATTTTTTCTTCGTGATTTGTTGCAACCCAGCTAATTGGTATTATGCAGCGGCTCCTGCTCTCGCCTTGGTTATTTCCTCCACTTTCTCCTCATCTCCAACAAGATTCATCTATATTCTGATCACGATAAGTAGGGTTTAGATATTACATGATGTATCATAGTCTCCTCTCACTCACTGGCCAGCTACGAACTTAGTGGCCAACACATGATCTAAACAAACTTTACATTAATCAACACACACAACTCTCATCTACTGGTCTTTCTAATGCCCGCTTGAGATCCCACCCTTCTACGGGTCATTTTATATGGAGATGCGCTCATTTTTCCTTCTGTTCACAGTTACCCCATCGTTATCTCAAGTATCTCAAGCATTCTGCACAGTGCGAATATGCTCCATGGCTTGAAAAGCTCCTTGCATTCCACGGCCCGATATAAGCTAGTTAGTTAGTCCTTGCTTACTCTTAGTCAAACCCTGCTACATCCCTAAGGTTGCATGGTGATGGTTTTGCCATGCAGGTTATTGGTCTTACGAGCTTGCTTATTGAGATCCTCTCGCTATATCTTAGGTTCATCAACAATTCCGCGGTCATAGGATCCTCTATCTGTGTCACCTATGTGTAAAATAAGCTAGCTCTTGAAAATACAATTGATCTGCTATTATTCTTTCACTTCGGCTATTTAATTCAACGAAGCCCTGCAAAGTCCGGTAGGGCAGCATTGCGAGTCAATGAAGCTACCATCACATGATTCACCAGATACTAGACTACGTACAAATTCCCTCGAAGGTCTGATAGCCACATCACTACTACTGACGAAAATTCCGGCATCCTCTCTGAGCTTTGAGGCACACAATTCACATTCAAACACATTTCCTTGCGCAGGATCATACATCGAAAACACCCCCGCCTGAAGAGTCATGAAATAAGGAATCAGAAAGTATCGAATCGAGACCTTCGGCGGCAAATCCTGTATTCAGGCCACCATCAAGCCCGATGCGACCCAGGCTTCCTGGACGGACATCCTTTTCGTCCAGAAAGCCTATCGGTAAAGAATCAAAGCTGTCGTAGGTCTTGATGGGCGAATCGTAGCATACGATATCTTCGCTATCCAAGTTGGCGCCCAACTCCAAGAAGTCAAGGTTTATAGCAGTAGACATGGGCTCACATGAGTTTCCAGGGGTGTGCACCGGCGGTTTAAACCCGATCTGTGGAGGGTCGTCCACATTCGTGGAGTTTTCCTTCCATTCTGTGGTTTCATTCGTTGGCAGCCGTTTACTAGTTAAATTCTGAGTGAGCATTCTTCTCTCTTGTACTTGCGTACTTGCGGCAGATGCTGCTGCCACCGAGTCGACTGATTTCTCTCCACAATCTGAAGGGGCTGGAACTGCACATCTATGTATATAGAGAGCGCCTCTGCTCCCCGTATCGATTGTCCAAGGAAGCTGCATCATTGCCCCCATTGCTGGTATATCGCGGACTAAAGCTGGGAGGGACGTATCATAGGGTAAACGACCTACTGCCAAGCTGTAGTCCACAGACGTCGAGATCAAAAGATATGCGCGTGGACATCGCAAGAAAGCATCAAGCCAGCTCTTTGCGCGTGTCGGATTTGAATTTCTTATCCTTGTCAAATTCGGAATCTGGGGATCCATTCGTTTCTCGATCAGATTGTGCCCTGTCTTCTCGTTGATCATTCTTGACGAAGGCTCGCTAGGAAGAAAAAAGTTTTGCGTAGTCACATACGCCAATTGGAGTATATGATTGGTTCCAGCTGCGACAAAGTCGGTGACATCGTACAGTGATTCGGAAAGACGAATTATTCTACTCAGAGAGTCCAGGCGCCTCTGTCGGATCTTCATTTCATCACATGATGGAGAAAGCTTCAGGTCAATCGCCGCTAGAATCAGCGGCATGCCAACGTACCCCAATCTACAGAAAATGTCAGTTCTGGTGCTCGAACACCGGGGTATTCAGTCTATTTACTGCGGGTAAAGGGGGAATATTGAGGGATGAAGGGAGGTCATACACGCTCAACGGCAGATTTTCCACATGGCCATTGCGACTGAAGTACTCCATGACAGCAGTCAGACCTTGAATTCCGGAGGCCAAGTCCTTTCCAATTCCAAGTACAGCTTCTCCATAGAGATCGTTTGCTAATGCATGGTGCTCCTCGATGGCAAGTGCTGCGAATTGTGCCAGGTCGACGCGGGCCGCACTAGAAAGACCAAATTTAGGGCTTGAGTGATTTTTCGGTCCCCCACTTTCGAGTGTCTCTTACTGATAGTACATGAATGTCAAATTCTTTGTGGTTGAGGCAGGATCATGGCTGCACGTCGTGCTATCTAGAACGGATGGTGCTTGTGCTTGTGTTTCCCATGAGATTAGAGATCTTTTAATCTCTTCAATTGTGCACATTAGTGCTCGAAAAGCATCCCTCGAATACGATGCTGTCGTGGTCATTCGGGGAGTAAAAACCAAGGACACAAGATCCGTCAGAACAACAGCTAAGCGGCATTGATCTTGCAGGGCTTTAAAAAGCCTCTTTTTTGCATTGCAGTCGTACACTGGTGAGCGACGCATTTCCTCCTCAAAGTCCTCTTCTTTCAACCAGTCGCGGCAACCATGGAGATTATGTGATGCGATCTGCGGTTGACGACGGAGACCGATACAGAGACTCCGGTCTCGAAGGAGGATAGACCACCACAATCGTTTTTTCACCGATATTGGGACATTTTCGATTATTACTTTGCGCTTGGTATCAATAAGCATTGCATTTTCAATTGCGCGCGTCAACCATAGGCTACCCGCCTGCGGTGCCTCTGCTGACGTGTGGTGAGTGAGAAGTATTGCGCCCTGCGCTCTCGCGGAGGGCCTGGCCTCTACCATCAAGTCGTAAAGAAGCTATCGATGCTTTTCAGAATTTGATTATTTTCCCTCTCGAGTCGCGTTCATACATACCTGAGATCGGTTGTATAGCTTCTTCCGCGCATCTCGCTTGTCTGCGAATCCGCATTCCTGAAGCGTTCCCAATGAGACAAACTGTCGTTTTTGCTATCAACAACTAGTAATAACTTCCAATTTTCGAGATTAACGGTTACTCACCGGGCAGCTCGCAAATAGAAGAGCTTGAAAGACAAAAAGCGAAACTTTATCCACGGAATGTCCCTCGAAAGCACGCCAAAATTGCACTTCATTCAATACAGGAAGAATTGGATGAATTTGAAGGAAGTATTGCGTAACAAATTCTCTTGCGTATGCTCTGTCGGGGATGCTTAAAGAACCTTTCGAGGTGAGAAATGCGAGGTCCTCAGGTGCTAGAGATGCCAAGCGATCTGACAAGAGGAATGGATAATCATCAAATTGAAACGAGCTGTTCCCTTTTTCCGTGATGTTCCATTCATCAGATCCGCTAGTTACTCCCGTCAAATGGTAGGAGGTCTTTCTAGTGTTTTGCGAAGCTCCGAGAGGCATATCGGTCGGTTCAGACGGCGAACGGTTATGGCCACTCTGATCTCTCGATCTTTGGACCTGGGTTAGAGTTGCTTCTTATCTACTCTTTGGAAATTTGGGAGACATGCTGCTTCGGTAGCTTTCTGCGCAGAACGCAATCGCTGCGGCCATCCTGGCGACAGCGCGTACATGGACAACCCAGGATCGAGGCATCACATCGCACCTTGCGGTGATGGCACCACAAACAAGCTGTGGGCGCTCTTCTGGTTCGTCGCAACATGAGAATGACTTTCTCCCCGCTTTGGGCCAGGAAGAATATTGGTTTTGGGAATAAGATGGTGAAGTCAGCGGTAAATGTCGAGCATGCCCTCACTGAAGCGGTTATATGAAGCTTGGAGCTAAGAGACCGAGTGGGCAGCGTAAGCGACACACATAAGGCTCGGAGCCCCCTAATAGGTGGCAGAAGTGGGCCTCATGAATCATGCGGAGACGGGATAAGCTCGTCAGCTCCACATATACTTCGTGCAGATGATTCGTACAAGGTCAGATCTAAACACCATTGAAATTGAAAAACTCTCAAACGGCTTTCTTCTAGCTTTGGGCTACACAAATCTGTTTCTTTTCGGGCTGACACTTTGGGGGTTTTTTCTTCTGGAGACCAGGCCTGCTTATGAGATCTGCTTTGGGCAAAGATCTACATTTACTTTGCCTTTCTCAATATGATTCCTTCACAGGATCGACAATATCAAGTTCATGGCCTAAAGCCGGAGCTGAACCTCCAAGTGGGCCATGAACATTAGGATACAGTGACGACGAACTTTCAATATCTCAACTACATTTCCGCTATGTGCACGGGGACCTGGCCTAGTAGTAGTAAATCCCCAGCGACCGCCTCTATGCAGGGTTCCCCGCACTCGACGAGATTACCGCGGAACTCGGCTGGATTCCACATGCTCCACTTGAGGTCTTGCAGCACTCCACTCCCAAACCAAGTACCGCAAAACGAACCTCTCCGTTGGAAGGAATGAGCATGGATTACGAAGAGGTTTGCATGAACTCCATCTGCTATTTTATCAAGCATATCAAATAAAAGAAAGACGACCAACCAAGAACATGGTATGTATCATGTTAGGGGCGCAAAATAAATCCATACCATTTGAGTACACGTTGGTACCTATATCAAGCAATCATTCCCAGAATCACCAAAGCTTCTCAAATTATTGAGGCAAAAAATGAACATTGACATCGGGTAAATACCGGGCATGAGGTTGAAAAGTGGATTTCGGTGGTAACCGCCAATTTAGGCTATATTCTCGAGTCGCCGTCGCATATCCTTCAAATAATAGCGCATCGGATAAGTCCGAATTATCTTTGGTAGACAAGGATAAGTCGCCTTGGTAAAGCCGAGAATCACACGGTATGCACCGCGTCGAATTTTTGTAGACTTCAATCCGTACGCGTCTCGGATCCGCTTAGGTAGTATCTCAGCTGTGGTCAGGCGGACCAGCGGAAGAAGGGCCCGAAGATGGAGCGGCAGCTCTTTATTCCAGAGAAGATCCTTGGCCACTCTTTGTGCATTCTCGGTGATATGCATTGTCTCAACCTGGTGGTCCCAATACTCCCAGAATGCTCTCCTGGACACCGGCCACATGCCCGGTTTGACGCGAAGTGATACAGCTAAGACAGAGTACTCTCGATAGATAACCTCAGCATCATCCTTTGTCATTTGACCAAACATTTGTTGGTATAATTCGATGCCGACCGCATAAAGAGTAGCGGCTACCCAGAGTTGAAGATTGGGGTCATTTGCCGAGTAATCCGGCCCTTTCACGACGGCGTGGGCTCGATGGACCGTCTCAATAACAGCCTCTTTTTCGTGTCGAGATCCAAAAGCCATACAATATACATAAGTCATCGTCGTCCGCAGCCGATCCATAGGCCTGTACGCAAAGTTGCTATGTTCGTCGACACCCTTTCCAACACCTGGCTCTGCAACTTGTAGTAAAATTGCAGCGGCACCACCAGCAAGAAGAATTGCTTCTTGAACCACTTTCTGGATGTGCACTGGCTGCTCGAGTTTATCCAAGAAGTTTTGATTGCTAGGTTCTTCCTTAACATCGGCGTTCGAGCCATAGGTGGGCGACTCCATCGGGATGCCGCACTCCGGCGAGTATCCCGTTTGCTTCTCACTCATCTTTGAGGTTTTATGGTAGATAAGAGGGATTGTGCCTTCAGCAAAAAGGAGTGGGTTGTAAGAGAATAAGGAAAAGGTGTTCATGGGGGGGCGGTCCTGGTTTGGAGTGAGCTTGGCTGGGGATGGAATTTGAACAGGCTTTTATGGCCATAGTATATTCAAGCGCCATTCATGTTATGGTAATAGGTTGCGTTTAGCACCATAAGTGTGTGACGCTCATATGAAATGTCATATGATTTCTTTCGAGGGGGTCAGTGGGGAATCGTCTGCCGCGGACCGGACGGGTGTTGGATATAAGGTTGATCACAGTGGTTCACTCCTCACCTATCGTCAGCGAAGATAGTATTCTATCTACCGCGGACCGTCGTGCCGCGGAATTGGTAACACGTGCGACCGAATTGTATGAATTGAATGTTGATGAGATGTTCAAGTGTGGGGCAGGCGCCATAGGGCAGCTCTTCCTGGGGCACCGACCCATTTTCCCCGGATTTTCATTATATTTTCTGCCAATGCGCTGTAGCTTCTTGGGTACGGTCAACGCGGGGGTGAGATGACTTCGTTCTTATGTGATGAGCTCCCTAGCTAGGAGGTTCTCATTGTATAAAAAGCTGCAAAGTTGGAGCACGGTGATCCTGTTGATTGCTCTTTGGATTCATTTCTCCTGCTGCATAGTATTGTTCAAAGACACGTTTTATTATGCACAACGGTAAAGAAGACGGCCCATATGTGGTTGGAAGTAACAGAAACCTACCTCTGTCGACGGACAGAAGCAACAGCCCAAGGCAGGTTCCAGAAAAGCTCGGCGATGACATTGAGTATGTGGAGAGCTTTGAGTCTTTGGAACAGTCTAAAAGCCCTCGAAGCTTGAAAAGTATTCGTGCAAATGTTCAAAGACATTGGCGCCGGTTTTGGTGTTGTTATCTCGTCGGGGTTATCATTTTCTTGGCCATATTTCTACCAGTCTTGTAGGTGTCAAAGCCTCCCTTTGCGATCATTGCGCTGCTCCCTTCTCGTGAATTGACCTTTCCTGGTCTCAAGTTTCCTAGTCGCAGTCCCAGCAATCGCCCAGAGGATCGTTGACACCACAGATCTTCCAGTTCATTCGGCGCAAATCCTGGATCCCAAAGCTGACCAAGTATCATTTACTCTCGCTACATCTTTGAACATCCCAATGGGGCTTCGAATTCGTACCGACCCCATTGATTTGAGCCTTTTCAATCGAGACCTCCAGCCAATTCAGCCGTACTTGGTTGTCTCTCTACCTTCGTACAGTCTTAAAGGAGACACAGACATGACTGTGACCGAAAACAACACAGATATTTTGAATGAAGATCAGTTCATCAAGACTCTCACGCAAGCTGTCTATAACAAACGGTTCACAATGTCAGCCAAGGGCTCAACCGTTGGACATCTCGGCGCCCTCAAAGCCCATTTAACCCTTGATAAGGATATTGAGTTAGATGGTACTTCTATACTTTATCTTGAAATGAACGAAAAACGAGCTGACAGGGTTTATCACGCAGGACTCGATAAGCTCAGTGGATTCTCTATTGACTCAGCACAAGTTATCATCCCCAAAGAGGCAGACGGCACCAACTTGAAGGGAGAGGCGACGTTGCCCAATCATTCTGTTTTTACATTCGCGTTGGTATGATAAATGCAAAAGCTCCGAATTATTTTTCGTGTGATTGACTGTGAACATAGGGTAATGTGACATTGAACTTGATGAGCTCAGATCTTATTATCGGCCAAGCAACCATTCTGAACGTGGTTCTGAAGCCTGGAAACAATACTGTCGCCTTGCGAGGACGTGTCGATACAACGACGGTTCTAGAGAATCTTTCGGAGATCTTGACGGTGCAAAAGGCTGCCTTGATGGACGGCGATCTCGAGCTCTCGGCTTCTGGAAACTCCACTATTTGCAATGGAGTTCACATCAAGTACTATGAGCAGGTTCTTAACAACCTTACCCTTATCACTCGAGTGCCGATTCTTCAAATTTTGGGGGGTACTCTAGAAGGTTTGCTAAACAACAATGACTCGGCTTTGGGTAAGATTGTGCAAAACATCACCCAGATTCTAGGGAATTTTTCCACCCTTAGTGATACGTCCACTGTTGCTCGCTCGATTCGATCTCTTGTATAATCGCCAATTAGGCACCATAAGTCAATAGGTCTGAATACGAAATAGCTTCCCGAGTCCATCATAACAGTCCGTGCAGTCTATACAGGGGATAAGCAGGCACGTGTTAAGAAAGACTAGTTCAGGCATCAATCCAAAAAACGCGATAGCTCAATACAAATATTCAACACCTGCCTGATCAAGACATATTCATGTTTCCACATAAGCGCATGTCAAAGGAATTGGCTTGGATACTCGGCCCGCGTTGATCCCTCGTAGCCCGCGGCTAATGAAAGTTCATGTGCCGCACAAAAGGGCGCGATAATTTAAGGAGACCACAACTACCGGATTCCCCCTGTCCAGAGCTCGATTTTTTATTAAAATACTGGTTTTCATCAAGTCCTATGTTTACAGGCACCATGCAGACCGCCAGTTTGCAAAATATTACCGATACGGAGAAAACAATGTACACACGAGGCCAGGTCGCACAGCATACTCAAGAGGGAGACATCTGGATTATAATCGAGAACGATGTTTACAATTTGAGCGAATTCCTGCAAGAACACCCCGGCGGTGCAAAAAGTAGGTTTTCAGGTCACTTGCACGGTATGAATCAGGATCTCAGTCTAATACAGCCGACAGTTTTACTAGGCGTAGCAGGCCAAGATGCAACAAAGAGATTCAAAAAGTACCACCGCCTTGCCATTCTAAACCAGTACAAGGACCGGTTTCTAGTTGGCGGGCTAGAACAAAACACTGGGAATGATAGGTCTCTGAGATCATCGATAATCTCTATCTTTAGGCGTTCTTGAGAACCACCAGTTCCTTTGAGCAGGATGAACATAACCACCCCGGTCCAAATTAGAAAAATTAAGAGAACGACGGTTGAGAACAGGATTTTTGAGTTCATCTATAGGTTCTGCTTTCTGATGTAAACTCTCCTCCTATGCACGGTTTTTAGACATCAATTTACCACCTGAAATGAATGTAGAGTTTTCTGATTTGATGAGAATAATATTGCTTCAAAATTTCGTGGAAGTTTTGTTTCATAACGCTCTCTACGAGTTTATAAGCAGGGTGTGCATTATATGACAAAAGAGAGATATTGTTATTCTATATTGAACAGGGGGGAAGCTCACAGACGCAAGAACGCACTGCTGAAGAAAGCTCTCGGGTTAAGACTTGCATTACCATAGGTAGACCATGGCAGGCGTTCGGAAATCATAGATGCGGCTTGATTTGACCAGCTTGGATCTCTCGTTTTGCTTCCTCTCTGATTATGCGCTTCAAGATTTTTCCACTCGGGTTCCGAGCAATCGATCCAACGAATTTCACACCACCCGTCAGCGCCTTGAACCGAGCCAGCCGCGTCAGAACATATTTCTGAACATCTTGCTCAGTGAGCTTTTGTCCTTCGCTGCCAGGACGTCGGACGACATATGCTCGAGGAAACTCCGTATCAGCCCCGGGGAATGTGATTCCAATCACAGCAGCGTCAATGATCTGAGGGTGTGACAGAAGCGCCGCCTCCAATTCCGGCGGTGCAACTTGAAATCCGCGCACTTTAATTAATTCCTTCTTCCTGTCGACAATATACCATTTTCGGGTAGCCTGGTCACAGTAGGCTATGTCGCCAGACTTGAACCATCCATCCGAGTCAAAAGAATGCGCATTGGCCTCGGGGTTCTTGAAGTATCCCGGTGTCACGGTTGGCCCTCGCACGCAGAGCTCTCCACGCACCCCGTAGGCCGAGATGTTGTTTCCATCATCGTCAATCAGCCTAAGCATGCATTGTGTCAGTAAAGTCGCGGGATCACCTCCAGTATGATACGTTGCGCCTGAGACATGAGGATTCAAAAGCACAAGAAACTTACTTCGCTTCAACATTGGGAATCAGTCGTCCCACTGAGCCCGTGCTGTCGTGCTCCGGATACCGGAACATTGTCGCCACACAGGATGTCTCTGTCATCCCCCAGACTTGAGTGAAAGGGCCGTTGTCGCCCAGGAGTGAGCGGAAACGAGCCTGGACGTCCTTGTCTAGAGGGGCTGCACCAGACGCGGCGGAGCGAACTTTGCGAAGGAAAGGCCTTTTCTGGGAGACGGGTGACATCAAGATCGCAATGACGATGGGCGGTACCACGACCAAGTCAGTAATACCGTACTTCTCGACCGTGGTCAGATATTCCTCCAAATCAAATCTCCGCATCACATAAGCAGAAGTTCCTGCTTTCAGCGTTGATATGTGAGTGATGGGGACAGCGGCCGCATGGAAGACTGGGATAGCGATGATCCGCGAGATCTATAGGGATGGACGGTCAGATAGAGTAGCTTGGCCACCGGAGATAAACACATGATGGGCCAAGGCATATTGACCGCAGAGTCAGATTGGGCAAAATAAATGTTATTAACTAACCGGATAAGGTCGTGGATCGGCTCCCACAAGCTCGTGCTGCGCGATCAAGTTATAGTGGGTGATCATGACTGCCTTGGGAAGACCAGTCGTTCCACTGCTAAACAGTCTCGCAGCAGTTGTCGTTCGGACTGTCTCCAGATCATTGAACCTCACCCAATCGGCCTCGCCAAACTTGAGCAGCTCCGTCCATGACTTTCGCCCGGTCGGAACCGTCTGGCCAAGATTATTGAAGACCCAGACATTCTGTTCGGGCACTCCAGTCTGTTGAGCTGCGCTCAAGAGCGACTTCAAAATTTCGGGTTCCGAGATCAAAAATTTGGCTTCTGAACTCTTGATATGGTGGGCCAGCTCCGTCGGGGTGTATGCGGGATTGGAGCCGGTGAAGACTCCGCCAGCGCCGATAATAGCAAGCACAAGGATGCTGTAGTTTATCTTGATTTCCATCACCATCAGTCAAGGCCCATGATACCCTTCCCAGCAATGGCACATACATCGTTGAACGAGTGAATAAGAACGCACTCCCCTTGGCGAAGACCGGATGCTTTCAGCCCCGCGATGAGCAGACGTATCAACTTGCGGGCTTGATTGCACGAGATCGAGCGCGTTGGATCTCGAACATCGATATAAATCTAGGCAGAATCCATACGATGAGTCAGAATAGGACTGAAATGAGATTTGGCGCTGGGAGTGGGTTCATACCGGCTTGTCCTGGTCGTAAGGTGGATCATCGAAGATGTAGGACAAAAGATCCTTTGTCGGGAGCAGAGTTCTCTCTGCAGGTTCGAAAATCATGATCAAAGAAAGGACTGGAAGTGCGGTCGGATGAAACTAGGAGGCAAAAAATAATTGGGAGATCGTTGACCAAGTTGAGTTTTGCATTGATGGTTCTTGTTGCTGGCAACTTAAAGCAAGGCGTCTTATGTACTGTACACGGTCGCCTCTGTCAAATCCTCGTTCCGGCCGTATGATGCATCATACTCCACCGTACGGAGGAAGTGAGTGGCACCTGGGACCCCCCAGAGCTCCGGCAGTAGCCACAGCCCCGCCTTGTGCGGCTGTAGCTCGGAACTCGGCTGGACTCCGACTCGATTCACGAAAGGCCTTTGGAGGCCTAAACGTGGATGTGATCGGCACGGCTCGAGGAGAAAAGGGCCGAGGGGCTCGAAGCGAGAATTATGGAGGGTTGAAGTGGGGGGAGAAGGGAGGAATTGTGCTCATAAAATACCTCGGAAGTAGTGAGGCTGGACAGTCATGGTATGCGTCGATGAAGGACTACAAGTACTACTGGATGTACGGAGGAGACAGACGATCGGCACAAGGAATGAGTGAGCTCTTGTGGGGAGATTCGCATCTGGAGCCTCTTTTGTACAGTACCCTCTCCCATTTGACTGCTCGGCCGGGCTGAGATCACAAGATCCCGGGAGCGACCAGTGATTGCACGGCGAAAATAAGACAAATCAACATCAGGACCAATTTCAAATACCCAGGCGAGGCTGGCTCCCGTCCTTGGTGAGATGCAAGAATTCGGAGGAACGCGAGAAACCAACGGGATTGGCCACCGTCCAGCCCCCCTGTATGTCACGTGATCGGTGCCTGGAAAGAACCTGTCGTGGGAGCATCACTGGGATCGTTAATTGTCGCTTCACTGAAGAGGTTGCAGAACTGACAGATCCCATGTCCGCAAGGGTACGGCTCAACAGGATCACAGGGTCCCCCATGAGTCTGAAGGTATGGATAGAACATACCACATTAGTTCGAAAGCATCGCATCACAGTCTACCTGATTGTATTTTTGGATGTCTAGATTTTCCTACCCAAGATAAAATAACGTACAACATTTTCAATTCCCTATCACTCGTCGCCAATCTGTTAATCGCCAGGCTATGTGGACTGGAGAGGGGGGAGATTTGGCTCAACCCTTCCTACAGCAAGATCCAAAGCACATATCTGCGGCTATTGATCATTTGGAAATTGTCAGAAATTGCAATGGGAATCATTCGGGGTTTGAGATCATACCATTGAACTTTCCTGCTTCTTCATTTCTTGTGGCACCTGGACTGGGGTCATTCCTATCAGATCAGATCAAATCAAATCAAATCAGTACTGATCTTTGCGTTGCTCCAACTGACAGATTTGGTCTGCATACCTCTGTTGAATCAGGGTGATCTCAGAGCGGCAGTCATCCAGAATCGGCTTTCCCTTGGCACTTCGTGAGAACAGGCCTTTGATTGACCAACTTTTCGCAGGTTCACCATATCGAGATGACATTTCGGCGGGTACCGTATATCTGCGGTTTCCAATAATGTATCCTTCGATTGAATCCCTAATCATGTCGTGTTTTTGTGGGTGCGTGAAAGAAATATCAATGCAAATCCATGCGATAAATAATGTGAATATAGACCTCAAGTGGGCAGGGTTATTGGGGAAATATATATCTACCTGGCGAGCACAGAAAGCCCCGTCTTTTGGGTTGGAATCCAGGGCTTGGTGAGATCGTAAACATCATTCACTTTGAGAAAAGTCTAGTGAAGAAAAAGAAAAGATCTCTTTGCAGTGAGAATTCTACTCGTCTGATTGTATGGCATGCCCTTGATGTTTCCCATGGCTGATGGTGGTCAAGTTCGCCGATGAGATGGCCGAGAGTGGGTCACGGATGGACGATAACTCCGATAGATCGATTATACTTGGTACACTGACGTCATATTCGCAACAGTCAAGAGCATACCATTGAAGATAACCCCTTTAAATTGATAGGTTCGCGGTCGGAACGGACGGCTTCGGCCATCCATTTCATTTCAGGTCAGGCACCCACTTCTTCACTTCGGCCGTCAAAACTCGCTGAGATATGCGTACTTCGCCGATGCTCCCAATTAGCTCGTCCCCACTTCCTCGTTCATGTTAAAATGCGCATCTGCCTGAATATTGTCTATGATTTCGCCGATTCACTGAAGAAAGCCGCACAGTGCCAGAATGTCCTCGCCACCATCCGTTCGGCCGTATCGATCAAAGCGTCATCGGCCGTGTGACCAATGCCGGGTACGGAAACTAGGTTGCCAGACTGATGATGGTATCCCTTGTCAACGATGCCGAGCTGCCAAGCTAGATTGTACATTCGATAACCCGCCGCCAAAAAGAGCGCGTCTCTCGGGATCACTGTCGTTTGCCGTTCCAAGTGTTGACGAACTACCGGTCACATCGCATGCCGAAGAGAACATCTTCACTCGTGACTTTTCCAACGCTGAAAGCCCATCTGGTAGTATTGGACCTGCATACTCATCGCTTGACTTCGGCCATGTTGGCGAGCCATCGCCGGCCTCTGAAATACTACTGGCTGCTCGGCCAGCCACGCAATTTGTTCAGAGCATTGATCGACTAGAGCACGGTTATGCTCAGTTGTTCGGAGCATCCTCTGAATCAGACCCCTGGCTGCTAAGACACTACCGGTTCGATGATGCGGGCATGAAATACTTTTACAGGGTACACTATCGCAATGCCGGAGGAGTGCCTACCGCACAGCGAATACCAGTCCATTTCATGGTATCGTCCGAGGAGCTTTCGTCTGCAACCAAGCAGGAAACAAAAGCAGGCAACGGGGAAGTTACCCGGGAGCATCTCGACTGCTTAGTGCCTCCAGAATATGGCAGAAGACTTGTCGCATTGTAAGTAAAATCCGTCTACCTTTAGTCGAAGTTAACAACTAATTTTAAATCGGCCAAGGTTTGTCAAGTATGTGTTCCCTGCTTTGCCAGTCATATCGCGTTCGCAGCTAGGGTTGACCACAACGTCATACCAGCTCCCTGAGTTGTCTGCATTAGCAAAAGTACCGGTCCATCTCCTCGCAGCTGTTTATGCATCTGCATTCCAATTTGTCGGTCATGATGACTATCTCTGTGTCCTAATTACGTACCACAACTCACCAGTACAGAGGCTCTGGCGCATGGTGTACGAAACAGTGACCGAAGAGATACATAGCCCTCGCCTGGCCGTGCTCCAGGCCGCGCTACTATATCTTCACCAACAGCCGATAGATGAAACCCGCTACACGACCGCCGACACTCCATTCACTTGGTCCTTCGTGGGGCAAATCGTCGGCCTAGCATGCTCGCTCGGCGTCCACATTGAATGCCGTATGTGGGGAATCCCGGCCTGGGAGAAGCGTTTGCGGCGTCGCTTGTGGTGGGCCGTGTATGCCGAAGATAAATGGCGCAGTCTATTGATGGGGCGGCCGCCGTATATTCACTCGGCTGAATGGGATGTTAGTGAGTTAGATGAAGGGGATTTTCTCATTGGCCCCCGGCAGGGTTTCTCGACATGTTCGTCCGACACCGAGATTCCATTTCGGTATATGGTGAACCTTGCTCAAATCGCTCAACAGATCCAAGAAACATTCTAGTGAGTTTCAACAAGCCCAATTGGACTGCCTAACGCCCCCAGCTAAAACCTATTTGCAGTACACTTAGAGCATCCGAAGTTCTCAACGCAGACTTCGATTCTTCAGCTGAGCTCGGCCAAGGCCTACTGGAGCAGCTCAACTCGTGGTATTCTTCTCTGCCGGACAATTTCCGTCTCCCAAACTGGAGTAAGTCAGTTCAGGGGCTGGCGCCTTACCCGACATCAATACACTTTGCCTATCTCTTGCTGGTGGTTTATGTGTACCGGGCGATGCTTCGACCTATGGCGCGATCCTCGAGTCCACCTATGATTTTTGATTTGGAGGAAATGACGACCAACTCCCCACTGCCCGTAGATGATCCCGCTTTGGATCTTCCCGATATCTCAGGCATTGAGTCATTGCCCGATATTTCTATATCAGACGAATGTGGAACCGGCGAGATCGTTCTACACGGAGCCGAGAAATGTGCCACCATCTTGGTGAACTTCACCCGGCGCTTGACACCCAGCGATTTTACAGGATTTTGGTATTCATGTAAGTGATCACCCAAAATGATTCCGATTTACAGGCTCACTAACTAACTATCCAAGGGTCACGCATCGGATTCGCAACCGTTTCCAATTTTCTCATGTTACTTCTGGTCCAAGCACCGAACATAGCTCATGCCACTCGTGGTAAACAGCTGGTAGACTCATGGCTGCAGGTCCTAAGGTGCCAGAGCCAGAGTTTTCCACTGGTGAAACTTGGGCTGGCTCGGCTTGATGCATTGCATTGGGCCGGACTCTCAAGCACATTCGTTCTTCCTGCCCATGTACACGAAGCAACCACTAACCAAACGACAACAGCCTCGTAGGTAAAAGTTATATAGAATTTTTGATTGATTTGAGACGGACATGCCATTAGCTTCGGTGGCCTTTACCTTGCCCCAAATGAGTAGCATTTCATAGCAACAACGCCCGAGATTAGGAGCTAGAAGATAAGCCGGGATCACAATCAAAGTACTTCCGCAAATCATATAGAAAAATTGAAAATCATTCATGGATATTTACTGAATCAGTTTATAGGGACCTGCATTCTGACTGAAAATCCAAAATATCTTTATAGCATAACCTACAAGCGAGGTGCAAAAGGGGTAGGTAGACGGAGATATAGGTTCTCTGCATGAGAAAATGATCGTTATTTTTAATACTGTGCCCCACAAAATAGTGCAGGATGTTACCCACAAGTTTTCATTTCTCCAGTTTCTGCTTCATTGAACAATAATAATCATGCGGGGTGGATTCGATGGCTCGGCGGCTCGGCAAAATCCACCTGCACTTATGCCGTGAACCCCGCCCACTTCATGCAAGATATGAGATCACCGTCGTAGCTTCGAAGACCGGAGTTGAAAATCTTATTCTTCTGTTACATCATACGCTATAACAATATCCTGACACGGCCGCTATGGGTGCTCACAGAGAGATCACCATTCTTACAAAAGTTCCCGCAACAGGAACCTTCAAGGTACAAGCGTTAGCAACTGAAACTGCCGCTAAGGCTTCTGAGATTCTTCAAAATAACCATGACAACTATCATATCTATATCCATGATCTGGGACTCCACAGTAAGGAGAACACTCTCCTTCGTTGGTCGTGATGTTTGCTGATGACCACGGGGGTCAGATCACATTCTCCATCATATACTTGCTCTTTATGCGCTAGGAGGAACAGCTGCACAGCTCGATCGGGCATATAAACTTGCAATGGACTCGCAACGCCCGACACGCCGACCAGATACACAGCGCGTGCAAGATTTTCAAGATCCAGCCAAGTTCAAGCAATACTTGGGACAAGGCAAATACTACGATGACTATTTCGCCTTTTTTCAGAATGAAATTAGCAAGGATGGGGTACCTAACACTGTTAACAAATACCTTTTCGAAGGTGATGATAGAGCGGAGGAAATGCTGCGCCGGTTCTTCAGTGGTCAGTGAGCGCGAAACGAGAAATTTTGCCCCGAGTCCATATGCCGTACTTATTTATCCTCAGGGTTCCTTCACTCGCCAATCCATTTCGGATATGCTATCGAGTTTGACCAACCCCTTATCATGGCTGAGGCATTGGCTTTAACAGCCGTCCATGACTCCTACTTTGGTGAGGTCTTGACTGCCATTGAGACCACTTCCAGGGCATCGGGTGGTAACGAGAGCCTTATTAGCCTGCAACGAGAGATATACTCCAATAAGAAACTCCGACAGACAATGACGTATGAACATGGAGTTTTTCAGATTCGAGACGGCCTGTTGGCACACGCAAAAGACGAGTTCATAGAACTACTAGGCCGCTGGAAAGTGACACCCGAGAGCTTGAAGGAGAAGACTGCTGAATGTCTTAATTCAACAGGTATTAATCTCCTGAAAAACTTCATCAGAACATACTTTGATATCTGACATTCAAACAGTCTACTGGACATCGCTAGCCCAGCGACCTGAAAAGCAGATTCGGTTTGATTTTTTCCTCATGCATTCCATTACCGCTGGATCTCTCTGGCCGGTGATCAATAGTGCCCCATGGATTTCTACCGAGTCAAAGTGCAGGCTTTTGGAATGGAAAGGCCGGGCCGATTTGATTCTTTACTGTCAGACCGGAGCGCCGTCCCCGAGACCGGAAGAGCTAGTTACCTACCAGCCACATCTTCCATCTGGATGGGACGAGGTCTTCCGGCGAGCCTGCGAGTATGAGGACGATGGTCATCTAGCGAAACTAATCAGAGGAGTGGCCACAACCGCTCAACTGAGCAAAGAGTATTCCCATAAAGTAAGCTTCATGCTTAAGAGCGACGAAGAATTTCTCAAGATTGCGCATATGGGTAAGCCATCTCAGTCAGCTCTTTCCGCCGCCAGCTTTTAACCATCCAGCCACTAGTCATTGACTCTGCCGAACAATTCAACCGAGAGTCAGCAGAGCAGGAGAGTGAAATGATTTGCGCCAAATACAAACATGCGAGCTTGATGTCAACCGAGATTCAACGAGTGACTGCACGCTGGCCTCGACATGTGGGGTTTGAACAGGCCTGGTTCCATGTGCCCTCCAGAAAGTTGAACCAGGCGGCGCATCTTTAACTAATTGTGGCGGACTCGAAAGGGAAATGGAACACTACGACTGCGTAAAGAAACCCAAGTCATGCCCAGGCCTAGCTAGGTAGTTGTAGAGGACAATCGTCATATCACGAAGAAGAATCCGTTTGTTTTGATTTGCTCCCCACGCTTCATCCCCGCATGGCATCCCACGCTTCTACTCCACTCGGCACCGTCGTATGAAGATGCCCATCCACCGCGAAGAATGTAACGCTGCCATTCAGGAACCGTGCGTATCTCTGGGCATCAATCCCTATATGAGATCATGGAAATGCCTCCGGCGGACAATCACCGACGTGCACATTTGTCATGAGGTTATCAACAATTGCACTTGCCACGGTCGCTTCGGCCCTGCAGACTCTGCCCCCAGTTGAGTGGGATCGGCAGGACTCCTACTCAGACAGTTCCCATGAATTTTCTCTCAAGAAAGCCGAACATGTCATCTACCTCCAGGACGAATTTGCTCACTGGAGAGATCAAGATGGCCTTACGTTGATCCCACCCTCTGCGTTAGATTTTGCCCGCACGCTTCGTGAAGATCTCGAGGAGATCACCGACTCTTCATGGCATATTGAAACAGTTAACCAGCCTCCAAAGAAAGCTTCGGGGATTTTTCTGAGTCGATCTCACGCACCTTCTCGTTTCACATATGAAGACGGATCGACGAGCGAGGAGGGCTATGAATTGATTGTCGAAAACAATCGCGTGTCGATCCAGGGATCGGGCGCCCGAGGAATGTGGTGGGGGACGCGAACGCTGCTACAACAACTCGCGTTAAGCCCTCATGCCTCTGTTCCTGTAGGTCGAGTGAGGGATGCGCCAGCCTATGCGACCCGAGGATTTATGCTGGATGCAGGACGAAAGTGGTATTCCTTAGACTATCTTAAGGATCTCTGCACCTACGCCTCGTTCTTCAAGCTCTCCGAGTTCCACTACCATGCGACCGACAATTATCCGCTCAGTCGAGGCCCCAATGTTTCATGGAATGAGGTGTACTCGCAATTTGCTCTTCGACCAGACAACCCAGCTCTTCTGCCTCTTGTACAGCGAGAAAATGAGACTTTGTCGCGTGCCGACTTTGAAGACTTTCAAAGCCACTGCGCTGCTCGGGGAGTGACAGTCATTCCTGAGATCGAAAGCCCCGGTCATTGTCTTTCCATCACCAAATGGAGACCGGATCTGGCTTTGGAGTCCCGCGATCTTCTGAATCTCTCTCATCCAGATACTGTGCCCTTGGTGAAATCCATATGGTCAGAGTTCCTGCCATGGTTCCAGACGAAAGAGGTGCATATCGGGGCTGATGAGTATGATTCGACGTTGGCGAACGACTACATCGAATTTGTGAATGAAATGTCTCAATTCATCCGTGAAACTTCTGGAAAGGGGATTCGCATCTGGGGAACTTATGAGCCGTCCGATACTCTTTCGATCGACAACAACATCACCATCCAGCACTGGCAGTATGGGCAATCAGACCCCGTGATGCTAGCCCAGGATGGTTATCAAATCATCAATTCCGAGGATTGGTGGGCTTACATGTCCTTGAAGAACAACCATGTTCCTATATCTCCGGCGCCTTACCCGCAATTCTTCAATAACAGTCGAGTGTTGAACTTTGCCGACAAAGAAGGATGGCAGTGGACCCCGCAACTATTCAACCCCGTCAACATAACAGAACAGCCTGAGCAGAAGGCGGTCCGTGGATCGATCCTTGCCGCTTGGAACGACAATGGACCTGACGCAACGACTCAGTTGGAATCATACTACGCCATTCGAAACGGAATTCCTGTGGTTGCCTCTCGCGCTTGGACTGGCAGCCGAGGACCACGACTCGATGAAGCTGGCCTCGAAGACACAATCGAGATCTTGGTTCCCAACGCAGTAGGAGAGAATCTTGATCGGCAACTCAAATTGAAGAAGAACTCACGGGCTCCTTTGATCTCTTGGACGAAACCGCGCTCAGACCCCCCACAGGGGCAGTTTTCCCTGGGGTATGGTAGCAAGGGAATGAACTATACTTTGCAATTGAGTGTTGCAGGCCCCTTCACTCTCGAATCAAACGATACAATTCTCTCTCTTTCTGATGCCGGCCAATTGACATTCACCTCTGATGGCTGGCCGTATCCGCTTCGTTCCGTTGCTGAGGCGGACGGATTTGACCCAGCTGCGATTGGCAGGATTTGGGTGAATGCTACCAGCTCGACCCATGAAGTTGTCCAAGTGCCTCGGAACTGCAAAATTACCATCACATCCGACGCATTCACTGGAAGCCGGGTGTGGGTGGATGATCGATTTGTAGGACGATTCGAGGTTTTTGTGTACGGTGGGAAGAATCAGGCCTTTTCTTGGAGCCAGATGGCCTTTGTGGCACCATTGGATGTCATTACAGGAACTGGACTTGAAAAGATTGTGCTGCATTAAGAGAAGACTACTTTCCACATCACATCACTGTTGATGCGGTGTCTCATTCACGAACTGAATAACATTAGACAGTATTTGGTCACCGTATCATCGCGGAGACGCCCATGCCCAAACAGCATTTCATGTTTCTTCATCCTTGATGTGTTTGAATTTAGAGACTACTGCTAGTGACTTCTGTGTACGCAGATTTCCGCTAATGAGAGCAAGATTGACATTCATTGTCCAGCTAAGACTGCGAAACATAAACCTCAACATCCTTCTCTCATTCCGGCATCTGTCGTCGGTCCATGGATCTTAAGCACGGGACTTCTCAAGTTGCCGGATTGCCCGTTAGGATTTGCAAGCAACGACCTAAGCTAAATACGGGTCATCGTGATCTAGTATCGTGATCTCACAGTTCCGTAGGATATCCCATTGAACTCTAAATCAAAGAGCAACGATGCGGATGTGGGAGTCAAAACCAATTGGTAATCGATTCTGTAGTACGCTTTGCCCTTGGAGTTATGATGTATTTCAAACAGGTCTTTCGGTATCTCGCTTAGATCGGCCTCTAGCTCACAAAGTTTGGACACAGCTAGCACATCTGATGTCAGTATCATGAAGCGGTGCTCTGAGTGATGTGTAAGCCTTACTGGTGTTCACCGTTTTTGGCGCCCGTTCTGCTAGGCAGAATTGCAGCTTGTCCGTGAAAAGCAGGCGGCTATGGGTGGGAACAGCACGGTAAAACTCGAGTTTTATCGGCTGGTCCTCTGCAATTGAATCTCCCTGGGCCGTAAACATAAGATGTTAAACATAATTGAGGTCAAGGAGCTAAGAGGTGCAGACCTTGTTGATATACCAATTCATTTGGTCATAAACCTTCCAAGCTTCCTCCAGCTCACACCACACAGGCTTCTGTTCCGAGCCGTGTATCTTCTCATTGTAGATTTTGACACATGATACACCGTAGTGGCATCTGGCCTTCCTATTGTCTACCTGATTCCCGTCCAAGCCTCGATAAACCGCTCCACTACTTTTGTTAGGCCACTGCCATTTGTCCTGGAAGTAATGGATACCTTACCGGACCACTGCAGACCACCTGTTTGAGATGAAGTGGGTTCAGTTTCAAAATAAAGGAATAAAAGAAGAAATCAAAATAAAATGTCCTGGAAAAGGGATGAATACACTCACGCGTTCTGTGGTTGCATAACTTGAACACCCGTAGACGCCTCTTGCAATCGCTTGAAGAGACACTCAGATGCGCCAAGGCCTCCAACGAGAACAATTGCCTGATCAATGTCAGCAAAAGTCAGATGTGCTAGATAATGGGCTAGATGCCTTGGTGGAATTCCCTGTCTCCTTCACTCTGAGACGCTGATCTGTTACTAAATCCTCGATTTTTTGTATGATCGGGTGGAAAATGCCCTCCACATCATTGCTGTTATCTTGATTAGAGACGCATCTCGATTTTATGGCTTCTGGCATACCTGTCCATGTGGAGAAAGCCGCCTTCCAGGTTTATGTTTGGAATATCCGGAATTCCCGGAATTGGAACGCAATAGCCCACATCAGCAAAATCTTCAGAGTCTAGAGTTCCTTGATAGTTAGGTTTGATATAATCCTGCCAATGCTTTAGTGCAAAGCTTCGTGCTGTGTGAGGCAGCCGTTTGTATGTTTCCTCTCCTATCCTGCTGGACAGAAATTCTTCAAATCGTTGATCCAGAATCACAGAGCCACAAATCGCCCCTGAGAATATTAGTGCTTGCAACCGAAACTAGGGACTCCATTTAACTATACCGGTTCCCTCTGTTATTTCTCCCAGTCTCAAGGGCTCTGTTTGATTGATACGGTATGTGATAAGGTCCTAGAGGTTGTAAATTCACCGTCGGCTCTATTTTAAGAGAATGAAGATTCTGGAACATACCACAGTCCCTCCTCCAGCGTCACACGCGATGACGCAATCGCCCTCCTGACATTTCAAAAATAATTAGGATTGTTTCAGAAAGATTTGTAAGTAAAGACGTACAGCGATAGTGTTCGGCTGGATTGTCCGAATTGCATAGACAGCCGCTGCCTCGGGCTCTGAAACTAGAAACAAGTTGTTTTTTGGTATGTTTCCCAGGCATGCTGCTTGAATTGTGGCATCTTTTGCCTTATCTGACCATACAGCCGGAACCGTCATCACGAATTCAAGGTTCATTGCCTGTAGTGCACTCCCGAATCGATTCTTGAGGATATTTTTCACATGGGCCACCAGCATCCCTACATACTCACCAGATGCAGTGATTACGGACTTTTTCATGGCTTTCAAAGGTGTTTCAGCATCCTTTGACGGACTGTAGCGGTACGTTGGATTTTCATCGAGTAGAAGTTTGACCCCATTGATCGATTTCCAGGGTTCGTCGACTTGATAGCCCCATCGAATCTTTCCGTTGCGATAATGGAATACAGTGGGAACTTTCTGCGATGTATCTTGTTGTCATCAGTAACTTGGGTCGGGTTTGTTGATCCTGTGTTTGGGCAACTCTACTGTTTCCACCCCCCGGCCATGTTTGGATAACTTCAAGATCATCGAGACCGTTCTCGAGGCCCCAAGCCACACTAGTATCGTTAGCCTTCTCTTAAATATACACGAATATGGATCGCAGATAGATACTGTCTCACCCACTGAAGGTTGTTCCAAAGTCTATCCCAATCACGATCCTCGGCATTCCTTCGGGCCCCATTTTCGCGTATGGCTGAGACTGATATTCTCTGAGTAGTCGGATCTTAGTTGAGAAAAAGAAAGCTCTTGCAAGATATGAGAAATTGAAAGACAAGCTCGGGCTCAAGTCTAGGATATTTTTCTAACGTCCACCTCAGCGCGTAATCGATGTCTTCCCGAAGCCGAAAGGTAGTGTGATGACGATGGGTCTCGGAACAATTTTAGAATCGAAACATCGGCCAAAAGATATCACTGAATGAACCAGTGGTTTGAGAAATTTCTCTTTTTCCGCAGCTTATTTGATGAGCAGAATGGAATTATTTGGAATGCTGCGTGGTTGGGACTCTTCAAGTCAGGGTCATGAAGTGCCTGTCGCGGCCTCAAAAACATCGAACGAGCCTACTTCCGACGGTAATTAGCTCCCGCAGCTCCAGATTTTACAACATGCTAAAAAGAACTCTTAGATTTCGAATATCAGGATGATATCCTTACAGAGATTCAATATCTTCACCGAGAAAATCAAAGCCTGAAGGAGAGGGTTGAAATTGCCGAAGAAACTGCCAAAGTCGCCCAAAGGGCTAAAACAATTGCGGAAGAAATGCTTCGACGACAGAACAAGCGGCTAAAAGAGAAGTGCACCACGGCAGAAAATGCACTCAAAGATAATGCGCAGATTTTACATAAGCTTTCCGAGCTCCAGAAGTGGACTGAATGCATTGACGACGGTGATGCCATCGAAGGGATGCGCAGGCTTTTCCAGAGATTCGAAGGCTGGGCCAATAGGCATTTCAACCAAGCATCATCGCATTCGGCGCATCTGACAAGCCACACTAGCTGGGAGAGAGCCTTACCTGATTACAACGGTTCACCTCCGACAGTTCATGCAATCCAGGCAGCCATATCTGAGCAGATCTTCAATGGAATATTTTCTCGCTTTATGGTTGCACCCAGAAAGATTCTGGGACAATATTTTCTCCGATATCGACACAGAAGTCTCCAGATCGTGTAGGTTGACCCTTTCGCTTCAAAATATCACCCAAATAGGGACCTTCCGCTGACAACACTAGTTCCGCCGCATGTTTGGCAACACTGGCGTTCTTCCACCAGCCTTGCACTCGTATCTATTGCAAGAGAAGCACTTGAAGATACGTGCGACCAGGTCGCACGGAACATAGGTGAACGATTTGGTTTCTATACGCTCACAAATTTGGGAGACAGGAGAAATGAACTAAGAGAGTTGCTTATACAATGCATGGAGTTCAAATTGAGACTCGAGCGTCAGGGATGCCGATATTTCTTCCGTTGGAGCTACCCATGTTCACTTTTTGACGAGGAGCAAATGAGGAGTCTGACTGGAGTTTCTTCGGCGAGATCAATGGTTTTCCGAAGTATCTGGCCAATGCTCTGCAAAGGCAACGCTAAGATATGGACCGTCGTGGAGAAGGAAGTGGTTCAACTGACCAATGATGCGAACTCTGGACTTGTTTCTGCAACTGACCTCCCCATGGAGTTTTCCAGTCTTTCCCTTTGAGCCGGAAGTGATTAATTTCTATTGATGTTTCCGGTGTTCAGAATAGCTTTATTGATGACTTGGTTCTATTTAGCTAAGGAAGAAGCGACAGAGTAGGAATTGAATCAAAAATTGCTCATCATGTCCTAGACACCGTCGACAAAGCCATCACCTCCTGCCTCTGTATCCACCTTCATAGAGTCCATCAGGCCGCATACCTCAAATAATTTTCGTGGTCCAAGACCATCAGGTGTTCCGACTACTCCCTCAGTCTTCAGGCGTTCCAAAGCCGAACGGATCCCCATGTAGGCCGGTGCAAGAGATGCAAATGAGAATATCATGATCCGGAATCCCATCTCTTCTGCCTCCTTGGTGGTAATGACAGGGGTGGCACCATTTTCTACCATGTTAAGGAGCAGAGGCCAAGGAGCAAGGTCTTGAACTGCCTGACGTGCCTGTTCCTTTGACGTAAACCCTTCCAGAAGACCCACATCAGCTCCAATGTCTCTCGCGGCTTTCAAGCGGGCGATGCATTCCTCATAGCCGTGTTGTTGGAGGGCATCGGTTCTTGCTATGAGGACAATATCCGAGTGCAGACGGTCTTTCGTCAGCTTGGCCGCCCGAATACGCGTCAGGTACTCTTCTCGGCCAACAACCTTCTTTCCAGCAAGGTGGCCACAGCGTTTGTTCTGGATCTGGTCTTCGATGTGGAAACCAGCTACACCAGCCTGAATGTACTGCTGAACCGATTTGGACACCATCAATGGACCTATCATAAAATATGTCAGCCACGCGTCCAGCTCTGACGGGGCCCTTCTAAGCGTACCTCCATAACCGGTATCCATGTCTGCAATGAGGGGAGGGCCAAAGGGGTCAAGATTGGCAATCATCTCCGCATTGGTTCGCATATCATGAAGCTGGGCTAGACCCAGATCCGCCATTCCTAGTCGTGAAGCAGTTGTTCCAGCACCAGTCTGATGAGGTCAGTCATGGCCAAAAGCCAGGTAAAGCCGATCGAGTACGGCAGGACATACCATATACATCCCCTTGAAGCCCAGCTCCATAGCGATTCGAGCTGACAGGCCATCATAAACTCCAGGACAGACTATGAGGTCCTTGGAATCTTTCAGCATTCGCCGCAGCTTAGATGCAGCAGGAATGACATAGAGAGAGACACTGGGCTCATGGCGCATCCCATTGACCTCATAGAAGCCATCCTTCTCCACGGTAATAGTGATTGTCATGTTGCCGACGGTAGTACGACGGCGGGGAAAGACAGAAAAGTTTGTGTGATTGTAATTTGGAAGATGATCCAGTTTGGATTCAAATATCTGTGTTCACTACTTATAGTTCAAGGGTTTCCCATCCGGAATAACATGATACGATCGTCAGATAAATTTGAATGCTCATGAATAATCACGATTCGCAGGTTCCACGTTGATCACGAAGAAAAGGGCTTAGGTCTCTTGGGAATGCAACATCTCACCATGCGCCAAGACAGAAATTGATCATTCGCTCATTCTTAGGTCGTACTGACTTGGAAGTGAAGCATACATGGCCTCATAGCCCAGATGATTTCTTGCCAGTAATCGGAGGCGCGAAGACCGCTAAGGAGATATTGAGAAGATACTCATTCCCGATAAGATCTCGCCATTTACGGCACGGATCGAAGAAAGTCCTGTCAACACCGAGTCCGGATAACGGAATCGCGGCCCAAGCGGACAAACGCAGCACGAGTAGCATGGGCTGGGCAAGGCAGAAAAGAGGCAATTGACCACGAAGTATACAAGCAAGATAATCAATCTGAAAACGCCGGTGACGGTAAATGCATATGCAGCTGCGCATGAGTTGTATTCTCACTTGCATCTGCAAAATCCTAGCAGGGGTTGAAGGGGCAGTGCTCGAGAGCGATATAAGTCTTGGCCGGCGATTCGATCATTCAACCCTGGTTCGCCAAGCCTCTTCCGCAGTTCATTTCTCGGGTGATCAGCAGCCACATCAGCCGTGAGAGAGCAACGGTGAGATAACCTCACATTTGGTGGGGAAGTTCGTCTGCGAAATCGAAACCTGGACTTTGCTCTGATGACACAAGCTCAACGGACATTGAGCTGTCGTTCACGCCTCATATCTGATGGTCCATGAGGGCAGCAGCAGAAGGGCGATAGCCTGAGCTAGGAGACCCGAGTTTCACAGATAAAAAGCGTCGTGACACAACTCCGCTGCGTAGTGGATCTCGGGGAAAGACCAGATACGGCGCCAAGCGGCTCGGCGTCACCGACGAATTCCCCCGAGACCTTCTTGGCGCTCCAAGAAGACCACATTCATCCGGCGTGCAAGACAAAGCCTCCGGTCCAGGCGGTGGGTCAAGCACTCCGCTCACTGCCCAGGCTGCTGCCGAAAAATGATCTCCCGAAGCGTATACGTTGGCTATCGCTAGTCGGTCGTTTCGGGCGGACATCCGTGTCCATGCCCAGCCTTGCTCACCTTGGAAGCCAGCCTCCATGGGGTTTGTTTTACCTTGCTCCTCAGGCCAAGAATAACATGCATCCCCGAGCTGAAGAAAGAGGAGTTCCAGAAATGGGTGAAAGTGGATTGCCCGAAAAGAGGACACGATCAAACGGACTGACAGAGAGGGGAGGTCCCATGCCTGGCGTTTTCACATATCCCGGCGACTTTCTGGCCCCCGTGGGAACAAGAGCGAGCTGTCTTCCGCCACCCTCACTGCCTCGGTGTCATTGTACCTCTCTGCTTTGTTTCACTTGCGATGGAACACCACGAGAAAGCTTTTCCTGGGTTATCCAGGTTTTTGGGGGAGTGAGGTCGATCCACGCCGTGCAGAGCTGTTGTTGTTTACCTGCTGCCTGACATCGGGTCTGGTGGATAGTACAATATACAAGGGTGCGAGCATCGTCTTCACGTCTTGTATTGGAAGTCCAGGCCAATTGAACTGACTCGAGCAGCCTACAACACTTTCGTGTCGATGCAAACTGGTATGAATTCGACGTTCACCCAATCGAACCATCGATGATTGTTAGTGTAGAGATGCTGATGTACCGTGACTCCTTGCATTGTAGGGAACACTATCTTCGTGGGACTGGGAGCTTCGAATCAAAATCCGCGTCCATTCGGATGGGCACGTTCCTTGACCTCAATCGGGTGTTTTGTGATCGGCTGCTTCCTGTTCGCGCGGCTCAATCGCATCATCGGTGCCCAGCGTCGTGGATGCCTGATGCTCTCTTTCCTCATCCAAGCCAGTATCATCGTTATCACTGCGGCCCTTGTTCACGGAGGCGTTGTGTCGAGTGCTCTCGACGATGATGATGCATCACAGTCTACCACTCGGTGGGATCAAGAAGTGCCGATCGTGCTTCTCAGCCTTCAGTCAGCAGGGCAAATCGTGGCCAGCCGCGCCCTGGGGTTCAACGAGATCCCGACCGTTGTCATCACTAGTCTCCTCTGCGATCTGATGTCGGATCCAAAGCTGTTTTTTCTGCGGAACGAAAAGCGGGACCGGCGGGTGATAGCGTTCGTTCTGACGCTGGTAGGTGCCATTGTCGGTGGTTGGGTCACCAAAGCCACCGAAGACATCGCTCCAATCCTTTGGCTGTCTGCGGGAATCAAATTCATTGTGGCATTTTCATGGGGATTCTGGAAGACTAAGACTTGATTTTTGGAGTAGCTGGAGACGCTGAAGTCGAATAATTCCAGAGGAGTGAGAGTGAGAGTGAACGTGGCTGCGCGTGTTGGTTGGGGCATATTATGGCCTGATCTGTCAGGCAGAAAACTAGCCTCAACATCCAGCCATCAAGTTGAAGATGGTGGTTGGTCTTTGAATAAAACTTGCTCAATATCATTTTCACGTGCACGTCACTTAGCGGATATTTCCATGAAGCCAGGATTCCCGATCACACCCCTATTGACTCTTGACTCAAATCATCGGAACTGTCTTTCCAGCTCCAATCACACGATGTTCTTGACTCTGAGTCCATCTCCACTCGCTCGGAACGCAACGCGGAATTTGCGCGCGGGCCCGCGCTGGTTCCCCGCAGCGATTCCGATCTCCGATCAGCCTTCAAAAAGCAGTGACTGCCATTCGAAACGGCTAACTATTCTTTTGATAATTAAATTGTGTATGGAGTGGTGCCAGAAGATTGGCTCCTAGCTATTTCATAATCATCGCTCTTTTCGTTCAGAATGTCTTCCTCATTGACTATTGTTGGAGTGCAGGGCCGTCAAGTCACAGGTGATCTTTTACTCTCTTATGCGAATACAAGTACAATCAGTTTCGGCACTAACACATGAGGACATCTTACAGTTCCTTCCGGTCTCTTTATTCATAATGAATTTGTCCCATCCGTGACGGGACAAACATTGCGCGTGGAGAATCCCTCGACGGGCGAAGACCTCGGAACCATCTCGGCTGCTGCCAAAGAGGACATTGACAAGGCAGTCGAGTCAGCCAAGGCTGGTCTGCAAGCCTGGAAAGCAGTTCCTGGACCTGCCAAAGGTCATTTCCTTCTGAAGTTGGCCGATCTGATTGAGCGTGATGCCCAGGATCTTGCATCGCTGGAGGCTGTGGATGCCGGAGTCCTCTATACGGACTCTATGGGCATGAACATTCCACAGTCACTTGGCTGTCTTCGCTACTATGCTGGCTGGGCCGACAAGGTCGATGGAAAAGTGCTCGATATGGACGGTGGCATTGCATACACCCATCGTGAGCCACTGGGTGTGTGTGCTGCAATCGTACCGTGGAATGCCCCTCTGTAAGCTACTTCGCCTTTGTTTTTGGCGATTTCTCTGATAACCATGCGAAGACGCTAACATTGGCTCCCGTGCCTGGTTATAGAATGATTACAATTTGGAAGCTAGCCCCGGCTTTAGCGACGGGCAATGTCCTAATCATCAAAAGTTCTGAGATGTCACCGCTTTATGCTCAGCGATTAGCACAGCTCGTAAAGGAAGCGGGGATTCCGGCCGGCGTTGTAAACATTGTGACTGGCGAGGGTGCCAGCGCTGGCCAGGCCCTGTCTGAACATATGGAGGTGCGCAAGGTCGCATTCACTGGTAGTGCAGTCGCAGGTCGTAAGATCTTGCAGGCTGCGTCGCGAACCAACTTGAAGAAGGTGAGCTTGGAGCTGGGAGGTAAAGGCCCGTCGATTGTATTCGACGATTGCGATCTCGAAAACGCCCTACTCTGGACGCGCATTGGCATCACCGCCAACAACGGACAGATCTGTGCGGCCGGATCGCGCATCTATGTTCAGGATACCATTTACGATCGCTTTGTGGAAGCGTATAAGAAGGCCGCCGCCAGCGCACCGACTGTTGCTGGCAATCCGTTGGATCCCGCGACCACAAAGGGCCCCGTGGTGAACTGCGCCCAGCATCAGAAGATTTTGGATTATATTCGACAGGGTAAGGAGTCTGGGGCCCAGTTGCTATTCGGAGGGGAAAGAATTGGCGACAAGGGGTACTTTGTTCAGAACACAGCCTTTGTGGATGTGGCAGACGATGCGACGATTATGCGCGAGGAGATTTTCGGTCCTGTTGCAGTGAGTCCAGACTTAATTCGTTCCTTTATTCAGATTATACTAATACAAAAGACAGAGCATCGCCAAGTTCTCCACGGAGGAAGAGGTCATCGCCAAAGCCAACGACTCTCATCACGGTCTGAGTGCTGCCCTATTCACCAACGATATCAACCGGGCTCACCGTGTTACAAAGGCACTCGAGTCTGGTCAGGTAACGGTGAATGCATGGGCGATGCTCAGTCCCAATGTTCCATTCGGTGGAGTGAAGGAGAGTGGGTTCGGACGCGATATGGGTGAAGATGCCTTGGAAGGCTGGACAACGGTCAAGGCAGTCAAGTATCATATTCTTCCTCGTCTGTAGGCGGCATCCATGCATACTTTGATATGTACAATTTTGCTTTCGTCTCTTCTTGAATGATTTCCAATGTGACTCCCGTTCGTCATACTATATCTTTGGCGGTTTTGAGGGCTCCATCTGCGAGGTATAAATCTCAGGCTCAACATGTAGTGCCTCTGGAGGACGTCTCTTCAATTTCGCTACTCGAGGATTCATCATCTAGTACTATTATCGATATTCGACAATCATCAATCTGCCATCAATTTTACTTCGCCAAGTCTCCTCCCGTAGACAGAGGAATGGGATGCATCTTGTGGAAGACATTGTTCGGGTCGTACTTGGCCTTGACGGATTGAAGACGAGCCAAGTTCTCACCGTAGATATTATTGACGACGGAGTCGCCCGCTGGTACAAGTCAATATTGGCCGCAATAACACCACTCTCCAGCAAAACAGAAGAACTTACGTTCGGCGTAGTTGATATACTGAGGCACATCGTTTCCACCTTGCAGGTCTTTCTTCCTCGCCTCTAGCTCAGCTTTCCATTTGGCCTGAACCCCACGCGCCCAGGTACGATGTTCCAAATCTTTCGATGAGTCGGTCCAGCGCATATACAGAATACCATTCTGTGTCATATTGCGACTTGCAAATGCAGTGGTCGATAGAGACCTCTCGCAGATCTTGCGCATATCGATGAACTCAAGAATAATGGCGGAGGGCATCAAGTCGGTATTGCTCTGGAGCTTAGCCATAAACTCCTCGAATACACTTCGCATAAAGTGGGGATCCAGAGGGGGCGCGTAGAAAATGCCCTTGAAGGCCTTGCGATCGCCATACGTGGCTTGGGGATTCTGCAGCGTGTTCACCACCGAGTAAGGGATCATGTCCACAGTGTTGAGAAGTGGCTCTAAAGCCAAAAATCCGGCAAAGCGATCCTGTCCCTCTTCGCGAGTGCCGTTGTAAAAACAGATCACGATAATCATCGGGCCCGACCCATCGGGTGCTTGCGCGAAGATGCACATCGCTCCTGACCGAGAATCCGGATTCGCCAAAGTGCCGTTCAACTGCTCAATAACCTTCTCGAGTTTGTCCGGGGAAAATCCAAGGATTCCCGAATAGACAAGTGGACTCTGGTCGTATGCCTGGTAGGTAAACTCCACGACGACGCCGAAATTGTATCCTGCGCCTCGCAATCCCCAGAATAAGTCGGGATGCTCAGTCGCAGAGGCAGTTACCAAGCTACCATCGGCTAGAACCACTCTCGCCGACCGAAGATTATCAATGGTGAGGCCATATTGCCCACTGAGCCAGCCATAACCCCCGCCAAGGGTCAGACCGCCGATGCCAGTGTGATTCACCGTTCCTCCAACAGTCGCCAGACCGTGAGCAGCCCCAGCCTCGTCGACTTCTTTCCAGGTCGCACCACCCTGGGCCGTGATGGTCTTGCTGGAGACGTCCACGGAGACATGGGTCATGCGTGACAGATCAATAACCAAGCCACCCTCACTCGAGCTGGTTCCCGCTGTCGAATGGCCGCCGCCCTTCACAGCAAGGTTCACGGAGTGCTCTTGTGCCCATAGGAGCGCAGCTTGAATGTCTGCGACGTCCACTGGTTGAACCACGACTCCCTGGAAGCTGTTAGCGAATTCCATACAACCCGAGGGTCCCTCTGCCATACTGCCTCCTTCCTCCCCGTATCAGACCATCGAATAAGACTGTCTTGGTATCCTTCCGAGTCTGGAGTAAGAACAGTTGCGGTCGTCAGTCGACTACGAAGAGTCTCGATTGTTGAGGGGCTGATTCCTGTCATGTTGCACCTCGCAATGTTGGAAGAAATGGTGGGGAAGGATGTTTCGAGCAACCCCGCTACCTCGGTGTTGTATTTCAAGGCTGGGCGAGAATGGAATGGGTCCTCAATACTCACTGCGATTAGTTTATTTGTTATCACGCCGGCTCGTCAGCTCGTTAGCTGGTTGGGTTCCTTCCGTCTGGTTACCCCAAAATGGCGGGGCATCGGACTCCACTGCGGTGATCGGGCGACCAGAGGGAATGGGAGAGTTGCACGGCGTACTTGGTGCGTTGAGTGGTTACCCAGGACTGATATCGGAACCACGCATGTTGTACAATAATTTGCATCCATCTCCGCTTCGGTGTTTGTGATTTTTTTGCTTTGCTCTTTCGGTACATAAGGATATACAATCAATGTTCAGACCTGTGGGTAGGCAATGAATTCCTGTCTTCGGAGAACGCCCTACAGATAGCTAACCTCGGCTTTCATCCTACATGCTCAACAAATATGCCCACTGATGCTATTTGAAAACTTCAAATCACGTCACTGTCTACTTCAAAACCTGCTGGGAATACTTCGCGTACAACTCGGGGTACCAACGTCGGCCCACGTCAGGGTGGCTGAGGATGCGATTCCTCAAGTGTGCCTCGCCAAACTAAACCATGGTGAGCCTACCAAGATAAAATTTGATGGGTTGGAGGAAGGTATCATAACTCACGCAAGAGTATAGAGGAGATAGGAATTCACTGGGAACGTCCACTGCTCGTTTTTTCCGGTCGTCGGACGCGGGAATGCGTTGCACAATGTGGGCAGCGGACTCCTGGAGCTCCTTCAGTGTCAAGTCCAGGCGGACGCCCAAGAAATAGGGAATGCTATATCGCGTGCGGGAAGTTGGTGCCTGTGAAGGTGAATTCGTTAGCATTTCTTTCCCTCTTTCCAAACGGTTGGTCCACGAGTGCAGAGCCTCCTTACAATGACGCGATGGGTGGTGGCAGCACACACTCCACCAGTAATGGCCTCAAATCCCTGCTGAATATTAACCACCAAACTGCCCTCAATAGGAGGAACGTCAATCCATTCGCCATTCTTATTCAAGACTTGCAATCCACCAGTATTGTCCTGGGAGAGGAAGGTAAACAGGCCCGCAGAGTCCTTGTGAGGACCGACACCTTGAGAGTTCGGTGCCGACCGAGGATACTTGACAAACTTCAGTCGGCTCATGTTGCCTTTGAAGTCATCAAAGGTGTCGGCTGGAAGAGCCAGGCTTTCTGCCACGAGATGGACGAATCTCTGGGCTAGCTCGTCAATTTTGGCAATGTATTCCTCCACCAGCGCTTGCGCGCCAGGGGAATCAGGGTACTGGATCACTAGTCAACAACTGAAACAGCCGAGGACTATCCGACTTTGAATTCATGGAGAATTTACCTGGTTGGGGCCTTCAAGACGTTGCCAGAATGGATCTTGATTCGTCCATTCCTTCATGCCAGGGGTCCCAAAGTCATATTGCTAGAAAGTTTTAATCTCCGCATTCGTTGATAAATATTAAAAAGGGAATCTCGAATGGTGAACGGTTACGTACTTCCCTAATATCTGTCTTGGCTGCGGTGGTCTCAGCTCCAAGACGAGTGTAGCCCAGGAAAGAAGGAGAGTGTATCATATTGCACTGCTCCTTGGTCTCGTCAGACAAATCGAACAGCCGCGGAATCTCATCATGCGTGCGGCGTATCAGATCCTATTCCTCAGTCAGTCCTTGTCCATGAATTTCAAACTTAGGTGAGTTGCCAACCTCCAGCCCTGTATTTGTCAAGTACAAGAATCCTACCACAAATATTGCCTCTCGAAGCTTGGCCAGTTCATCGCCTCTTGTAGAAGGGTCGTTCAGACGAGAGTAATCCACTTGAGGCACTGATGAGAATGTCCCCGACATTTCGATCTCTTCGGCCTGCGTCACAATATACCTGGCTCAGCGAGCTCGTGCCAAGGATTAAGCTTATACGCGTCTAGAGGGTTGTGGTGGTGGAATGGTATCAAATTGCCGTGGCAGGGTCACTCTTGAAGGAGGAGTGTCGCCGGTGGAAGTTGGTGACTCGTTCCCCCGCAGATGCCGAGGTGATGTCGTGATTGTTTCCCCACAAATGCCACTATTACTCAGCCACATTCACGACTTGAGTTACATTATAGTCTACTCTGCACGTTTCGAAGACGGATACATTTCTAGAACCCACTGCATAACCCAAATCTGACCATGGAAAGGTATGGACTACATGTCAATAGGCGTGGAGAAAAGAGCATCACCTATGTTTAGGTTCTTCCATCTGCTCATCGTCATAGAGGATAAGGGTACAGAGAAGGTACGCTGAATATCCACACAAGCTCTCGTATAACCATCTTTGTCTTTTAATATACGATCAGGCTCCCACCATAGCTTTTGAAGTGAGGCTTTTGTAGCCTCTTGATATAGCACGAGGGTATGGTAGAATTATGCCATCAGTGGAGCAACTCCACAAGCCAAATTGTCTTCCTTTCCAATTTAGTAAAGGTCTTCATCCCGAGTCATGACAAGAACAGTCGTGAAACGGGCCCAAGAACGATGATGTCAACGAGCATATAAGTAAGGTATATCGATTGATGGAAATAGCCCTGCACAGTCCCCCCTTTCATCTTCCGTGCCAAGATCTTCCGCGACGTGATGAAACCCCAGTAGTCTTGGCATTGCTGCATATGTATGCACCCCAGAACCGAGAGCCTCTGCGGAGTCATTTGTGGAAGTTTTGATTTTTCCTTTTGACGATCATTTCTTGTCATTTGATCATACATACCACTTCGTAATTAAGCTCATATGATGACTGTTGCATGGTGAATTGTTTTCCCACAAGACCTATGTGAGGAGGGGCTTGCACATATGTTTTTGATGCCAAGGCCATGGTACTGCGGACGCATGCTAGGGAGCGTCTGCATTGATGCAAATTCTCGGCACTGTGAAGTTGATACAATTTTTGTCGGAGAATTATGATGACCTAGTCCACCTATATCCTTTGTTCCGTGAGCTAACCTGGAGGAATTGCCGCCGAGAAGATATTCCATCCACTCTGACAGAGCGGTCCACTATAACCGGATCTAGTATAGAAGTTCTCCTGAGCTTCTGATGTGTATAAAACCGACTAGAGCTCCTCAGTTCTAGACTAGAGCAAATTCCTCAGACTCTTCAGAAATTCACACTCCAGCTATCAGATCATCGTTTCCAACTCTCTTACAATGGCTCCCACCAAATGGATCACTGCGGTGCTGGCAGGCTGCCTTTCCGGTTCTGTTCTTGCAGCTCCGACTGCAACCAGTGACAACCAGATCGTCAAGCGCGCAAGCATTAACGACGTGAGTGACAGTCTTGTTGATATAGCCTGGCTTTGCATCTTTTGGACAATACCACTGACATACGAGAATTAGGCGGCTACCGGTTACGCCAGCGAGAATGGGGGCACTACTGGCGGTGCTGGTGGTACTACGACGACCGTCTCCTCATACGCAGCCTTCACGGCCGCAGTTGCGGGAGATGCCAAGAAGGTTGTGGTTGTCAGTGGCACCATCACCCAGACTGCCGATCAAGCTCGTGTGGGCAGCAACACCAGCATCATCGGTAAGGACTCGAGTGCGAAGCTGGTGAATTTTGGCATGTGAGTACCATCCCCCTTTTCGGACCTCATATGGGGGTTTAATTTACTTACCATATGTCTAGTCTTGTCAAGGAGGCCTCCAACGTCATCATTCGCAACCTTGGCATCTCCAAGGTGCTGGCTGACAACGGAGATGCTATCGGCATTCGTGGGTTTCTATCCTATCACCCACTATGATAAAAATTCGCCACTAATGTCTTTCAGAATACTCCAACAATGTCTGGGTGGACCACTGCGACGTGTCATCCGACAGAGATCATGACAAGGACTACTACGATGGTCTGATTGACGTGAGTAGTATTCAGCAGAGTCCTAATGATCAGTCATGAGCAACGTAGACTGAGAATCTTTTAGATCACCCACGCAGCTGACTACGTCACGGTCTCCAACACCTACCTCCACGACCACTGGAAGGCCTCGTTGATCGGTCACTCGGACAACAACGGCGACGAGGACACCGGGCATCTGCACGTTACCCAGAACAACAACTACTGGTACAACATCAACTCCCGGACTCCCTCAATTCGCTTTGGCACTGGTCACATCTACAACAGCTACTTTGACAGCGTCAACGACGGAATCAATACTCGTGACGGTGCCCAAGTCCTTGTCCAGTCCAACACCTTCGTTGGCTCCAGCAAGCCTCTCTACTCTACCGATGACGGCTATGCTGTCGCCAATGACAATGACTTCGGTGATGGCGAGAACACTGCTGAGGCCGGAACCTTGACATCTGTGCCCTACTCCTACACTCTTGTCGGATCCGGAAACGTCAAGAGTGCTGTTATCGGTACTGCTGGTCAGACTCTGAGCTTCTAAGGGCTCTAATCGCACAATAGGTTGCCTGCGTAGGGACATATTGGGGTTTTGGGAACATGTTGAGTGCAGAATTAGGATTTACCGGAATGTGATTTCTGTAACTTTCGAAAATCTACGTTATTTCCCGTAAGCCTGATATCAGCTCAATGTACTCTCTCTACGCGACCATGAAAGTGAAATGTACTGTCTCTTGGGGTAGAGTTAGAAACATCAGCCATGAGGCATAATCCCCGAATGAATTAATTACAGATATTACTTAGACCATTTTTTTCTAGGGTATCACGCCATAAGTCCGAAGCAGTTCACCACCCATGCAATCCATTCATACACCCCAACCGACCCAAGGAGATATCCCATCATAAATTTTCACTCATGCAGTACCCTCCTTTAGGAATGAATTCAACGACACCAAGTCCTCGCTTGGGGTTGGTGTCGGAAGCAAAATCTTGGTAGCGTCAAACTCCCACGCACTCTCTCGTTCATCGCGGTGACTTCGAATGTGGAAGGGCATCATCCACTCTTTGAGCCGGCCTTCCAAAAATCCCATATCACGGTTTCTATCCCACATTCGACGGGATTCTATGAAGGCGCGGTTAATCGTTTCCCGACGGAGTCGCTCGTATGCATCGAAGACCTCTGTTAGAGGTTCCAAGCGGTAACGAGCCAGAATTCGAGCAAAGAGGATAGCATCGTCCAAGGCATATGCTGCTGACTCATCCCGAGGTGGCATCTAAATCATAAGTTAGTTACAGTCAGTACGGAGATTGTGACTCGTATTCTCGTCCCATGCCATCAGAGACTTACCGCATGTGCTGCATCGCCAAGCAGGATAACACGGTTCATACACCATATTCCCCCAGGCCGAACTTGATAGACCGGATAAAGCATCCAATCCGCTTCACTCTCCACCATCTCCCGAATGCAGGGCAGCGCAGATTTGGAGAACCGATCTCGCATCTCGTATCGCAAACCCCTCAGAATTCGATCCTTCGTCGCCCAGTCTTGACCTGGCTCAAGGCGATGATAGCTCAAATCGGCTTGATCAAATTGCACAATCGCAGCTGCAAATATTTGCTCATGGTCACGATCACAGAAGCTTGTCAACATCGAACCATGGCGTGAAATGTTCAACGCAGATGATCGGAAATGCATTGGGCTCGAGAGTGTGCTTGCGGGAATAGTAGCTTGCAAGAAAGATATGCCCGTATATTGAGACGTGCTATCAGGATCAACCCAGCGGGTTCGAACAGCGGAATGGACGCCATCACAGCCAATAACAAGATCTGCAATGACTTCCGATTGATCACTGAAATGGATAACGGCCTTGTCGCTAATTTCTTCACCACCAATCACTTTCTTTCCGAAGACAATATTGACATTGGGAGTCCTCTCTACCACCGCCATCAGGGCCACAGAGAGGATAATTCGCATCACGCGACGGCCTTTATATCCACCAAAGCCGTTGCCATTGTGATCAACAAAGTCAATTGAGCCAATTGAACGACTGGAGCGCATCGAGAAAAGTTCAACAGCTTCCACTTCGGCCCCACCCTCCGAGCCCATGCGGTCTAGCTCGTCCAGGACTCCTAGCTGTGCCAGGTGTCGCTGTGCGACGGGAGCTAAATTGATTGCACCGCCTGATGTAGATAAAATGTCATGTCGCTCATAGATTGTGATGTTGAGGTTGGGTACGAAGGGGGATAGCTCTCGTGAGAGAGCAAGCGCACAGGTAATGCCGGCAATACCTGCGCCAACTATGGCAATTTCGCGTGGTGGACTGGGCGGAAGGTCCATCATGGCTTTACTTTGCTTTCGTCAAATCTTCCAGGTTCAAGTTGGCCAAGATCTTGGGAGGGCCCAACAAGAGTCGCCTGAGCTGTAGCGACAGGGAGAAGTCGTGTTAGGCCGTCAACTGGACGTTCAAATAGTGAGATGATTTATATTTGGTGATTCAATGCACTTAATGGGCGTGGCTCTCCAGTGTCTCGTAATGGGAGGAAGGGGTTGACGCGATATATATAAAGTTCAATAACAGCTGTCAGGTCAGTTGCAAAATTTTCCGCTGGCCCAGACCACGTTAGACAAATTTGCACAAGGAACACGAGCGACACTTTGTTCATTCACGTAGAAATGACTCCATAATCACTCTACGCCAATCAATCAGCGACCAGACAACAATCAAGGTTTCCTCGGCCGGAAAGGCGATCGTTCGGCATTTGCCTCCTAAAAGCATGTTCCATGGAACTGGGTGGATCTGCCTGAGCGCGCAAGTCCGGAGTATTCTTGACGCACGGCCGGATCACGGAAAAGTATCAAAGAAAGTAATAAAGCCCAGATGATACGTCACAAAGCAAACAGACTACGGATAACCCCTAGTCAGCCCTGAGCAGTGGATGGAGAGTCAAGCCGAGAAACAGTTGGACGAAGGCGAGCGATAGGGAGCAGAGCTTCAGATAGCTCTTTTTCCATCGCACGAGTGGCGGAGTTTGAATGGGATCGACTCAAAAAGACATCTTGAACGACCGTTGGGAACCGGATGGGCTTTCCGAGACTAACAAAAAAGACCAGACCAAGCGAGGGCAGGATAATTAAACCGTCCAGTAGTAGCACAGAGTAAATACCCATGATTCAACTTTTATTTGTGTTAGTTAGACCCGGTTGACTTGTCAGGCCCCGTCAAAGTCCCACTAGTTCCACTCCGACCGTGCCTCTTGCCTGTCTCAGTATCACCCCCCCCCCCCCCCCCCCCCCCGGTGATGGAATGCACTTCTTTATTCTGTCTTGCAATGACGTGCCCCACAAGTGTGTTTGGCTATGTTCTCCTCGACGATCTGATTATCCTGCCTTGCGAAAAGTCTCATGCAGGAGATACGTCTGCTGGAAGTTGCGATGTACATGACGCTCCGCGCAGACGTCCAGATTCTTCTTAATATTCTAATTCAACGGTTCGACTATTGCTCCATGTCAGTCCACGTTTTCTGCATCTGCAATATCTAGCGGAAGGAGGCGGACCTCGGTATTTTCTCTCAATTCCTTTCTGCAGAATTGAAACTGCGCTAAGTTAGTGACGGATGCATGCACGTTTCCCTTCGAAGCAGAGTGGGTCGGTCTTGGTTCAAACTTGTGAAGCTGTCGAAATCAAGGAGCGTAAAAGGGATGAAATCACATTTTTCATGCGTGCGATATAAAATTTCAGAGGGTTGACCAACAAGGAAATCGACTTTTTGTGTATGGATTCCCGAGAAGTACGGGGCCCCGAGATGCCACGATGGGCAGCGCCCGATCGGTACCTCGGTCGGTCTCACAAGGTGGCTTGAACTGGTAGATGAGGCTGTGCGGCTACTCCTGCGGAAATTCTCTTGACGAGACCTATTCTCTTATGTCGCGTCATGAAGAACGGAGGGCCTCCGGGGTTCAAGCTAAGCGCTAGACTGCCGCCGGTTAATATCCAACACGGCGGGCACTGCAACGCTCACTCTGTATCTCACCACCCTTGCGCCGGTGGATCGTTACTCTCTAATGGACGAGAGGTGACGACTTCAGATTCCATACTACAAAACCGGCGCAGAGCAGACACATTCTGGCTGAGGTATAGTTAGCGCTATGCGTGAAGTAAGATTTCCATACCTTGAGCCGTCGACACAGCTTAGTGATGTGATTTATGTACTCACCGAGTATACAGTTCATCTCATGATATCCCACTTTCTCGGCGAGCTGCCCCGACACAATGGGCCCCAGAAATAAGCCAAATGACCAGCTTAATCTACTGATCAACATGGCCTGGGAATATGCTTCTGAGCCAAATTTTCCTGGCTGGTGAATTTCAATTTCATGAACCGCGTCTGGCAGATATAGTTAGCTGGATATTATCCGCGACACTCGATGATTTCTTACAAGAAGCCTCCATCATCCCCGTCCCGTTCAACAGAGTCATGAAGATTCCTATAGCAGCAACTGTGGAGGCATAGATGATGGGACCTCGGTACCCCAAGTTTGCCCAATGGAAGCGGTCGTCCCCAGGAGTACCGACCACCCACAGAAGCAGTGCAAGCCCGAGAAACCCGACACAAGTAGGGTACCGCGATCCGACCCGACCTTTCAGCCACTTCACAGGCACGCTGAAGAAGGCGTTCGGCCCATGCAAAACAGAAAAGAGGATTCCAGTCGGAAGACTACCCCAGTGAAACACTGCCCCAACGTGAAGCGGAAGCGTGGTGTCGAAGCTTACGGCCACGATCGCATAACAGAGAGAACTGAGGATTCCGCCAATATAACGGCGATTGGTGAGGAGACAGAAATAGAACTGGAAGTCGAGTTGGGCCGATCTCAACTGAACGGGTAGTTCGGAGAGAGACGAGGGCACAAGCAAAGGAGTCTCCTCGCCCGCTTCGTCTCTAGGGGGCGATTGTACTCCAGCAGACTCAGTGTCTTGCGGCTGAACCAGCATCAGACTCTGTAAGATCACACCAATCAGGCTTGCACCAAATGCGCTCGTCCACGCCGTCCAATATCCGGCTAGTTCAAAGATTGTTCCGGCCATCAATGGCCCTCCCGATGAGCCTGCAGCCAAGGAGACGGTGAGAACTCCATACACTTTCTCCGTTCCGTTTGTTGAGGCGACTTTTGTCAGGTTTGTGAGTCCAAGAACACCTACGATGGTATTGGCCACTGCCTGTACCAATCTTCCAGAGAATAGCGTGAACACTGAGACATATATATTAGTAAGGTACGAAAACCTTCACGTCGTCGCAGTGAACGGATCATGACCGAGATCAGAAAACATTACATGAATGAGACAAGGCAATGATCATGGAGCCACCTAATTCCCCAAGCAACCCTACCAGAAGCCAGGTTCGTGCACCCAGGCGATCAGAAAAGCGACCAATCAGAGGGGTCACGAGGAATGATACCAGAGCACTCTCTGCTAGCAAAGCAACACTCACTCGCTGGATGAGTGAGGGATCAAGACTGAGTCGATGCTCCAGAACAAAAGGCAAGATCGAGACAAGGAATTGATGCAGGAACATATCTGCCCAAACGAATCAGCCATGACACCAGCGATCTCTGGTCATTCCGGCCCGTACCAGTCAGTAAAGCAGTTGCAGTTGCGGTGATTATGAAGAGCTCGGATGATCTCCATTTGTGACCCCATGGAGGCCCCCGACCTCGAAATCTTGTCATCGTCTCGAATTTTGATAAGCGCTGTTCGCTTTGAAGGCATAAATGTAACAAAATATGGAGAAGGATTTCTACAAGAGAAGCCCGCGACCTACTCGTCTACCCCTTCTTTATCTTACTGCAATTACAAGATCGACAATCATTATTTCAACCGCCCCGTGCAGGGAGGTGCAGGCCGAAAACCCGCATTGGCGATCATTTTTGATCACTGAGGCGAATTGCGCCTAGGTAGAATATCTCTGGGACACAGCAAAGCAGCTACACGTACCGACAATACGATACAGCCAACCAAGAAAAGAGGGCGGTCAATGTGCCTTCAAAGTTTGTATAGTAACACACACATAAGCAATATTCGGTCGTACTTCGGAAATCGATCGCACTGTCAGTAGCTTTCCCGCCATCAGGTCGATTACCCCGTGAAGAATTAACTTTATCGTCCAAGCCCAGACAACCTAAGAGGCTAGACTCTCGATGAGACTAGCCAGGGCCTTTGGGTTTCAAGCCATAGTTCAATTATAGTTCGATCGGCTCCGAAGTCCCCAAGGAATACACACACCCAAAATAGCTATAGTACTCGGTACAGTAATCCGCAACAGGCAGAGTATAAAGAAGTGAATCGGAGCCGCATGATCTTGGCATCTGGCTGCATATTGCACTATTCACAAGGACGACTAGGTGCATACACAATCCCTTGCATCTTTGAAACTGATAAATCATGGAACTGAACAGCTGGTCGACAGCCTCTTCTGAGCCTGAAAGTACCCTCGGAGCAATATCATTGGCAGGATGTGTCGCACAACAGTGTGACAGCCAATCAGCTCTTCCGGGAGTCGGGCACTATTGAATCGCCGATCGAAGAAGGATATGCACTGGCGATCGATTTAATCACTCAAATACAGCATCTAGTAAATCCCGGAAAGAACAAGACGGTGCAGCTGGTCTTTATGGGCGCTCCAACCCCCAGTAAATGCAAAATATATGAATTGGTTCATATTTCGTAACGCGTGACATCATATTACCATTCACAAGTATAGGACGCTCGATTGCCTGCAACCCAAGTTCTTCATCACGCCTCTCCTGCTTCATCTACTGCAGTGTTTCCGAGTGAGAGAAGAGAGTCCACTCTCCATCTGATCCTTGGCCCCATGTGGTTGAGCATGTCGCCCGATATTCTTTCTTCCCTCTCACCGCGCGGACCTTGTATGTCACCGCGCCCGCCATGAGATCAATGATAACGACCCGAACATTGTCGAGTTGGTATCCGTCAAATCGATGAAACGGTGGTTTCAATGCTTCGTGGAACTTGGATTCGTCTTCGAGAGTCAAGATTTCTGGCATTTGTGGAAACATCAGGTTGCCTTCGGGGTTGCACAACTTCTGTACCGCAGGTGCTGGATCGGCAGAGGTAAGAGCGGTCCATAGAGCACGCTCTTTGAATAGGAGATCCTCACGGATTCGATCGTACATCGACGGCATGATGGGCGAGTTTTAGACAAGAGAGGGTCGAATATGGTCAAGCAGAGACGGAGACTAACAACCAACTTCTAGTTAGGCCATGAGAACCACGAATCTATCGTCTCCGATCGGGCGAACTTACCGAATATACAGTCTTGTAAACGGCAGCGAGACGATCAAGACTTATCCAGGAGTTATGATCTTGGGAAGGGGGAATCCAATGTGGTTTTAATGACTGGGTTGGTACTGTGGTGCAGCCCATCCCGATATATTAAAATGACGTCACGGAAAATGACGTTGGAAGCCAACTTGCCAAAAATCCCCGACGATCAGCCTCTAATCCTGTCACCAGAATTCTAAATCGCCCCAAAATAGCCCTCTTGACATGCGTCATGCCCCACGCCAACGTCCGGGCCCTTAGCCATGGTGGCTTGAGCCCCGCGCGTCATAGCGCGTTGTTCTGTCCTTCATCTCGTTGTCGGCAGAGTACACGCCTGCGGGTAGTGAGGATAACACAGTCTGGTAGTTGGCATAGCCATCCATGGATGCCGACTGGGCATGAGTTCGGGTGTCCTCGTGGCAAGAACCACAAGGGCAGATTCAAATCCTGCTGTTAGGAATTTAACGTCGATGCGGATGTTCAAGTTCTTTCCTCCCATGGCACGTTGACGATTTCCAAAAGGGCCATGGCCAAGTGCAATAGGCGGGGCTTTTCCATCCATGGTGCCAGTCTATACAATCTGAGGAAGAAGGCTATGGGTTTGTTCTTATTGATGAAAAGACCCCGTAGGTATATCATCCAGATAAGGAGGAGGCTTGAACTGATTGGGCCGGGGTAGAAACACTTTGATTCTTTATTGTACATGAAAGCAACGCAATCACGTTTTGATTGTCCCATTGTCAATGGCCTCCAGTTTGACATACTGGATATGGCTATAAGTTCTTCTCAACTCCGTCTTCATGTTTTGCTTCGCTCGACGTCAGGATATGATCCTGCTGGAATCAGTTAGCGTCTAGCGTCCCGTGAAAGCGTGCTCGATCGTGAAAGGCTATCACCATCTAAGACATCTATATCCATTAACGTTATATGACGTTACTAAGCTGACTGAAAGGAACCATGCTGATAGCGCTTGTCCTTATCGCACCATCTTCCTCTCGTTCTAGAAACAATTCCTCGTCTATTTTCCCCCCAACGGAATGCCATGGAAATTCTCTTCGCCAGTGGGTCTGCCGGCACGCTCCGAGGCTTAATAACAAAAAGGGCGTGCGATAACAGCCGCGTTGAAGATAACAATATTCCACTCGACATCGCGATTGGCTAGAAAAGCGAAATCGGAAATTCAAGCCCAGTTAAGCCTCCAGTGAGTGGTGTATCTCCTATCAAAGAGGGGCTGAGCTGATGGAGCTGGTCCGTCAACGACGCCAATCAGTCCTGCTATCGCCATCCTCGACCAAATCTCGTCAGGTACATTCCGCTGCTCGCTTCTTTTTTGGGTGCCTTGGAGATCCACTGGAGGGATTTGCTTGATGCAAACCGTAACAATGCCGTTCCTGACGCACCGTGGGGTTTTTTTTTTTTTTTTTTTTTTTTTGGTCAGAATGAATTCTGGGGGATTTAAAACTGGACCAATTCCTCAGGCGGGGCATCTCAAGAGTTAGACAGTCAGACAACAATCTTTCCTATCGTTGCCCAAGATGCTCTCCCTGCAGAAGTTGGTGACTTCGCTGCTGCTCGCTGGAAGCACGCTCAGCGCGCAGGTTGCGGCCAAGGATTCGTCCCACCATGGCGACAAGATTGCTCCCAAGGTGTTCATTGTCTCGATGGTAAGATTCGTATACCAATTGTCAGGTCAATTGGACCAGTCCAAGATCTTTGCTGATATCCATGATATGTATAGTTCGAGCCAGAAGCCCAGGCCTGGTGGAACATCCCCGAGTTTGTCTTGTTGTCGCACAACATCACCATCCCCGGTCTTTCTCCTCTCTACCCGGATGTCCACTGTACCAAGGACTACGAGGTCTGCCAAATGATCACTGGTGAATCCGAGATCAATGCCGCGACTACCGTCACTACCGTTGCATTCTCCCCCCTCTTCGACCTGACCAAGACCTACTTCTTCGTGGCTGGCATCGCCGGTATCAACCCCAAGCGCGCTACCACCGGCTCTGCAACCTTTGCTCGGTACGCAGTCCAGGTAGCTCTGCAGTACGAGATCGACATTCGGGAGCTCTCTGCAGCCTACTCGACCAGCTATATCCCACTGGGCGCCGACTTCCCCGACCAGTACCCCACCAGCATCTACGGCACTGAAGTCTTTGAGGTCAACGCTGCTCTCCGCACCATCGCCGCTGATTTCGCCCGCAAGGCCAAGCTGTCCGACTCGACCGCTGCCAAATCCTACCGTGCCCACTACGCCAACGCGAGTGGAGAATACAAGGCTGCCACCCTAGCTCCCAGCGTTGTCGAGTGTGATGTCGCTACCTCGGACGTCTACTACAGCGGCAACATCTTGGGAACTGCCTTTGAGAACACCACCAAGCTTTTCACCAACGGAACCGGTGACTACTGCTCCACCGCACAAGAGGACAACGCTACCCTTGAAGTCCTCCTGCGCGCTTCCGCCCACAAGCTGACCGACTTTGCCCGTATCATCGTCATGCGCACTGCCTCCGACTTTGACCGTCCCTACCCCGGCGTCTCAGCGGCTTATAACCTGCTCTTTGCTGACCAGGGTGGCTTCGAGCCCGCCCTGGAGAACATTTACCACGCGGGCATTGAGGTGGTGCAGGGTATTCTCAAGGGTTGGGACGAGACTTTCGCCAAGGGCGTGAAGCCCACTAACTACATTGGTGATATCTTTGGCACTTTGGGTGGTCAGCCTGACTTTGGTCCCGGAACTTCCCAGGCTCTGGAAGAGAGCGGTGCGTTTAAGAAGCGGAGCATGGAGGGTCGTCGCCTCCGACGACGTGGTTAAGCGGGCGTATTGCGTGGTAGATTGTTGATCACTTACTTACATGACGTATCTTCAATATCCACTGGACATTTGCATGTCTGGGCCCGCAGTATATAATCTGTATCAAATAAATCAAGACTAATTCAAATCTTTCACAATTTACTCATGTATCCGTAACTGATGTGCCTGTGCTGGTAAGCTGCAAGTCCGGGGATGGGTAGAGTAGACAAGCATTCTGCAAGCCTCGGCGATGATAACAGAGGGTCCATTAGTATAAATTTTAGAAGTCTAGGAACCCGAAAGGAAGAAGCAGTCTGAATCGAAAAAAAGACAGAAATGCAGTGTCCCATCTTGACAATGTTGAGCTTATGCACACAATACGCACTAACTCCGATAACGCCGTGATGACATCGGAATGAGCGTTGGGGTAATCCATCTCCAATTCTCCAAATAAAACCCTCTTTCGCGCCTTCTCTCACCTTCAACCCTCGCAATCCTCGACAAACAAGAAATTGACTATACTTCTAAATCATCATGGGTTCTGTAATCCAGCCAAATAAGACAGCTCTAATTACCGGTGCTGCATCAGGAGTAGGTTTCGCAATTGCGAAACTCTGCCGCAGCAAAGGGATGCACCTCGCCCTGTTGGACATCGATCAGACCAACTTGGTCAAAGCAAAGAGTGTCTTGCACGACCTCAACCCAAGTCTCCTGACGGAGGCATATGTGATTGATGTCGCCGACATTGAGATCTGGAAAGCGACGGCCAAACAAATTGCTACGTTCTTCCCATCCATCGACCTGGTGGTGCTGAACGCAGGCAAAGGATATAAGCCCCAGGGACAGGATTCCGGTCGCATGAATCCCTGGTTGGATGGTGATTATTGGTCAAAAGTATGTCTCACTGGCCTAATCACCGCTGGATATTACTAACAGCTACTAAAGACATTCGACACCAACGTCCGCGGCCCACTCAACGGACTCGAAGCTCTTCTGCCCATCCTGCGCGCTCCCGAATCACCATCCCCCAAGTCAATTGTCATCACAGGGTCAAAGCAAGGCATCACCAACCCGCCTGGCGGAGGAAACCCAGCCTACAACGCCTCCAAAGCAGCAATCAAGAGCTTGACCGAACATCTCGCCCACGATCTACGCTCTGATCCAGCCACCGCCCATATTTCAGCCCACTTGTTGATTCCCGGATGGACATGGACGGGATTAATGGGTAACGTCGGCCCGACCAACGAGGCAGAAGTCCAGAAGCCGTCCGGGGCATGGTACCCTAGTCAAGTGGCAGATGAACTGCTGAAGGGACTGGAGTTAAATTCATTCTACATTGTCTGTCCGGATGACGAGACTACTTGGGCGCTGGATCAGGCACGTATGAAATGGGGAAGCGATGATGTGATTGAAGGGCGACCAGCACTTTCTCGTTGGGATGAGAAGTGGAAGAGTCGTGCTGAAGAGACTATTCAGGCGGATGCTAAGGCCCGAAGTGCCTAGTTAGCTGCGTTAACGGTTAGACAGGGGCATTGCCAAGACAGGCTTGTTTGGGTGGTTGGCCATCACAGCCATGGACTATGGACAAAACATGCGATATACGTGAATTATGAGTCAATACAAACAACACACGTATTTATTTCCTCGTCTCGTAAATTTTGATTCTTGGTATGTTGGTAGTAGATCATACTTGGCAGCTTGACTGGCATTGACAGTCGGGGGCGGGCACCCAATTAGGAAAGTGAGAGGGTCTGTTCGCGCAGGATGAGTCGGCAAATACGAACGTGTAACTATACCAGCCAGTTCATGAGTCACGTCAAAATTAGCATTCATTTTGGATGGTCTGATTGGTTCAATTTTAGTATGTATGCACTGTAGTCGTGGGTCGTTAATTGTCGTCGGCCCAGGGGAATGTGTGAGGTCGGATACAGATGTTGACCGGGCTTCCGAGGCGACGATGTATATAAAAGGAGGTTCTCAGAGGGAACATCAATCGGTAACAAGATTGAATACTATCACAATAAGATAGCTGTTTTTCCTAATGTCAATTGATTGGTAAGTCGAGTATACGTGCCAGAAGAAGTCTGCTCTATGATGATACCTATCACTCGCCGAAATGACCCTGCTGGAATGCTTAAGACCTGCAGGGCAGTGATTATGAATGGTTCTGAAAGAGCGCTCAATTTTCGTGCTTGTTTTCTTATGCAGCGTCTTCTTGTTGATGCTAACTCTGTTTTCTTAGGTTGAGACAGGGAGACTAGACTTGGATTAGGGATGAGCCTCGTTCGATTACCTTGCTCATAAAGGTAGTTTCATATCTCGCCGAGAGAGTAGGTTGATATCATCTAGGAATATACATCAAGGCAAGATTGAGGATACAGTTCCACTATTTCTCACTTCCCTCGTAGAGGACTAACCATAATGAGAATGCAACCTCAGGCTTCCCAAGGCTCGCCAGTCGCCGGAATAGGCAAGTCCTGCGATTTCACACGGTCGGTCATACCCCGACTGTTTCTTCTATTATTCATTTCAATGATAAGCTAGCTGCAATCTAGAAGGAATTTTGGGGGTTTCGAACATTCCCAAGTGGCGCTGAAGGAGAGAAGGGGCTGTGAAACACGATCGGCATGGAAGATGCTTGTTTTGGGGAATGCAGCTGGTAGATTCGACACATACCTGTACTTGAATTCCTGGCTAGTGTTCCTTCTCGATATTCTAAATTAGAGCCTCAATGATAGACATCCCGAGCATCTTACAATAGTCCTATCTTGCAATATTGTATTGTGTTCGTGTTCAGGGTGCTGTATCTTGCCAAGAGGTTCCCTTCAACTTTGGCCGCCCGTCGGATGCAACCGTCCAGGGATCGGCACCACCCCCTCTTTCTCCTTCTCCTTCTCCTCCAATTCCTCCCCCAAAATGATCCACCGTCCGCCCACTGTATGCTCTTCTTCCCGTCCACTTCGCCGTGGCTGGTCCGTTTTTGCGGAGAAAAAAGCGTGGGGGTGACATCGGCAACCGTGATGCAACATTCTCTCTATCGATCCAACCAACCCAATCCACCTGGGTTGGGTGGGTTTCTGGGCAGGTAAGGGATGCCCGCGTTACAGCGGCCTGATAAGACGTGGGTGCACGCTGCAAAGCTTGGCCGTCTTCGGCTGCTACTTGGAGGGATTCGGCGATCAGTGATCAGTGAATTGCTGGTATATTCCTGTCATACCTTGCCCTTCCCCGCGTCGTCTCGTCTCGCCTCTTTCTCGACTCCTGCTTCTCCTTCCCTGCCATCTTGCTCTTGCTCCCCCTTGCCAAGATGGAGCCAGCACATAAACATCAATCGTCGCTGGACGACACGTCCAAGTCAGGGGCCCGGGGGTCCAGCGACGAACCCAACAAGCTACAGGGTTATGCATCGGCCCCTGGTGTGGTTGACGATGTCACTCGGGTGGTTGACCACAAGGCTGAGCGACGCCTATGCCGGCGATTCGATATTCGTCTGTTGCCAATTCTGGCAATCATGTGTAAGTCGTCGCTTGGGAAAGTATTCAGAGTGCCCAGCAGGATTGAATCTAACCAGAGACAGATCTGTTCAACGCTCTGGACAAGGGCAATCTGGGTAATGCAAAGACGGACCATATGACTGACGGTATCTCAACACTCCTCCCAACGCCGCTAATGCGATACTAATACACATCTCCCAATTCTTATAGACCTCCATTTCAAGCCAAACCAGTACAATCTCCTCCTGTCAATCTTCTTCGTGCCCTTTGTGATCTTCGCACCACCCTTTTCCATGCTGGGCAAAAAGTTCAGTCCAGCTCGGGTCCTGCCCGTTCTCATGTTTTCCTTTGGCAGTTTCACCCTGCTCTCGGCTGCCGCGAAGAACTTTGGTGGTCTCTTTGCTCTACGCTGGTTCCTCGGCATGTCCGAAGCGGCTTTCTTCCCTCTGGTCATCTACTATTTAACCACATTCTACCGCCGAGGCGAGCTGGCTCGCCGACTGGCCGTCTTCTACGCGGCGTCCAACATTGCTAATGCCTTTTCCGGGCTGATCGCCTTTGGCGTGTTTCAAATCAAAGGATCGAGTCTGCCTAATTGGCGCTATCTATTTATCATCGAGGGAGGCGTGACGGTCATCTTTGCCGTCTTTGCATTCTTCTACCTACCCAAGAGTGCCGCCGAGGCGAGTTTCTTGTCGGAAGAGGAGAAAGCGCTGGCCTTCCACCGCATCCAGGTCGATTCGAGTGCGGTGGTTAATGAGAAGTTCCGATTCCGCGAAGCCCTGGGCATTTTCAAGCACCCGACTACGTACGTCTTTCTGTGCATTGAAATCTGCCTGGGTGTGCCTCTGCAAGGTGTGGCCCTCTTCATGCCCCAGATCGTAGCTCGTCTGGGCTATCCGACCGTCAAGACCAACCTGTACACGGTAGCCCCGAACGTCACGGGAGCCGTGATGCTGCTGGTCCTTGCATTTTGCTCAGACTATACCCGGCTGCGATCTCCCTTTATCGTGCTGGGATTCCTATTCACCTTTACCGGCTTTATGATCTACGCGTCTATCAACGATGTCCAACAGCAGATCCAGGTGGCGTACTTTGCAACATTTATGATGACGTGGGGCACGTCCGCCCCATCGGTGATGCTGAGCACCTGGTACAACAACAACATCGCCCACGAGGGTCGTCGGGTCCTCCTGACCAGTATCGGCGTCCCACTGGCCAACCTGATGGGCCTGGTCAGCAGCAACGTGTTCCTGGAGAAAGATGCGCCCAAGTACATGCCGGCACTGATTACAGTGTCAGCATTTGGAGCCACGGGGGCCTGTCTGGCGGGACTGTTGGGCTTGTATATGTGGTTAGATAATAAACGCCGGGACCGTCGCGATGGGAGGACGATTCGGGCCCGGGATATCCCCACGGAGCGGATGCGCGATGGGCCTGCCTCGCCTGAGTTCCGCTGGTTCTTGTGAGGTTGGAAGTATGACTGTTTTGCCTGTACTTAGTGACGACAGAGAATGAAGGCCCTCTACATCCAATATCTTGAATCCGGAATGGATGGTCCCTCTGGAGCACATCCCAAAGCGGTGCATGGTTCCAGCCTGGTCCCAGTCCACCTCCCGTTGGAAGTGGGGATCCCACTCTGCGAAAGATAAGATCCCTAAATGCGCTAGATGGCCTTGGGTCTTAACGCACGATTGAAAAGGGTCCGAGGACTATTAAGATTACTGATCCTCCTCAATGCGGAAGTTCCTTGAAGGTATGGCCTTGCTTAGCGTAGTCCCCGCGACGAGATGCCCGTGGGGCTTGAGAGATGTAACTGAATAGTCGCGAAAAAACGAGCTGAGATGGTCCAATCCAAGCATTGCTCAAGACAGTCAGCCAGCCCATTCATGCCCCTCCGAGCCGAAGATTCCGGACAAAGCAAAGTATGAAAGTGGGCAAGCCCCTCTCCATCTTGACTCCAGCCATTCCGATCCCCGCAGTTTGTCGGTCATCAACACCCTCCACCAAAGGCTGACTGATTCGTCCCAACTCGTCGTATCCGCTCCACATACTTTTTTCGGATCTTGCATTCTCGTCAGAATCCTCGGGTTCTCACCGCTGGTCGGGATTTGGCGATATCGAAATGCAGAACGCGGGGATGCAGTCCAAAGTCAAAAGAATCAATGCCCAGGCGATCGACGGCCCCCCAACGGATGACGTTCCACAAACTCCTATTTAAGCCCTCGCCAGGACAGACTTGATTATCCTTTCTTTGTCCCACTTTTTTTCTAAACTCAACCCCCATTCACGATATCCAAATCACAACTTCTAGTTCTTCAGGAACCATCCAACATGTCCAATCCAGGCCAAATCTCGCCCCTCCGGCCCGTTACCCGGCACATCACCACACACAACGCCGAAGGGAAGGCTGTCATTCACTCCTCCACGCCCGGGCAATGGAAAGCCTTCAGCGCCGACATGGCCTTCAACCTGATCTTCACCACCTCCCAATTCCCCGCAGACATCAACGGGGACGCCGACCTCAAGAACCACGACGCAGTCGTGCAATCCGGCCAACTGGGCCTGGTCAACCCCAACGGCACCGTATGCCGAATTGTCGACTTTGCGCCCAACAACCCGGGCATCATGCACCGCACGCAGAGTCTGGACTTCGGGGTCGTGCTGGAGGGCAGCGTTGAGATGGTGCTGGAGGAGGGAGAGCCGACGTTGTTGCAGAGGGGGGATGTTGCGGTGCAGAGGGGGACGGCGCATGCATGGCGGAATCCGAGTGCGACGGAGTGGGCGAGGATGTTGTTTGTGTTGCAGGATTCGAAGCCGCTGGTCGTTGGAAGCGAGACGTTGAAGGAGGATTTGGGGGTTGCGGCGGCTATTATGACGCCGAGTGGGAATGATCCATAGAAGATGAAGAGGAGGAGAATGGAGGGATGGAAGAATTGATGGAGGGAAAGGGAGAGTATGAACTATGTCTGGGGGTGTAATTCCCTTCTTTTCGACAGATATAAACACTTCTATTTTTTTTTCTGATTCTATGCCTGGACTTTAATCACCACCTTCCCAAAGTGACTCCCACTCTCAAGGAACTTGAAGGCCTGTTTCGCCTCCACAAAGGAAAACACCCGATTCACCACGGGCCGAATCTGATGCTTCTCATAGAAGCGGATCATCTCCTCAAACCGATCCTTCGGTCCATTAATAATGCCCTTCAGAGTCACCGTCCGCCGCAGAGCCAAGAGGTTCACATTCAACCGGTCATCCCCGGCATCTACCTTGCCGGAGACGTAACCGATGCAGTCGATGAGACCACCAAATGCGATGCAATCAAAGCTCTTTCGCAGCGTCTGGGCACCACCGGTCTCGAGGATGATATCCGCGCCGTGGTTCTGAGTCCAGTCCATGACCTTTTCTTCCCAGTTGGGCGTGGTGCGGTAGTTGATGGTATAGTCGGCGCCGAGCTGTTTGGCTTGTTCCAACTTTGCATCCGAGGAAGAAGTAATAATCGCTGGAAATCATAATTAGCGCTACCCACTCTTAATAAGAAATGATGTAGTTTGAATCCGTCTCCCATGCACAACTCACCCTTCGCTCCAGCAGCCTTGGCAATCTGCAACCCAGCAATCGCCACACCACCCGTCCCCTGAAGCAGAATATACTCATCCCGACCACCATCCTGACCTATCGGCCTCATCCCATTGATCGACATCCACGCCGTGACAGCCGCAATAGGCAGTGTACAGGCCTCTTCATCCGACATGTAGCTCGGCGCCTGCACGAGTCCATACTCAGGAAAGACCCGATGAGTAGCCAGCACTCCGTTCAGCGGGAGACCAAGACTCCCCGCCAATTCCTTCTCGGTGACCTGGCCGGTCTGATGTTCAGCGAGGAAAGTCGATAGAACGCGATCTCCCACGGCCCAGCGGGTTACGCTGGAACCAACCTGCACGACGACGCCGCACATGTCCGAGCAAGGCACGATAGTCGCGCTCTGTTCGGCGGTCTTGTGATGTTTGTATTCTCCCTTGGTCACTGCGAACATGTCAGCAGTGTATAAAGATCAACCTTTCCGCAAGATAAAAACTCAACGAACCTTCCACATCCCGATAATTCAGCGACACGGCGTGAATCTTCACCAGCACTTCGCCGTCTCCCGGGGACGCCATTGGCGCCTCCGTCTGGCGGAGACTATCCAGTCCCTCGAGGGGCGTCACCCATTGATGAATGGACATGATTTTTCGAAGATTTTTTTGAAAGCTAAGACTTCCCTAAGAACTCGGCGTTGCGGGTGATGTCATGCATTAAATAGCTCTCTCGAATCGGCTGAAGAATCGCCGAGTTGGAGAAATTTGGAGACGCGGCTGAGTCATCACTTCATGAAGACCTATGAATGCATGCGGGGCAGAGAGAACACACTGAAACCCTTGGCCATCTTCATGCTGGGCATCGTCGAATGTTCAGGCGAGGAGTGTTTGATTCACTGATCCGGTGTGTTCAAGGATTATCTCCAGAAGTCTAAAACGAGAACAACCAACGACTGTCCCGTTGGACGACACGCCCACGGAGGGCCAACGCCTAACTCCGCCAAACTCCGAGGACAAGAAAGCATGAACAGAAACTGATATCAACCGAGGCAGGCCTCTGTCCACTTCCTTCTCTTCACCAACGGACACGATGGCAGGAAATCACCCTCAAATGCAATCCCCTCCTCATGAGGAAGAATACTCGATGAAAACTCCAAGTGCAACTTCCGGTCAGTCCCTTCTCATTCTCATCCCCGACTCACAGCAACTCACCTCTCCCAAGCCCATCTCCTCTACTCCCCCAGCAGTCACGACACTCCACGCCTCCCACAAACCATCTCCCATCGAGGCTACAAGGGGAAATTCCCAGAGAACACCCTCGCCGCCGTCCAAGGCGCCATCCAGGCCGGCACTGACGCCCTGGAAATCGATCTGCAGCTCTCCCGAGATGGGGTACTCGTGGTCTCCCATGTAAGTACTAATCACCTAAGAAACCAGCCCATCTTTACATATATCCTATTTTCTACCCTGACATATGTCCGTCCCATTCTAATTCCACCACAGGATCCATCGCTACAGCGATGCTACGGGATCAAGAAAAAGATCGCCGACTGCGACTGGGCGTACTTGAAAACCCTACGCACGCTGCAAGCACCCCATGAACCTATGCCCAGACTAGTCGACATCCTCGAGTATCTATGTCAACCAGGGCTAGAGCATATCTGGGTCTTACTAGACATCAAAGTACGTACCCCGTTTCCTTCCCTCACCATCCCATTCCGTTCCACCTCAAACCCTAACAACCGGCACAGCTATCCAACGACCCCCCAACAATAATGCACCGCATCGCCCAAACCATCACCTCCATCCCAACTCCACCATCATCACCTCCCTGGCACACCCGCCTAATTCTCGGCTGCTGGTCAGCCCAGTACCTGCCCCTACGAGCCAAATACCTCCCGCAATACGAAATGAGCCTAATATGCCTAGACCCCCGCTACGCGCGGCAATTCCTACACACGCCCAACATCTCCTTCAACGTCAACCAACGCAGCCTGATGGGCCCGTTTGGAGCAGGTTTCCTCGACGAAGCGCGAGCCGCAAACCGCAAAGTATTTCTGTGGACGGTCAACGCGCCGAATCTGATGCGGTGGGGGATTCGGCACGGTGTGGATGGGATCATCACGGATGATCCGGTTTTGTATGCGCGGGTTTGCGAGGCGTGGGAGAGGGAGAGGGAGGGGAAGGGTGGGACGGTGGAGTGTCCGGAGTTAGTTGATGATCGGTTGAGCGTTGGGCAGAGGGTGCGGATTTGGGTGACGGCGGTGTTTGTGGTGGTATTTGGGTGGGTGCTTAAGCGGCGGTATCGGTATCCTCATCCTGTGCCCTATCCTGTCGAACGGGTGCAGATTGGGGATAGGAAGGGTGCGTGATAAGGTTGTTGCATGAAGTATCCATTTACGAGGGTAGAGTATCGTAATACTGTAATATGAATAGTTTAGAATTTTGTTCTTGCTGGGCTGGAAACATTATGATATTCGCTCAAACCTGTAGGAAGCAAAAGCAATTAGGTAGAGAAAGGGAAATCCGGTAATCATGAGCCACCAATAAACACCAAGCCGACAGAGGAAGGAAGAATATACATTGGTAACATGGCGACATGACCATAACTCAAAAGGTGAAAGAACACCGACGCGGATGATGGATGGTCCCAAGACGCAAACCAAAGACAAAGATAAAAAATAAAAAGGGAAGGGAATAGAAGGGATACAGTGTGGGATTAGGGATTACACCCCATGATGCAGAGAAAAGAAAGGAACGGATCAACGCTATCATCGGCCAAAAACCGAACACGAAACAAGGCATGGAGGGTATAAAGCAATCTATAAAACGAACGACAAACCCGAGCAAGAAAGCAAGAAAGCAAGAAAGACTATCAAGCTCGGGCACATAAAATGGGCCACGTCAAGTGACAAGAAGAAAACAATAAAGGGGGTAATACAATCCGTCACTGAGGACTGTCGGAATGAATTTTGCAGCAGAGGTTCCACAGCTCAAATCATCATGAGCTTGGTGGTTCTCCGCTCGGGGAAACGCCTAGCACCTCCAGATGGGAAACGAGGGCCAGAGCGAAGACCCCCGTTGCTTGGGGCCGGAGAGGGAGGAGGTCTGTATCCGGCTGGAGGGGGATAGGCACGAGATTGAGCCAGAGGCGAAGAGCCGATCGTGGGTCGGCGACGACCTGGTGGACCCGGTGGGCCGGGAGGTCTTCGGGATCCGGGCGGTCCAGGCGGTCCAGGAGGTCCTGGTCTAGGTGGTTGGTGATAGGCATTCGCAGCACGGCGGGCATCCTGCTCGCAGTAGACTTCGCCGTTCCACTCGAAATAGTCTCCCTTGAGCAAGACGTGACACGTTCGGCATTGAAGACATTCAAGGTGGAAGCGGCGTCGTTCGGGACGTGCGCCATTACGTTCCACCGTCTCGAGGTACTGGCCCTCGATGCCGTTGTGACAGGTACCGCACAGGGAGCCGTTACGCTCATGGTAGTGCTGCGCGCAATACGGCCGGTTGTTCAAGACGTAGAAATCGGCCGATGGGAAGGGCGAGTGGCATTCAAAGCAGACAAAGCATCCACGGTGGTATCGACCAGTCAGACGGCCGTCAGAGGAGGAAATAGATTTGCCAGTGATTTCCTCGCCGCAACCCTTGCAGTTACCCTTGGAACGATTTCCGGAGCGAGTTGGAGGACGAGGAATCGGTTCCGTCGCAGACCGTTGTATCGGACGCCGAGGTGAAGGGAGATCTTGTTGTTCGTCTTGTTGCTGTGGTTGTTGCAGCCGCTGCGGGCGAAGCGCCTCCTCGCGCCTCTCAGCAATCAGCGACAGACTACCTTGGCCAATCGCCGGATCAGTCGGAGAATCAGGGCTGAAGAAAGCCGCAGGGATCGGAGGCACTTCGTCCATTGTCATGCGGATGCGACCCGGCAGCTCCAAAATGGTCTGTCGTGTTCGTGGTGGCAGTTCTTCGACCAAAGGACCCAGATTGAGAGGATCGGAGATTTTATGCCGGTTCAGGTTGGTATCAGATGGTAGGCTGGACATGGAACTCCCGCTGGAACTTCCACTACGAGTATCAGATGGAGAAGACTCGGAAGACGTGGAGCCCTCTTGCTTATCAAAGTCTGCCTTGTCACGAAGATGATCGTCCAAACCCAAAGCACGGGCGAAATTGGTAATTGAGATAGCACTTTCGCTCGTCGCGTCAGAAGCCCTCCTCGGTGCATCACTTCCGGATTCCGCATTGGCTGGATGCAAGTGGGTCGGTGAATAGGCGAGATATTTGCGCTCTTGATCGATCGCAATTGGATCAGGAGAGCTTTCTTCCGGGAGGTCATGTAGCCCCGTAGGGGTATGAGCTGGCGAGATGCCAAAATTAAATCCACTATAGCTCTCCCCGCGGTCGTCCCGAGAGGGAGGGCTGACTGACAAGTTCGAAGTCGAGTCTGAGAACGATGCCTCGTTTGGCGTGCGAAGCGGCGCCGGGGGCATGGGCGGGGTGTCGTCCATGAACGAGCGCAGTCCCCGAGAGAAGCTATGAGTAGATGATCGGGCGGTTGAGCCTTCGTAGCGAGTGCTGGCTACCGAGGTGCGGTAGCTACTATGGCTAGCCATTGAATCACCTCGATTATGGCCTACCTGCGCTGACTCTGTTGGAGGTGGAAGAGGACTAGGTGGCAGCTGAATGTTCTCCGGAACCAGATCTAATCCAAGTCGCGGGGATGGAGTCGGAACTGGGCGTGCTGGAGACCGTGCTGGAGACCTTGCTGGAGGCTCAAATTTCATCGTGGGTGTTCCAACGAGAGCTGGAGACCGGCTACCAGGCATGGGAAAGGAGAATACTGTATCTAGGTCGAGCACTGACTCGTCATCGGGAGATATCTGGGTGTTGGTAACTGGCAAGTGCATTGGAGATCGAGGTGCCGAGTGAATTGAAAGGGGGGATGGCAGATACGACCCAACACTACTCGCCGGCGTAGGCACAGTCGGTTGCAGGAACGCGCGATCTAGATTGCTTGTCAGCGATCCAATAGTTCATGGTCTTCGATGAGGAGGTCTTTTCCCCGCCAGGGTGAAAACATACTGGCGATCCAAGGGTCGATGCGAGGGGGCGCTCCAAGCCGACCGGATTTAGCTGCCATAGCCACGGTCAACTGGTCTGGAGCGTCCAGCCCTGCAGAGGGGGGTGGTGAAGGAGGGACTGAGGCATTGGAAGTTGCGTGGGAGGGGTCGAGAATGGACGGGGTAGTATCGTGTGTCGTAGCTCCCATCAAAGGCAGGCCATGATCAATAGGGGCGCAGACATGGTCGCCCATGGCCGAGATTTCAACATTATTTCCACAGTTGGAACATGTGATGGTGGGCAGGAAACCCATATCCATTGTCGCCATCCTAGTTCAGATCAGAAGGTCGGGATCACTGGGGGTTGTCATCGAGTTTCAGAGGGGCTGACGCCCTATCTTCATGGCCGAGTCGCACTCAAGGAGGAGGGGGTTAGGAAGGCACCAAACGTGTGGAGATGCTTTTCTAAGGAACACAATCTAGGATGGAGTTCTGGAATCGACGTCGTAGACCTGGGCGTTGTCCGTGGTCGTGCGGAGGAAGAAGTGTACAGTGGAATGTTTCCAGAAGGGAAGACCCAAGTCGTTAAACAACTCGAACTAGACCTGACCTGAACGGAACCCCAGTTGTCATAGGGAAATCCAACGACCCATAGGGAAAGTGGTCGATCGCGGGCACATCTCACGGTGTTAGCCCCCGAGCTAGAGCCATGCGAGGGCCATTCAGGAGGCGCCCGGGCCCATTGCGACGCCGCTAGTGCGTAGTGTCTCCAGTGCGGATGGAGGATTCGTAAGTCCAAAGTCTGTGGCTTTGTGGTTCAGGGGGTTTGCCCACAGTTTGGTACCCATGGATTTCAGCCAGCGATAGTCGTTCGTCTGTCTGGAGTAGAGTACATACAAACATCTGTCTTGTCGAAACTCGGAAGTCTCGGAGTAGTTCATAAGAAGTTGGTTCCACTTCCACGAATGTTGTATTGTTGGCCCTCCTTCTGACCTCCTCCATGCGAAGCATTCCGAATCCTGTACGGAGTACGGAGAACAACTCCCGCATGGTCGAGGACCTTCAATGCTCTGCTGCTGCAAGTCTTCCCTTTGCATGGTGCTTCTCTGCCGTCCCAAGGGGGGGCCAGAGGTGTCGATCAGGCCGTTCAGGGGGCGAAGGCGCAACTGAAGTGGAGCCCGAGCGCTTTTGCTGGTTACCAAAGGGACCAAACAGTCCACGACTCCAGGGACCCTTTTGCTTCTTGTTCTCTGACTCGCTCAGGCTCTGGCTGGTGGAGATCCTTCTTCAAGGTTGTCACTCGGTTTCCACTGGCTGGTGCCTGGCCCATGAATCAGGAATCCATTGCCCAGTGATCAGTGATGGGTTTGTTGCCAATCATCATGGGTATCGCATGCATTCACGAGCTGCCAACCTGAACCGGCGAATCGGCGGGGTCCACCCGATCCGATCGAGCCCCGTGCTGACGTAAGTATATATCACGTGTTCGCACTGGAAGCGAGTACATCAGGGTACATGAGAATATTCAATTGGAAGACAGCACAATTATACATAACTATACACAAACCAACTAACATTACAATGCTACACAGTACTCGGTACAATAATATGGTCGTCACAAAAATCCCCCTTACCATTCCCACAATAGACGCCCATCGCAATCACAATCACACGCGGGGTGCCTGGGGCCTATGGGGCCCCAAGGATCCATAATCCAGATGGTCCATGCTGCACGGGGTCGCCCCCAAGTTACTCTTGGACTCTTGGGGCATTTTGTAGCCCCGCCCCCGAATAACAATTGCTTCCATGCATTATTCAAGAAGCTCTTCAACACAATCTATCTGTGACAAAAGGTAACAGGCTGATAGCCTTAAGCGAACTAGACCTGTTCCTGCATGCTAGCCTCCGGGTACCTCGCGTCCCCGGCTGACTGCATGCAGGCTTGTCAAGTCGCTTACTTCAAGTCTTTGGGGGCGAGTCATGGAATGATAATTGCACAGTTGGTACTTTTGATGCGGTTACATTAGGAGGTGAGCACGCGACCAACCCTGGTTCGCTGGTACGGTACTCTCGCTAAACAGCCCAATGCCCCAGCGAGTCGCGACAGATCAGGATACACTGTGTACTCTGTCCTTTAAGTACATAATTCATTTCTGGTCGAGCACTTTCAGAACTATATCTTTAATTTGGTGCACATATTCAATCTTCAATCGGACAGTCCTGCTATCCTTGCCAATGAGCTCCCGATTGGCCAGGGATGGGTGGCCCCGTGTTAGCCACGGTGTCCTTCCATATAATGCACAACGCATTGAAGAGGTTTTTTTCATCTTTGAAATGTTTGAACAAGCTTGTTATTGATAGCTAGGGGAGACTCAAACTAATCCATGATTAATTCCCGATCACTTTGCCAAAAAGGTGATGATATCTCTATGTCAGAAAGTTTTGTAACAATCAACGCGTCCTCGCAGATAACAAGAACGATAGCCATCTCCTTTCCGCACGGCTATGGTAGGATAATCGTTTCGATCATACGTCAAATTCCATGCTGCTCGCCTTATGATTGAATGCTTTGCATGGTGCAACGATTGTTTGAGAGCCGACAATTGACAATGATCGTGGACTCGGCCTTCAAGCTTGCCATGGTTCAAGCTGGTCTCACAGATACAGCACTTTATATTGTAGGTACATGTATGTCCTAGTTCCATCAATAAACCTACCATCCAAGAGTTTTCTTATCCAGGGGCCATAGCAGTCCAGGCTAGGTCCCATCCATCTAAGTTAGTCTAATATAGGATCTATAGTAGCATGTGGAATATTCTTATATAGCATTCTGCACTGTACACAGTGTAATTTGGGTACTTCCACAGTAGCGATTGGCATTGTTACCGAGAGCTCGTATATCTATCTTGACTTGTTCAATACCTACGTACACTCTGGAGGACTACCTTGACCGTGTGATATTCACTATGGTTGTTTCAATTTAACCATGTGGCTTCCCTGCTTTTCTGGATACTTCTCTTTGCACTTTCCTACCTATGCATCAGTCTAAAATTTACTATTCTGATGACTACGCGAGGGAAGTGGACGAACTCTGGTGGAAGACAACTGCCGACTACATGTCATATTGACCTCAGCCTCGACACTCGGGGTCTAGAAGCGGTGTTCTTCGGTCCAGACTTTAGCATGCTAGCGCTATATGTCCATCCCACCTTACTGAGATTTTTATGGTTTTCATAAAGCGTTTTCATTAGGCTCGGGGAGATCGCGTTGGAGGTTGTGGGGAGGTAAAACTCGTTTGACAACCTGACTGGTATTTGAGTAATGTGGTTTTCATTGTATATATGTTCGACTTGAAAGGAGGGTTTCTAGCTACTTGATTACATTTGGATTACTATCTCAATCTACCACCAAGGTTGTTCAGAGCGCGAGGTGATTCTTGGCGCTTGGCTGGAGCTCGAAAATATACTTTGCTTGCTGGACTTGACACAAGAGTGGACCGATGAGACCAACGACTAGGTTCTCGAATAGTCAACTGATTTCCGAGAATCAAGAAATACGAATCCAAAAAGTGAGTATATCCTGTACAGCTCGAAAATATATTTTGCCAGCCGGACTTGACACAACATGGACCGATCAGCCAACGACCTGTCTCTCGAATAGTCGAATAGTTTCCCGAGTCCGGAAATATGAATGCAAAAGTGAGTATATCCTGTATTTAATGTCGTGAAGACAAAAAACCCCACATCCTATGCATCACAAGATCTATGGTAAAATAAAAAAGAAAAACGAAAAAAGAAAGTGGTCCCAGAGGGGGTCGAACCCTCGACTTTGGCGTTATTAGCACCACACTCTAACCAACTGAGTTATGGAACCGCTAACCAACTAGGTTATTGGATCTGGTTGATGGAATCTTGGTCAAATCTTTGGCATTATGAGGGTTCAGCAAGATTATGATAATACCGAATAGGAAAGGGCAGTCTTTTTCACTTCATGGGTGTCTTTGTGGCTATGTGTAAGGCAATAAGGCTATATAGTATCCAATTTGGGAGACTTACGAATCTGCTCGTGAGATGAGAGATTTTTCAATCAACAGGCGCAATTAACCCACGTTTGTGCGGCAAAAGCACTTATCCATCAGTAGAGCAGTCTCAGCCCAGGCCTTTGAGGCTTATTAAAGCACACCTTCATGGCACAATTCCTTTAAATTCTAGGCCAGCCTCCTTATACAGCATGACTGTGAAAGGATTCGAATCTTGGAATTTCCGCTTTAGAGACTGAAGTCCCTTTCTTGTCGCTAGAGGTTCATGCTCAAGTTGACCCAATGATGGATTTTTCTCCGAAAGCAAAATACATATTCACACAGCCAGAGATTTGCAGCACAATTTCAGACTCAAAATTGAACATCCCTCTAATCTTGGAAGGCAAAAAAATCAATGAATTGATCGGTGATCATGGTCCCAGAGGGGGTCGAACCCTCGACTTTGGCGTTATTAGCACCACACTCTAACCAACTGAGTTATGGAACCAGTGATGGTTGAAAAGCCAAAAACTATGCGCTATCAGTGGAGTGTAGAATGGTTGACTAAACCTGCTTTTTTTGGGCGGGTAGTGCTCTTGGCACTTGCTAGCGCCATCGTTTTAGTGGATCTCATTAAGAGTAATATCATCTTGGCAGATAATTTACAGGGGAATTTTGAGTATATGGAATGGTTGAAATCGGGTTATTATCTAACCAGAGGCCTTAGAACTCCCTCCATAACCCTTAGTTGCTTGTCTATATATTCTTTTTTTCTAGAGAGCATCTACCGCTTCTGGATGGAATGCCTCCGAATATAGTCCCCACTACTCCGGCCATCCATCAATCAGCGGTTCCATAACTCAGTTGGTTAGAGTGTGGTGCTAATAACGCCGAAGTCGAGGGTTCGACCCCCTCTGGGACCATGATCACCGATCAATTCATTGATTTTTTGATCATTCGCTGTGTTCTTATGGTGGACTGTTGATGGTGCTCAGTTTTTGGGAGGTCGGAATATGCGGTTGGGCCTGAGGCTAGCTAAGGGGGGCACTATTTCTGAGCCGGTGGTCCTATTCTTGACCAATCCCATATTATTGTGCGAGAATAATCAATAATCAATAGTAAGGCCATGAACGTGAGAAGGGAACACCTTCCGAATGCGAGCTCAGCCATGGGTAAGCTGGGACCGTGCTTTTTTGTTGCCTGCGCATCAGTGGCCGCATACCGTATCAATCTGTAGATAAGCTGCCAGGTCAGATCATCAGATCACCCAGCTTCAAGAGGAAGACCGACACGCTTTTCCAGTCCTTGTCCCGTGATCCTTGTCCTGTGATATAAAGGGATCTTCTTGCGAGCACGGGTCCTCGATTGCCTTTTAGCGGTGAAGTAGATGGCCAACCCGACAGAGATTATGGAAAGAGTGTCGTCTGTGGTTCGCTAGTCACGGGTCTAGTACCCGAACAGGAAGGCATGGAGTGACCGAAGATGGATTCATCAATCAGAGACGATGGATTCTTATTTACTTTAGCCGAGCCAGGCGACTCGAATGTGGCAGACATGTGCTGATGGTCTCCCGACTTGACCCTAATAATAATCCAGTAGCTGTTACGACGCGCGCCCGGACCCAGTAATCCAACAGGTCAAAAGACCAAATATGGGGCCGATATCAGGAGCGCACATAACGTTCAGGTCCAACGTCCTAACAACAGTACCGTAGAGTACTGTACATACTACATACTGTCGTCCCCCGGAGGACCCCTCAGATCCTTACCCTTTCCTTTGGGTGTTTGGTTGGGACACGAGTGCACGTCGTGGAAATGATCTTCGATGTTGCCACATAGAATGGGGAACTGCGGCGTCTAATTACGACAGTACAGGAGTAATTATATGGGTCAGGACTATTGTTGAATTCAGATCGTCCCGCTGATAGGCAGAATCTCGGAGGATTGCCATCTACCGTACCCAGGGAGTATTTGAGCATTCACTCCGTAGAACTCCGTAGATTCTACCACTGGAAGGGTGTCGAGAATCATAA